AGGCATGCTTCTGATCAGGTGGTCAATGTCCTCCTGTGGTATCTCATTCCAGGCAACCACCAACTCCTCTCGAAGTGCTTCTAGAGTCTGAGGAGGACGTTGCAAATTGAGCAATCTCCTACCCATCATATCCCACACGTGCTCAATTGGGGGTAAGTCGGGAGATCTTGGTGGCCATGGTAACAATGTGACATCATTATGTTGAAAGAAGTCTATTGTGACTCTTGCAACATGTGGTCGGGCATTATCTTGTTGGAAAGTTGGATCTGCCAGGGTGTCAAGATAGGGTAAAAGATGGGGTTCTAGAACTTCGTGGATATAACGCTGCGCGTCCATGTTACCTCTGATGAAGATTAAAGGTGACCTGGAACCATAAGCTATAGCACCCCAAACCATAACTCCAACAGTGTGATGAACATGTCTTTCAACAAAAAACTGTGGATTCCTCCTTTCACCACGTCGCCTTCTAACCCTGGCACGACGATCGTGCATGCCTAAACAAAATCGAGACTCGTCACTAAAGACAATACTGTTCCATTCCTGATCCCAGAGTGACCGTTGTCTGCACCACTCAAGGCGATTACGTCGGTGTTCTCGAGTTAAAGGGAGGAAGCAGTGTGGCCGGTATGAAAACAAGCCAAGACTTCTCATTCGTCGGTAAACACTTCGCATGCCAATAGGTCTTCCGTGTTCTGCAAACCATTCATTTGCAATGGACCTGGTAGTGGAGAAACGGTCCCTTAAGGCCAATAACCTTAGGCGGCGATCTTCACGGTCTGTTGTTCTACGGCGGCGTCCAGTGCCCCTTGCTCTTTGAGTACGGCTTTCTCGAAGCCATGCCTGACAACACCTAACCACAGTGTCTACACTTCTTTGCACTCTAACTGCAATTGCCCGAAAAGAAAGTCCAGCTTCCCGAAGTCCCACTATACGGCCCCTATCAAACTCACTAAGTTGACGAAATCGTACAGGTCTCCGTACTCTAGGCATCGTAACCGATCGTAAAGGATGTCAAGAACCAAAATCCGCCAACGTTGATTCTTTACTGCGGCTGAAATATTCATTTTTAGAGCGTTAGTGAATTAAAAAAAAGCAGTATAAAAACCGGAATGTCCAACTGATAAGGCTGAAAATTTTTTCACTTGTTATTTACAGTAAGATAAATACATTCACCAACTTTCATTAAAATAAAACCATTTAAACTGGATGTTCGGATTTATATGTCACTTAGTATAACTCTTTATTCTTAGAGTTCTGCATAACATCCGAGACAGCTCTGTAATACGGCTGTCGAGTCATGACATTGATGAGGTGCGGATATATATTTTTACTCGGATACTCCCGAGGTACTTGAGTTACACCGGCAGCTTATTTCAATAGAAACATCTCCCACTGCATCAACACGGCATGACAATACATCTCTATCAAGTACAAGGAGATGCACGAAGTAAAACAATACTGGGTGTTTATTTACTTTGGCTTTGCTTCATTTTGTACATGCTAGCGTACACGTATTGTGAATTTTTCAGACATTGGACTTCTTGCGTTTGTGTCATGTGAGAAGCCTTGACTTGAGCTTCATTTGAATGTAGATGTATCTATATCCGTAACGCGAGATGTAAGCGCATTTCGATTTGTCTTCTACGCACAGCCAGGGGCGTAGCTATAGAAGCAGAGCACGGTGTCTCTTTACCCAGAGGCTAGTAGTATACTGAATGCAACACCGACTAGGAGTGCTGTAATTTTGAGCATTCTTTTACAAGTTTTAGGTCTACTCACTACTCCATACCAATCGTTGCCGCCGATGCTGTGGGGTCAGAGGTAGTACAAGATGGGGACGGTATGAAAACAGTCCGAAGGACCGTATTCGGCTATAAACTGTCCTTATTCAGTGTCAGTTGCCTATATATATATATTCCTGTGTAAACAAATAAAAATACACCGAAAAATACTCGAATAAATCAAATTGTTGGAAATACCAAAGTATCACGTTTTCAGTGACTCGATTGAGGATTTGGGTGTCGTTTTTGACCATAAACTTAATTTAGCACAAAAAGTGAGTGAAGCTTCACAGGCGTACGGTTTTATTGTGAAAAACTGCAGAAGCTTCAGCCGCCCAGAGTCACTGTTGGTTTGGTATTCTGCATATATTAGATCGTAGTTGGAATATGCATCGTCAATTCGAAACACAATTTACAACTGCTACATTGATTCTTTTGAGCATGTTCAGAGAAAGCTTCGCAAATTTTTATCTTTCAAGGTTGACGGTGCGTATCCTGAGCAGGGTGTATCTGAAAGTTTGTTATTGTTTAGGTTTCACATGCAGTCTTTAGAGCTGAGAAAGAAGTATGCGTCAGTTATTTTCTTGTATAATCTGCTGCACAATAAAATTTGTGACTCAACAAATCTTCAATGTACCCTGTACTTGAACTCGTAGTGTTAAAACCTTTTATTGTGACAGTGCTCGCACAAATTATTTTTTATGTGTAATGTGTGAAACTTTTAATGCCATACCTAGTTATTGTGATATGCATACTGGCAGTTTGAACATCATTCTGGGCGTAGCTAGCAATTGCTTTAACAATTTATGATATGTTTCTCACTTGAGTGAAATATGTTTCTGCTTCTTTTCTTGTTCCTCTTTTTCCTTCAGATAGAACCACCTGCTTTTTCTATACGTATTTTATAGTTTTGTTAGTTTGATTTATCTTTTCTAAAGATTGTCCTGTAAATGGTTTCCTTAACTGTTGGGCAATAAACGCTATTTATTTATGTATTCAGTGTTATGCAGCATTAGCGCTTCAGTTGTTAGTAACGGTAATAAGTATCCACACAAGAACTTTATACTCACATTGTACAGGTTCATGAAAATAATGATGATTTAAGTGATGATTATTCAATAAAATTAATGAACATTATTACACTTGTAAATCAGGTAGCCAAAACCATGGCAAATGTGTTTTTTTATATGCTATCCACAAGATTGAAGCCCGTTATCCTTCAAATACCTTGACCAAAAGCATTCTATATGCCGGAAGCAGACCAAAACAAAAAGCTCAATCAATAGCCAATAAATTACAATACCCTGAAGCTATGTTCTCATTATCGCTCTTTTTTGATATTTCGCCTTCAAAATGACCTTGGACTGACTTTGGGACGGTCATTACCAAAGACAACTAAACCATCACGACTTTATAGTGCTCTTGAATGGACTTTTTTAATTCTCGAACAACTCGTACCAGATCTTCCAGTGTCAACGTATAAAAATAAGCTTGCCCTTGAATTGACCTTGTAAGAATGATGCCCAAGATCAACATGACACCTCCCAACACCTGCCTCAAAGGTTTTCAAGTGAATTATTTCTTCAGTATAACAATTCTATATCTATACTAAGTGACATATAAATCCGAACACCCAGTTTAAATGGTTTTATTTTAATAAAAGTTGGTGAATGTATTTATCTTACTGTAAATAACAGGTGAAAAAATTTTCAGCCTTATCAGTTGGACATTCCGGTTTTTATACTGCTTTTTTTTAATTCACTAACGCTCTAAAAATGAATATTTCAGCCGCAGTAAAGAATCAACGTTGGCGGATTTTGGTTCTTGACATCCTTTACGATCGGTTACGATGCCTAGAGTACGGAGACCTGTACGATTTCGTCAACTTAGTGGGACTTCGGGAAGCTGGACTTTCTTTTCGGGCAATTGCAGTTAGAGTGCAAAGAAGTGTAGACACTGTGGTTAGGTGTTGTCAGGCATGGCTTCGAGAAGGCCGTACGCAAAGAGCAAGGGGCACTGGACGCCGCCGTAGAACAACAGACCGTGAAGATCGCCGCCTAAGATTATTGACCTTAAGGGACCGTTTTTCCACTACCAGGTCCATTGCAAATGAATGGTTTGCAGAACACGGAAGACCTATTGGCATGCGAAGTGTTTACCGACGAATGAGAAGTTTTGGCTTGTTTTCATACCGGCCACACTGGGTCCTCCCTTTAACTCGAGAACACCGACGTAATCGCCTTGAATGGCGCAGACAACGGTCACTCTGGGATCAGGAATGGAACAGTATTGTCTTTAGTGACGAGTCTCGATTTTGTTTAGGCATGCACGATGGTCGTGGCAGGGTTAGAAGGCGACGTGGTGAAAGGAGGAATCCACAGTTTTTTGTTGAAAGACATGTTCATCACACTGTTGGAGTTATGGTTTGGGGTGCTATAGCTTATGGTTCCAGGACACCTTTAATCTTCATCAGAGGTAACATGAACGCGCAGCGTTATATCCACGAAGTTCTAGAACCCCATCTTTTACCCTATCTTGACACCCTGGCAGATCCAACTTTCCAACAAGATAATGCCCGACTACATGTTGCAAGAGTCACAATAGACTTCTTTCAACATAATGATGTCACATTGTTACCATGGCCACCAAGATCTCCCGACTTATCCCCAATTGAGCACGTGTGGGATATGATGAGTGGGAGATTGCTCAATTTGCAACGTCCTCCTCAGACTCTAGAAGCACTTCGAGAGGAGTTGGTGGTTGCATGGAATGAGATACCACAGGAGGACATTGACCACCTGATCAGAAGCATGCCTAGGCGCGTTGGAGAATGCGTAGCACATCAGGGTGCATCCACACATTATTAAAGGTCAAAGGGCTTTAAAACAGTGCAATCATTTTGAAATTTTTATCATTTACTTATTATGCTTCATTAAGTACTTATACAAAATTTGATTAAAACAAAACCATTTAAACTGGGTGTTCGGATTTATATGTCACTTAGTATATATCTATTTGGTAGGAGAATGAAAAATCAGCAAATGCACCATTTTTTGCAAATCGTGTAAACTTCCTTAACCTATTTCTCAGAAACTTATCATAGGACAACTTTGGTCCCAGGAGAACTTTTGTTCCGGAAAGCGGGAATTATATCATTTGGGAACCATTTTTCATATGTTTTGTGCAGGGTCGTTAATTGAATCTTTTCTCATTGTTCCAGAGAGAATTCAGCGACGAATGCGTCTTCAACGAAACCATCGAGCAATCCAACTACAACATTTACTCATCGACGAAATACTCAAACGAGAAAAGGACCTTCTACCTCGCCCTAAACCGAAGGGGCCAGTCGAAGAAAGTCGTGGTGAAGGCCCGCACCCAATTAGGCAGACTGTCTTCCTATACAAGGGTACTGACCAGGAATGTTGCTCCAGAGCTGCAGTTGCACCCAATGCGACACCACGCCCACCAGTGTCCTGGTACTGGCCATCAGACCCAGAAGGTGAGGCCCCACACACAACGATGTCCCAAGAAACGAAAACGGAAGAAGAAGAAGAGAAAATGCGATCCTGAGTTCGAATTGTGCCACACGCCAGAAAATCGGGGTAAGTAGAAGACATCCCTGGTGACACCTCTGCCGAAATTGTCTCAGACCAATAAGCATATTGCCATTAATGTCTAAAGTTTTAGATTGAGCAGCTTATGCACAGATTCTAGATCATCTCAATGCGTACAGTATCCCCACCCATCAATCAGGCTTTCGTAAAAACCATAGTACAACTACAGCCCTGTCTTATCTCACAGATAGCATCATATCTTTCATCTACAGTATAAACATAAGGTTGCTGGTACTGTTACACTTTTCAAAGGCCTTCATTACGCTTAACCATCGACTACTTATTGCCAAGTGTCACTACTATGGCTTCGATGCAACTTTATATACTAAGTGACATATAAATCCGAACACCCAGTTTAAATGGTTTTATTTTAATAAAAGATGGTGAATGTATTTATCTTACTGTAAATAACAAGTGAAAAAATTTTCAGCCTTATCAGTTGGACATTCCGATTTTTATACTGCTTTTTTTCAATTCACTAACGCTCTAAAAATGAATATTTCAGCCGCAATAAAGAATCAACATTGGCGGATTTTGGTTCTTGAGATCCTTTACGATCGGTTACGATGCCCAGAGTACGGAGACCTGTACAATTTCGTCAACTTAGTGAGTTTGATAGGGGCCGTATAGTGGGACTTCGGGAAGCTGGACTTTCTTTTCGGGCAATTGCAGTTAGAGTGCAAAGAAGTGTAGACACTGTGGTTAGGTGTTGTCAGGCATGGCTTCGAGAAGGCCGTACGCAAAGAGCAGGGGGCACTGGACGCCGCCGTAGAACAACAGGCCGTGTAGATCGCCGCCTAAGATTATTGGCCTTAAGGGACCGTTTCTCCACTACCAGGTCCATTGCAAATGAATGGTTTGCAGAACACGGAAGACCTCTTGGCATGCGAAGTGTTTACCGACGAATGAGAAGTTTTGGCTTGTTTTCATACCGGCCACACTGGGTCCTCCCTTTAACTCGAGAACACCGACGTAATCGCCTTGAGTGGTGCAGACAACGGTCACTCTGGGATCAGGAATGGAACAGTATTGTCTTTAGTGACGAGTCTCGATTTTGTTTAGGCATGCACGATGGTCGTGCCAGGGTTAGCAGGCGACGTGGTGAAAGGAGGAATCCACAGTTTTTTGTTGAAAGACATGTTCATCACACTGTTGGAGTTATGGTTTGGGGTGCTATAGCTTATGGTTCCAGGTCACCTTTAATCTTCATCAGAGGTAACATAAACGCGCAGCGTTATATCCACGAAGTTCTAGAACCCCATCTTTTACCCTATCTTGACACCCTGGCAGATCCAACTTTCCAACAAGATAATGCCCGACCACATGTTGCAAGAGTCACAATATACTTCTTTCAACATAATGATGTCACATTGTTACCATGGCCACCAAGATCTCCCGACTTATCCCCAATTGAGCACGTGTGGGATATGATGGGTAGGAGATTGCTCAATTTGCAACGTCCTCCTCAGACTCTAGAAGCACTTCGAGAGGAGTTGGCGGTTGCCTGGAATGAGATACCACAGGAGGACATTGACCACCTGATCAGAAGCATGCCTAGGCGCGTTGCAGAATGCGTAGCACATCAGGGTGCATCCACACATTATTAAAGGTCAAAGGGCTTTAAAGCAGTGCAATCATTTTGAAATTTTTATCATTTACTTATTATGCTTCATTAAGTACTTATACAAAATTTTATTAAAATAAAACCATTTAAACTGGGTGTTCGGATTTATATGTCACTTAGTATATATTTAAGGTGACGGAGGCAAAAAGTAAATACCAAAAATCGAGTTTTGATATCAAAATACACTCAAGCAGGTATACCACAAGGCTCAGTACTGAGACCGTTGATGTGCTTAGTTTACATTGCAGATTTACATGACTACTTCAAGAATACACATGCTCAAATTTTTGCTGATGATACGCAGATAAAATGTGATTTTATTGCCGATAATGTCCAGGAGTCCATGATGCTAGTAAATGCAGATTTTGATAGTATTCATAGGCGATGTAGCTCTCGCAACTTTAAAATTCCTGGAATTAGTATTTGGCAATAAAAGATTATGTGAAAATCTTAAATATATGTACAGGGTGTTTCAGAACTATGGTATCAAACTTGTAGGGGTTATTCAGTGTAACAGTAGAAAACATTACGCTTGTGTGTTGTTATCTTTAAAAACGATCAAAGAGAATTTAACAAAAATTAATTGTTGCTAATGAAAAACTGTACCAATCAAGATTTGGCGGATATGCATTTGGCATACGGAGCAACAAGCTGCAATGCACGAGCAGCAGCGCGGTTGTATCAAGAACGTTATCCCGAACGACGGCATCCGGGATACAAAAAGTTTATTGCTATTCATCGGCGGCTCTCCGAGACAGGCATGTTTAAAACCAACATGCATGATAACTGGTGTTGCTCGAACCGTAAGAACGGTCGAATTTGAAGAAGAGGTCCTTCAGCGTCCATCAAGTAGCACACGTCACATTGCTGAGGATATGAATACGAGTAACGCTTCCGTCTGGCGGGTGCTACACGAGCAACAACTTTACCCTTACCGCCTGCAGCCGATTATCGTCCTAGAGTTCAATTTTGTCAATGGCTTCTTCATCAAATCGCTACACAACCAATTTTTACGCTATGTTTCATGGACCGATGAAGCCTCTTTTACGAGAGACGGTATTTTTATTTGTAGGAATAGCCACGTTTGGGACAAAGAAAATCCCCATGCTTTTTTTCCTAGAAAACATCATCAACGTTGATCTGTCAACGTAGGGGCAGGCATTGTTGATGATTATTTGATTGGGCCTTACCTTCTACCGGAACGGTTAACAGGACCTATTTACAGGCGTTTCTTAAAGGAAGTTCTTCCAGAACTTCTTGAAAATGTTCCATTGAACGTTCGGCAGCAAATGTGGTTTCAGCATGATGGAGCGCCGGCTCACTTTGCTGTACAAGTACCAGATTGCCAGAGGTGGAGCAGTTTCTTGGCCTCCTAGCTCACCCGATTTACCGTCGCTAGATTTTTTCCTGTGGGGACATGTAAAGTCTTTAGTTTACGAAACTCCAGTAGAAACAGAGCAAGACTTAATTGGACGAATTAGAGCAGCATTTGAAATCGTTCAAAATGAGCATCCATTTTTTAGTCAAGTCCGCCGAAATGATGTGCGACGCTTAAATCGGTGTATTCAGGTTAGAGGAAGACATTTTGAACAATTGTTGTGATGATATCATGTACAAAAGGCAAAAATTGAATGCAATGGGTCCCTGCACTCAAATGTTTTCTACTGTTACACTGAATAACCCCTAGAAGTTTGATCCCTTAGTTCTGTATAGCTCATATAAAAGTTAATGGGGAGGAAAATCAAAAAAAAAACTGAAACGGATTTTAGTTCAGCTGGAACTATACAGTATTTCTGAATACATACTAACACATGGCCAAAAACCGTTGATTTTCGAGTTTTTTGTAATTCATCAACAACAAAGTTGGCCATTTGAGTCTAAACAATGTAAAAAAACTAGATAATAAATGCGTGAGAGTTCGATCGATTACCGTAGTTTATACCCAAATTAAGCTAGTACAATAAAACCGGTGCAATAATAACAGCTAACAGCAAAATGGAATATACTAAGTGACATATAAATACGAACACCCAGTTTAAATGGTTTTATTTTAATAAAATTTGGTATAGGTACTTAATGAAGCATAATAAGTGAATGATAAAAATTTCAAAATGATTGCACTGCTTTAAAACCCTTTGACCTTTAATAATGTGTGGATGCAGCCTGATGTGCTACGCATTCTCCAACGCGCCTAGGCATGCTTCTGATCAGGTGGTCAATGTCCTCCTGTGGTATCTCATTCCAAGCAACCACCAACTCCTCTCGAAGTGCTTCTAGAGGTAACAATGTGACATCATTATGTTGAAAGAAGTCTATTGTGACTCTTGCAACATGTGGTCGGGCATTATCTTGTTGGAAAGTCGGATCTGCCAGGGTGTCAAGCTAGGGTAAAAGATGGGGTTCTAGAACTTCGTGGATATAACGCTGCGCGTTCATGTTACCTCTGATGAAGATTAAAGGTGACCTGGAACCATAAGCTATAGCACCCCAAACCATAACTCCAACAGTGTGATGAACATGTCTTTCAACAAAAAACTGTGGATTCCTTCTTTCACCACGTCGCCTTCTAACCCTGGCACGACCACCGTGCATGCCTAAACAAAATCGAGACTCGTCACTAAAGACAATACTGTTCCATTCCTGATCCCAGAGTGACCGTTGTCTGCACCACTCAAGGCGATTACGTCGGTGTTCTCGAGTTAAAGGGAGGACCCAGTGTGGCCGGTATGAAAACAAGCCAAAACTTCTCATTCGTCGGTAAACACTTCGCATGCCAATAGGTCTTCCGTGTTCTGCAAACCATTCATTTGCAATGGACCTGGTAGTGGAGAAACGGTCCCTTAAGGCCTATAATCTTAGGCGGCGATCTTCACGGTCTGTTGTTCTACGGCGGCGTCCAGTGCCCCTTGCTCTTTGCGTACGGCCTTCTCGAAGCCATGCCTGACAACACCTAACCACAGTGTGTACACTTCTTTGCACTCTAACTGCAATTGCCCGAAAAGAAAGTCCAGCTTCCCGAAGTCCCACTATACGGCCCCTATCAAACTCACTAAGTTGACGAAATCGTACAGGTCTCCGTACTCTAGGCATCGTAACCGATCGTAAAGGATGTCAAGAACCAAAATCCGCCAACGTTGATTCTTTACTGCGGCTGAAATATTCATTTTTAGAGCGTTAGTGAATTAAAAAAAACCAGTATAAAAACCGGAATGTCCAACTGATAAGGCTGAAAATTTTTTCACTTGTTATTTACAGTAAGATAAATACATTCACCAACTTTTATTAAAATAAAACCATTTGAACTGGGTGTTCGGATTTATATGTCACTTAGTATATATTCGTTTTCAACCTTCTTTGGAACAAATCTGTATCTAGCTCTAAAAAATGCTCGTATGTACATTTGTATTCCATAATATTTTCCAATGCACTTTACTCATGCCTGCAAAAAAATCACGTGAAATCCTCACGTTTAACTTTTGTTCCAGGGCAACACAAGAGGCCGAACGCACCGAAAAAAGCGCAGACTCGAAATAACAAATGTGATGACAGTAAAGACAGTGAAGTGTGCCAAAGAGACATGTCTAGTAAAAAGAAACACAAACTAAACCATAGTGAAATAGTGAGTGATAAGAAAAAGAAAAATAAGAACAAGAAAGGTGTGAGGAGAAGGCTCGAGTTGGAGCAAGTTGAAGTGGAGTCAACCACCACAACGACTCAATCGCCGACATCCACAACCTCCAGTGACATGGACGAAGACTATGGATTCGATTTCTCCACGCATCATGATTGGGAGGAGTCCACACCCTCCTATAACGTATCCACTGTAGTTCCCGATGCTAACGTAACCGCACCTCCCCCCAAGTAGGACTACAACTTACCCCTCTGTTTTTAATGACACGCGCAAGTTTCAGATTGCTCTTCGGTCACAGATTTTCTAGCACAAGTAGGAAATATTTTGTCGTGAAAGGTAGAAATCCATCCATCAGAAGAATCTGATTTTTCACGACTCAGAAACGCACACTAAAGACAAGCATTGAAGTATCATAATTGTGTATTTTGTGTATCATCTTTATATGTACAGGTTCTGTTTATTATAGGTTAGAAGCAGAATTAGCGTTGCTACCATACTCATATGATAGCATGAAGTTGAATATTCGAAAATGGGTGGATTTTGGACAAAATTGCAAGATCTGTGCTATTAAAATCAATCAAGTACTAAAGTAAAACAATTTGGTGAAAGTTTAAATACGTATGTTCTAAAATAATTAAAAGCAATAATTCCATAGATCGATCAACTTAAAATTTTACATATTTTCAAAAGGCTTATAGACCCTGATGGAATCCACGACTGATAATTTTCAATTTATGAAAATCCGTATAAGATGAATTCGATCAATATGACTCCTATAATACCTGAACAACTGTGAAATGACAACTCCAATATTAGTATTCTCAAAGCAATCATTATTATACCAAATATATTTTACAATCGGAAATACTTGCTTGCTTGAAATAAAATAACTTGTGATACACCTAGTATATAAATTTGACCAGTTCTCTACTACTGTATGTAGCCTTGCCCGTAGCAATAATCTCAGTGTACTTATGATCAATATCTTCGTAATAAAATTTTGGAATGTGTTTTATTTATATGAACTCGTAGATTTATCAGTATAATAGGTATAAACAAAATGCTTAAAATTTAGTCCTAGCGTCAGGTAGAAAGTAGCTTCGATCATATATATATATACGTGTATGTAGTTTTTATGAATGATAAAAGTAATAAAGTTATGTAAAAGGGGTTATCTGAAGCTTGCCAGTTATTCCTCTGACTTTTAGAGGCTTTCAGGGGATAAGTTACAGACCTAAATAATTTGACTGACTGTTAACTCCTTTGTATTATTTATTCCTTTATTTATTGTACGAAAATGTAAATATCTATCAGTAAGTCAATATACCTCACCACCAATGAATCGATTTTTCTTTATATGTTTTTGTAGAAGCCACTTAAACCTCATTCGTTCATAACATACTCAAAAAGGTCAGAAGAAACTGTCAGCAGATCAGGAAATACTCCGAAAACTCAGATGACATTCGAAGGGAAATGTCAGAAGCACAGCTTATGGCCTTACCTTAACACATTGTCAGTTTCGGTAGGCATAATACATCATTCACTTTTCAATTGCTTGGGCTGCCCAGTTTACTGTGTCGCAATGAAATTATTCATGAAAATTGATTCTGCTAATATTCACATCACATTAATTGGTATTCTGCACAAATAATAAATTGTTGATAAAGATATTTCACCATTGTTTGAAAGTAGAAAAACAACATTTTCTATTAAAGAAACCCAAACTATCGAAGTAATATTTTGATGAAAACAAATTATGATTGCGTAGATACTTGAAAGCAGTGAAATTATGAAACAGAATAAAATCCCCGAATGCTACCTCATCATGTGACGTAAAAATTTGCATACATAAGCAGTTACTTATATAAAAGCGGAGCTGAATGCAAAAACCAAAAAATAGATAGAAACGCTCAAACTTTATGTTTTGGGTTGGGGGTTAGGGGTTATAAAGGCTGGTGTATAATGTGCCTCAATTCCTTGACGCTTATATATTCATACGCTTCCAACCCCGGTAAGTCTAAAAACCTATTAGGCATATTTCACACATTATATGTTTCCCCTTGAAACATAATGCTAGAGAAATATTTTCAACATACGCGCCCTGGCGTTGCAACTCAACGAATGTACATGCATATACCGTGTAGCCAGGTTAGTCATAGCAACGTTGCCAGATTTGCGATACATTCGGTGAGAGGGAAAATTTCTAGCATCGCAACGTTGTCAAATAGGTGCGAACTGCGAATTAATTTTATAAGCTTGTTTGACTAACCTGTTCCATTTAACTTTTTAATATTTATGTTCGTAGCTTACTTTTTTCTCGCTTAGGCTATGGACTGCAGGCAGCGTTATTGTGAGACGTGCAGAGTCAACCTACTTGACGCCGTTTTTTTTATATGTACTTTGAAAAAGGCCACCGAGGTGGCTAAGACGTCAGCCAGTCCTACATATGTCGTTTGATTTAGCGACCAACATGGAATTTTACTCTTGTTCTAATCATCCAATAATAAAGTAACATTTGTAATCAGCGATTCGCAAAGCTGCATGATATAAATTTGCAGACCATTCTATCAAGTCTCAGATTTTTGTCAATCGGCCACAGCGTAAATCGAAATGATACTATACTGTTTTTTACAAAATCGGCTCATTTTATCGAAACCAAACAGAAACATCTTTTTTCGGCTAAATGATTAGGCCTTCCTAAAAATATCATTAGTAAAAAAGCAGCATTGTTCATTGAAAGAATCAGATGAAGCCCCAACTGGTTACTACGCTATCAAAGTTTAGTTAAATTATAACTCATTTAAAAAGAAACAATTTCCAGCATCACCTTTTCTCAGGGGCATGTACCTTGTACCTTTTCCATAGAAACCTATAGCATTTTTTTGTGTTCTATATGAAACCGAGAGATTGGCATCATATTCTGGACCACCCCGTATAGACCTCATATCATTGTACCACCCGTAATATTGATTCCAATACTAAAACTTATTTCCAACTGCTTACTGTACGACTCCTTCCACCATATATTATCGAGATAATAAGAATTTTCAATTTTCCAGAAGCTCCAGTATGTGTTGTCTCAAGCAGAGATCGACCAATACAGGACTTTGTCGATACCAATATTTTTTCATCGTTTTCTGTAAATAATAGGAAAATCGGGTGCGAACACGCTGACCCTTACACGGGTCGCAATAAGCGACACCTAGTTCAAGGAACAGTTGCATTTGAATATCGATATAGAAAACTATTCCATCTACGTCTAGGGCTTCGTAAGACCAAAACCAAGACTTGGGTGGTCTTGGTCTTGATCTTGCAATATGTGTTTGTAGTAGTATATACGAAATAAAAAAAAAATGGGTCCACCTTTTGATCCAAAATCGGCAGACAGCACTTTCATAAGTGGCCCTACCAAATTCAAGAATATCTACTGAATGCCAAAGCATCTTACCCTCATTTCTGCTTTGACAGCTGAGGAAACTATTAAGATTTAAAGGTAAATCCACTATTCAAAATTAGCTCTTGAATCATGAAACCTGGATTCGTAAAATTGCGTTTCATAAAACGTAGTGTTCACAGCAGTTTTTTATTAGGTTTACACTGATCACAGATATTGGCCTATAATTATTCATAGAGTATTTATCACCTGATATATAACGTGGACTAATTTTACTGATTTTAAGTTCATTCGGAAATTTTCCAGTTATAATATTGTATTGTTAATTAACTTTCTTGAAATTTTGACTGAAATGCCATCATGGTCGAGTGCTGAATTTATTTTTAATATACGTATTGATATCGTTCGATCCCTAGTATTAACTGTCTCTTCATCTGAATCAGCTTAAAAAAGGCAACACCTTGTATCTCTGCGAGATGACATCTCAGTACCTAGTTATATATTTGATCAAAATTACTTTCCAATGTACCCTCTTACTATCCGTTCACCCGCTGCAAATAACTATCGAATACATGGTGACTTTCTACATTCATAAAATTCAATGTGAATCAATAAAAAACATGTTATAATTGAACTTAAAAAATCATATTTAACAATATTCTGACGTCTCTCTTAAGCCTCAATTATACAGTGCTGGCCAAAGTCGTTCTCCCTTTTTAGATTGCTATGTGTACGACAGATGCGACAGTGTGCCATATAAGCACAGTCATCACGTTGCCTGGCAACTACAGTGGGGGAGGTCGCGTAGCGCGGCTGTAAAATCTTAACGGGAAAACGACTTTGGATAGCACATTTCGGGGTGTCTGCGACAGGTGCCGTTCAGGGTTGCTAGATTTGGCGAATAGGATCAAAGCATAGTATATTCAAATCGTATTTACGCTCTTATATTGTCTTACAAAGCAGTTGTTTTCATGTTTTTGCGTGGCGTAATTGAATAAAGCTGTGAGAGTTGAAATTGTTGGGATGTGGGTAATTCAAACCGAAATCGTGTTTAAACAGGTCAACAGCGTTGCCATATTGGGTGAATTTTCCTCAGTTTGGTGGGATTTTTGTAACTTTCGGGGAATTTTTTGGGTGGCGTAATTTTCTGGAGGATTTATTTGGGGATAATTAGAACCTTTGGGTATTTTGAGGATGAGGATGAGGATGAGGATCCACACGGCCTTGAAAATAACCCAAATTTTAAGTTGATCGCATTTATGAAATGTTTGCATTTATATATTTCAGAGGAAATCTATTTTGAACTTTCAACATGTTCCTTTTTGTTTTAGTCCTTAATCTATCTTTGCATTTGCTAACACATACTATATTTATATGAGTGCTTGGTACTTCAAATCTATAAAAACACACTGGACAGAAACATTCATAAAAATGAAAGTGTTGCGACATTGCGCTCACAATAAAAACAAAAGTTAAAGCAAATGAAATACACGATTACAATGAAAATTCAACTATATTTTTATTGTGGGCACGATGCCGCAACACTTTGATTTTAATATATGTTACTGTGCTTCAATGTATTTTATTACAGATTTGAAGTAGTTAGTGTTGCGACCATTCGCTCATATAAAAATAGTAGATATAATAGATATTCGGAAATAGGTGTTAATCTTAGACAAAAATGTCAGAATTGCGAACTTTGCTTCCAAAAACAATCGAGTTCTAACTCAAAAAGAAACATGTTGAACGTTTAGAATGAATGTATTTTAAAATATCCAAATGCAAATATTTTAAATTTGAGTTATTTTTAGGGCCGAAAACTTCCTTGTGGACCCCGATCTCTTATGAAGATGAAGATACCACAAGTACCTTTATCAAATTCCATTATTAACCAAGTAGCGTATGCGTATGCGCCAAAGCATAAAAATATCATGAAATGTCTCATCTTGAACTAATTTTGAAAACAACCTGCCTGATCTTTTGGAAATCCACATTAACGACTTACTTATGTTATAGTGATATAACATATGTTAAGGAGTGAAAATATTGACGATGAGGTTTGGTGGTTAATTTTTATGTAAGAATCTCTTTTAATGTCACTATCCAGGGTCCTCCGTTCAGTTTTTAGCTGTGAGGCTTATGGATGTGTTGTATTTATAGACAATTATTTGTATTTATATAACTATTTTTTGTAATTTGATCCAAAAGTAAGTAAAAACTGTTCGTTTTAACTGTTTGTTTTATTTTCTACATATCCAAACCTCCTTTACTTATTTTTTGAACAGGTCAAGTTACCAAGCTGAAATTAAGCATGTTAAAACGGACGCAAAAATACTATGTATGTATATATGGCTGCTTGTGCATACTTTGTAACACTAAAATATAAAATCACTACCTTTCAAAATGGCGGACTGACAGGCTGTCAAACTTAAACGTCTGTATATTGAATCGCTAGTAGCTCAACGACTAATCATCAAACCATTATGGTCATATGTCGTATCATCTCACGGTATTCAGTTTAAATAAACACAGATATGGACATTTTTTAAATGGAATGTTTCACATTTTATTTTATATCCGTAAAGACCCTCCCAAGGGAAGGAAATTGATATAACATACCATATGTAGCGTTTTGATGATTGGTTGTTGAGTTATAAGCGTCTCAATATACGAGTACAAAAACGCTCAAATTTGACAGTTGGCAGTTTCCAAAGATGGTGATTTTATGTTCTCGGGTTATAAAGTACACATAAAGCTTCAAGATGAGGTATCACACGACTCTTCTCCCTTCCATTTTGAAAATGTTCCAAAATGGCGCCCAGTCGTTATCTTGAAAATTCTTAACTGCCACTTTCACGCTTAAATATAGTATTCATACATCAATCCAATTACCCCAAAGTTCAGCTTGCTGACTTGATCTACTCAAAATGTACGTAAAGGGGAACCTTTTGGAATGAACTATACATGAATGATTAAAATACCTGTGGAAGGAATCGGCAGTTTCCTACTAAAATCCAAATTATACCCTATTCCTAGAACAATACCTAAAGTCAGGAAGAACTTTTAAAGCAGTTGGATAAGTATAAATGAGCAATGGTATAAAGCCACTATTTTATAGCACTATTCTTTGATGTGCAGGATATGGCATAATTATATACAATAAAATGAAACTATATTTGGGAGGAAACGTCAAGTGTACTCTACAGTCATATGAACACCTATCCAATATATGGGTTCGTATACCTAGTCAAAAAAACTCCTATAGACAAACATATGCTGTATACTAGTATAGTCCAGAATGAAATTCGGGGCCTTAGTTTGCAGTAGGGGTCGTTCTCAAACATTTTTTCTTAGATTTAGTTTAATTTTTAAGCATTTGGGGTCCCCGTCGACTTGGGGCTCGTGCCTATAGCGTGAAGTTTGTAATAATAGCAATTATAGATAATGTCAAGTATTTTCCAGGTATTCACACGTTTCTTAAGTATATTATCTTTATTAATATCGTTGTAAACCATATTTTACTAGTAAAAGTTGCTTGTAGCGTTTTTTTGTATTCAAATGAACATTTCTCAATAAATGAGTTGTTAGCAAATACAAAATGAATCTGCAGCGTACAAAAAACTAAAGAAAAGTACGACTCTATCTACCTGGCGTTGACGGATCCGTCAGAATTATGTGTCATTTGTGGATATGGGGGATTTTGAAATATTACTGGAGAATCAGCTGTCGTAATAGATCCTCGTGAAAAAGACTATAGACTTTTTGGGTCTGTTTTGTTTCAGATATACTTGTTTAAAGGAGCTCTAATCTTTATCGAGCAATTTTCCACTGATATATCGAACAGAATCATCGGTTTTTGAATATGTAATAAATTGTGTCAGCAACACTTATCAATACCTTCAAAAAAAAATTGCATTTACGTTTTGGGGTATAACCAGTAGAAAATTGAAGAAAAAAATTACAAAAACAAGGTTTGCAATCTTTAAATTAAATCGACTCTAAAAAAACTTGCAGCTGCAGGGCTCGTGCATGTAATGAAAAAAACAAAAATAATGCATAAAATAACTTTGCGTGCCTACAAGTACCTGCTAATTATTTCCGTTCAAGTATTACGTAAGCAGATTTATTACAATTTTTTACCCCCCATCCCCCCTGTCAGCAAAAGTAAGCAAAGCTCTTACCCCCTCCCCCCATGCTTACGTAAACATTTGTCAATTAATGTATTGTTTTTTTTAATATTGTAATTATAACGTTATAACTATAATTTGAAAAACAAGACAATAGATTTAGGATAGAGATTATATTTTACTGATACGGTATTCAACATAGAGTAAACAAAAAAATATTATATCTTACTAACATAACAAACTTAGGTATTTCAAGTTTTTGGTACATATATTAAATTCAAATTAAGTCTTCAGTCCATGAAACCCGAATCCATGATTCTAAGTTTTCGATGACATTGTGAGTTTGCTCGCTTTCATCGGATTTTGGAATGTCTACGTCGTTCTCATCGAGCCATTCAACATCATGGTGCTCTAAATTTTGAATAATGCACATCAGTTTATTAGCGAGCAGCGACTCTTAAGCCGGGTTTACACGGGTCAAGTAAACGGTCAAGTTACTTGCCTTCGCTCTTGCGTGGTTGAATTCTACTTTACTTGATTCACAACTTGATCCAAAAATTGCGTTTCCACGTAGTCCAGTAGATGTGCAAGTCGACAGTTAAAAACATGATGGAAAGTCGTATTGTCATATGAAATTGTGTTATTAATCTCACGAATATTTTCCTGCAAGAACTGGAGGAAGTTTTTGAGGAAGAGTGAAATCCTGAAAAAGGATATGGTGTCGAGAATGGCTTACACGGAGAGAAAGTCAAGGAGCTTCCACCAATTTAATAAGGGAGCTGAGATTTGAAGATCCTAAATAATTCAGAATGATGCTAAGAATGACTGCTGAAAAATTTGACTATTTCTTAGGCTAAATAAATCCATTAATCCAACGAGAGGACACTATTATGATAGACGCTATCAAACCAGAAATAATGTTGGAAGTAACCTTGAATTACCTAGCAACTGGTAATAATTACAGAACCCTTTCTCATCTCTCCCGAGTTTCTAAATCAGCGATATCTATCATGATGCCCATTGTTTGTGAAACTGTGTATGACTGCTTAAAGCATTTCGTGAAGGTACGTGAATAGATAATAATATACTAAGTGACATATAAATCCGAACACCCAGTTTAAATGGTTTTATTTTAATAGAATTTTGTATAAGTACTCAATGAAGCATAATAACTCAGATGGTGGTATTTTTCAAAACAGTGTAATTTCAGGAGCTCTAGAAGAAAGATAACTACCCGATGGTTACTTTTTAGTTGGTGATGATGCTTTTCCACTAAAACTCTATCTATTTAAACCATATAGTAGATACCGACTACCTCTTACCGATGAAGAAAAGATTTTCAATTATCGGCTTAGTCGTGCCAGAAGAATAGTGGAAAATGGTTTTGGAATCTTAGCAAGTAGATTTCGTGTTTTTGAAACAAAAATAAAGATAAAAGTTTCCTATGTGAATAAACTGGTTAGTGCTGGAATTGTAATTCAAAACAGGCTACGAAAAACGTCACCAGATCAATACTTCAATAATGCACAATTGGTTGATTGTCAAAACCAACACACTGGCAAAATAATACCTGGACAGTGGAGACAAGAGATACGAGACCTGAGAAACATACAGCGGCGTCAGAGATAGCAAAACAAATGCCAAACAAAATGAGGGATTATACTATTTCTGAAGGAGCAGTGCCTTCGCAACGAAATTTTATAAATTAGTTACCAGTTATTACAAAAATACACTTTTGACTTACTATGCTTTTCGTTTCATTTTCAGCTGTGTAGCTATCCATTATTTCTTCCATTTTTCGGAACCACTTGACAGTTGGAACGTATATATCATCCGGTTTACCTCCTGATTTCCCAGACTTTTTAAACTTCAACGCTTCCTGATTATATAGGTTGTTCCCATTATCTTAATTTTTTGTTTTAATTCTGCCACCCCAAAACCTTCCTTTTCCATCCTGTTCACGATGTCCTCTTCCGCTACCTTTCGCATGTTTTTATTGCGATAATTTACACTACTCTTCTTTCATAAACACTCTTTTTCACTTCAACAAAATTCATGGTTTCTTCTTCTGGCCACTTCATCTTGTATAAATTCAACCTTAATTCACAATTTGTAATATACCAAAATCACCGAAATTATTTGCTTATCTGTGAGTGCAAATCCACAATCCATACGCAAAAACTTATTTACTCTTGCATTTTCTGTTTACATTGGTAAAGTAGACGGTCAAGTTGGCGATCCAGTGAAGTGGGGGTAGCAGTCAAGTAAAGTTACTTGTTCACCGTGCAGAACCACTTGACTTGCCTCGTCACTTGAGGCAAGTCGTTACTTTACTTGACCGAAGTCGTTTAGACGATGCAAGTAGAAAAAAATACTTGACTTCACTGCTCAACTTGACCGTTTACTTGACCCGTGTAAACCCGGCTTTACAGGTCTAACTTTCCTATCAGTGTGCGTGTTTACTTTTTTATGGATATTTTCGATGTGACGATTTAGTGACTTGACGGAAGCATGATAAAGACCACACGTTTTGCATGTTCGACTTGATAGCCTCAATTTTACTGTCGGACAAAAATAATCGTAGGGCATTTGCAGGAAATCTTTGAGTGAAGCACTTAAGCGTAGAGCTAAATTGACAGGAAGATTAAGAAATTGCCCTCCTTCATCCAAAACCAAGTCATCAACTGTTTGTGTTACTTTTACAGGTGGTGGAAGAAACCTATTGTCTAGTAATCTAAATAGGCCACTTCTTGGACGACAGCATTCTGTATTTCTACATTTTACAATTTGAAGCAAGTATTGGCTCTCACGCACATGTTCTGAATACCATTTCATGTCTGGAAAATCAGGAAGATCTTGTTCACCTGCCCCAACATATTTTGCATTAACATTATAGCCATCAATTTCTATTCAGCTAATACATTTCCTGCAAATTCGAAATTAGATCGTTCTAAATGTTCATCAATTTTAACGTCACGTTCATCCAAATGAGACCCAAAATGGTCATGAGGCAATATTAAACTAGCCAGTTCCCGACTAAGAGGAGCCATTCTGCGCTCTACTCTGTTATACGCACTTCTTCCAGGAGCATTGGTAGCGAAAATCAATGCATCGAGATCATGTCGCTTAAAGTGTTGTATAGCAAACCCTATGACTTTGTGATAACGTGGATTTTCATCTGGCCCTCCAGCAACCGTCATGATTACCACTGGTTTTACTAGTCAAGTTCGAGACGCGTCTCGAAATCCTGAGCATGAGTATTAGCAGTAGATGAACTATGCTTTCCACTTCGAATAGCGATGTATGTTGGTCCAGAATATCCAACGGTTTCCGGTTGTCCTAGCATATTGGAAGTGATTTTGATACCAGCATAAAGAGATGGTATTAATTATGTCGCTCAGCGATTAGCCAATCGTGATCAGGTAATTTGATTCTATATTCCATGTGCATTAGAAGAGGTGCTTGCTTATTTGCCGCAGTTACGCCAATAGGGACTCGAGCTTTATCATCTTGAGATATGAAAAATACTTGATCTGGTCCAAGTATGGATGCTATGTTCTCTAAATAATGGATTGATGTTTCAGCGAACTTGCTATCTAAGTGGCTCTTGTGGTGATCAGTTTGAGCCGAATGAGCTTAACAGGGACTGTTGATACATTTCTTCGTCCCTCTGCAGAATTAGATTTTCTGGGAATCAAACGAAGATGTGTCCAATTGCGACTAATGTCAAATCCTATTTTACGTAATTCTTGTGTGAGTTCATCAAGAGTTTTTACGCTACGAATTGATTCCGTTCGTCTTCTATCATCTGCTGCACTTCCAAATAAAGCTATATCCGCGATTGTTTTCAATAGTGAATGTTGATTGCTATCAAGATTAGGACGTCCCACTGAATCCCTCAGAGATAGGCTTTTTTTTATTTCTGGATTTTCATAACAAATATCTTCTAACTTTCTTTTCATACCATCCCTCTGTGTTTCTTCTGGGCAACTGCGTTTTGAACCTTCCTGTTAAAAGACTGTTTTGCTGTTTTTATTTCCTCGCGCAACTTAATGATCTGTTTATCAACTTCAGCACGGCTTGGCATAGTATCTCTGACTAGTATCTCATAGCTTCCTGAGAAGGTTTTGCTCTCTGTTTATCTGTATTTTCATTAATTTCGCATTGCTGTTGTGATTCATTACCGGGTTTTATTTTATCTTCTTTCTCTTTTTTAATATTTGAAGCTGACTGTATAATTTGCGTTTTTTCTGCCGAAACAATACACTGATAGACGAAATTTAGACAAGTGTACACCGCGCGGTAATTCCCCTACTCGGTTCTAAAGCGAGTAGGGGAATTACCGCGCGCTGTTCACTAAGCCTATGCATTATTTGCGAGAATCTCCGAAAATGCGTTTCGTTTTCAAGCAAAGACAATATGAGGGTTGCCAATCGTGTAAAAAAGTAAATAACTACCGATGACGTAATCATCATCTAGACTCCCCTACCCCCCATGTCATCCAAAATAAGCAAAGCCCCCCCATAGTGCTCACGTAATACTTGAACGGCCCCTAAATAGTTACACCTGTCAGGTGTACCTGATTCTGATAGTCTGTGGCGGTTCTCAGGAGACCTGATAACTGATGAAAATTCGACCGGTTCTGCCTGCCAGGCGAGTAGACTTGATGCGTTTGTGTGGCGACGAAACCTGAACAGGTCTCAGTTTTTAACAATCCTTATATGAACAAAATTAAATTCTTAGGTAGATTTTGAAAAATTTCGCAACGAAATAATGAAGTTCTTGGTGATTTCACTGAAATTTATAAAAGTGAACCTTGCTTGTGGATTGTGATAGATAATGACTATCGTAATAGGAACAAGAAAGATGCTGCATACAGAAAATTAGTGACTAAATTGAAGGAAATAGAGCCTGATGCAAACGAGACCTTGGTAAAAAAAATAACAGTTTGAGATCCAATGTATCCAAGTAGCAAAAGAAAATTAATTGACTCCTCAATAAAATCCGGCGCCTCAGCACCTTCCCCTTTCGAATTCATAAAGGACCAAGATAATCCTAGATCATCAGTCTTAATTTACTTCCTGCAAGTAACAATGATGAGGTAATGAAAACATGAATATTCTTTTTGACACTGTTTATTTAAATCTATAAATAATCATCTAGTTGAGTTTATTTTTACTTAGGTAAGTGAATAAAAGTTTAGTTTAGAAAGCCTTATCCAACTTATAACTACAGCATTTTAGTTCATTAGTTCTGTTTGTTTCTCAATATGTGTTTATTTTGCCATGGCACTTTCTCTACAACCATTCCTTACATCATTGTTTGCGTTTCTTCCGCCTGTTGTTACGTTTCGCAAAAGTTACAAAAAATAGGGCGAGAAAGAGCAAATCATCTGATGGAGAACTGACAAACTTGACAGCTATACATGAAGAGTGTGTGTGCTCCTGGTATACTACAACTATTTAAAACTCATACGCATGATCAACACGTGATCAGAGCTCGATCCCGGCTTCCTTCCAGTACAGCCGTATAGCGTACGACATATGTCGTTTCTGTGGCTTTGCGGTGGTCAACAGCACAGACAGAGATGGAAATAATGGCTGATTGTTCTCCGCCCGTAGAACCAGTGAAATCAAAGACGCGCCTCGACCGGCAGACTCATAGGCGTCGGCAACGCATTGTAACGTGTTTCGTTGAGCGATCGCATATTGTGTGTTTTTATAAGAATTGTTGTGTGATTGTTATTGTTGTGGTTTCTGTGGTTACTGTTTTGGTTATACTTAACCATGGAGAGTACAAATGGCACGAGTGGAAGTACTGAAAGCCAGGGAACAAGTAGACGGCTTCGTAAAGCACTGAAGAGGGACGCGAAAGAAATCGTGCTCAACGTGTTCAATTATCTGAACAGAACTATGTCGCAGGGAGATGCACTCGTGCGTTGTGAAAGTATGACAGGCGTTCCAGAGTGGACCATTCGCAGGGTGGTGCAGGAAAAGAAGAAAACTGGAGCTACTACTGATCCAAAGTTTAATTTGAAGGGACGAAAGGCCGTTAAATTGGATGACGATAGCAAAATGGCGTTAAGGCGAACCGTACATTCATTCTGCTTTAGCAATGAGATACCAACCCTCAAGGCTGTACATGCAGCGATCAAGGAAAATGAAATTATACCCCAAATGAGCGTCGAGGTAATGAGGAAATCCCTGCACGAAATTAATTTTCGTTACGAAACGCGTAATCGGAAGTCAGTATTGATAGAGAGACCTGAAATAGTCGCCTGGCGTCGAAAATACCTACGCGAATTGATTGAATATAGGCGACAAAGCAGAAAAATCTATTATTTGGACGAGACATGGGTAAATGCAGGTCACACAGTTAAAAAAACCTGGATAGACAAAAACGTAGTGAGTAACCGACAAGCAAGCATTGAAGGTTTGTCAACAGGTCTTCGTGGAGCGTCAGGGAAAGGTCAAAGATTGATCGTAACTCATATTGGTAGCGATAGTGGCTTTTTAGAAGAGTGTGACTTGATTTTCGTCTCTAAGAAAGGAGGTGATTACCATGACGAAATGAATGCCAGCTGCTTCGAGAGCTGATTTCAAGGGGTGCTTCAGCGAGTTGAGCCCAACTCTGTGATCGTCATGGATAATGCTTCCTACCATAGTCGTCGAGCCGAACGTGTACCGACTATGGGATCTCGAAAAAGTGACATGCAGCAATGGTTGCGCGAAAAAGGAATCCCGTTTGACGATTCATGTGTGAAAGCGGAATTGTATGAAAAAATTAAACAGCACAAACCTGCGAACATTAGTTACGTGACTGATGAGATGGCCCGTCAATGTGGTGTCACTGTGCTTCGGTTACCGCCCTACCACTGTGAACTGAACCCAATAGGGCTCAAGTGAAGGGTTATACTGCGCGCCATAACACAACCTCCAAATTACCAGACGTTAAGGTTTTACTTGAGACTTCCATACAGCTAGTAACGCCTGAAGCTTGGCAGAATGCTATCCGTCATGTTGTGAAGGAAGAAACAAAAATGTGGCAGCTTGTCCACCACATCGACACCATCATAGAGCCAGTTATAGTCAATTTCAACGAGGAAAGCGACAGCGACAGTTTATTACTGTCAGATGTAAGTGGAGGCGACGATGAATAAAGGTAATTCCCAAATTTTTGACTTACAATATGTTTCAAACCACTCTTTATTAAGCATGTGACAAATCTAGTTCACCCATGTTAAACATTCATACCCCGCCTATGAACAGCCGACTACTGGTAGTTAAGTGATGTTCACGTGAACATCGATGAGTCATTACAGTTTTAGATAGTTATAGTATAGTAGGGGTAACTGTTCAGGCGTACCTGTCAGATGTACCTGATAGTTTGTGGCCAGCATTAAATGCAGATGCACCTATGACATATGTATAGACAACATGTTTCGGTGATGCTTGCATTACTGGTGGCATAAGGTATCCAATAATAACAGATCTATATTTATTACTGATTGTTGCGACATCTATCTGTTATTAGTCAAAAACCAGCACAAACTGTCATGTAGGAAAGTTTAATTTTTTGTACTAACAAAACCGGCAACCCAGACCACGTTTTATTAATTTTTGGGAGTTTTCATAAACCCTTTGACGATGTCTGGTGGTAAATGCGGAAAAATGTGTTCACGTAAGCAAATAATTTTTATTTAAACATTTTATTTGGTGTTTTTTATCAGAGTTTGTGCCTGAAAGTATTGTGTTACAAATCAAATGTACCGCTATTTTGTCATAAAATCTCTCCACACTCCAACTATTCTACGACATTTGGCAGCACTGCTGACAGTTCAAATATAAATATTGCAAAAACGGGCAAGTTGCAGAATTTGTGCTTGCACTGATTAATTACGAAATTTTTATGATGTAATGTTTGATAATTGTCTTGTTGACTAATAGATTGAGTGATAAGGTTATGTTCCTAAAAGTCAAGTTTTCAATAATTGCAGATTCACGTGCGGTTACCTTTAGATCTGTGTGCATCTTGCCCTGTTCCTGCGATACACATCCGTAACCTTGACTTAAAGTTATTGAAATTTAATTGAAAGTCATTTACGATATCGTTAGAATTCTTGAACTCATTTAAGAAAGTATTTTTGAGGTATCTGAAATATCCTCAACATGGCTAAGTTTCTATCTTGCGAAGGTAAACTATAACTTTATTATACTTGGTAAGATGAATAAGGATAGTTCTTTTCCAGACAGCAACTCGGATGTGTGCCTGGCACTCTACAGAAAGTCACTCAAGTCAAAAGCCATGGATCATGAAGGAACACACTTCGATGCTCAGATTCCTCATGTGTTTGTCACTCTTGGTGCTTCCGTAAGTCTTCTTTTTCTCTACATCATTGATAATTCTAGATGCAGAATACAGCAACATTTCATTAAATTCCAAAGATAATTTAATTATCACAATTTTCCATTGCAATCAAAAATGTTTGTTTTAAGAATTGTATTTTCTGTATACTAGAATTTTACAAAGTTAGACCATCTTTTACCTATATTCCTTCTCATTAAAAGCTGGCTAAGTACAGCTTTGATGATAGAAGTCTTGAACTTGTGACATCTCACCTTAATAAAACAAAGTATGTTGGTTACAGAAAGTTGTTCCGAGGTCTTAAAGATAGAGCAATGGTACCATATGGTTCAGTTATAGGTCCTACACTTTTTATACTGTTCATCAATGACTTGCAAAGAATTATCCTGCATGCCTTAGGGGGCACTTATTCTATTGAAAATCCAGACACTTATTATATATTTATAATGATGAACAAGACAAACATTGGTTTGCTGCAAATTGCGTCTTTATAAGAGATGCTAAAATGCACTGTTATACTGTTACAGTTGAGAGATACAGAGAAATGGGCATCCAAAGTTTGAACCTCACTTTCATTTATTGAATCACATATTCTCTGACTTACTTATTATTCTCCTTTCATCGAGACAGTTGAGTATCTTGAAAATATAATTTCAGCAATTTGATTAAGCTGCTATAATAGATTAAAAACAATAACTGATTTTAAAATACTAAGCTAAATAGATGTATGTACAACTTAGTAGACTGATTGAGTGTTATCTCCAGCAATATTTCATTTTAATAAGATACCTTTATATATACACATATTTTGATTACAACTTTAGCTTTAAGTTAAATGATTAATTTATTATATTGGCCTAGTTCCTTGCAAGGATCTTTTGAAGAGTATAATTTAACTTAAACTAAATGAATAATGATTAACTTTGCAGTAAAAAAAAATATTTTATATGCCATATAATAGAACAAAGTGTTACATAATAATAATTTATGTTTCATTTATCTACTAAATGAGGGAATAATAACTGTTTATTTGCTAGCATGGCCTTCTATGGTCCACCCACCTTAGATTTTCTCATACAGAATTGAGACTGAATGATAGTATTTGGTCTTACAGCTCCAGCAAAAAAAATGGGTTTGTGATACATCTTTCAAAATGTGTATTTGCTGTTAACATATTCTGTTTTGTTTGAGTGTTGAAGGGCTTATTTATTGTCATCACATTTTTTTAAATAGGGTGATCTGGCAAAAAAGAAAATATACCCAACACTATGGTGGCTCTACCGCGACAATCTCTTGCCGGTGAATACTGTGTTTTTTGGTTATGCTAGAAGTAAAACCTCTGTAGAAGAGATCAGACAAAAATGTAAGCCTTACATGAAGGTCAAAGAATCTGAGGAAGAGAAATATGAAGACTTCTGGAAAATTAATCATTACGTCTCAGGCCAGTATGATTCCAGAACTGACTTTGAAAAGCTCAATCAAGAACTGAATAAATTCGAGAAAGGACCTGTAGCAAACAGGATCTTCTATTTAGCTCTTCCACCTTCAGTTTTTGAACCTGTTACAGTGCATATTAGACACGCTTGCATGGCTCTCAAGTAAGTGAAATTTTAATATCATTTCTACCAGTTTTCATCAAATTCCTTCAAAATTCAATTCTCACCATTTGGATGTCCAAATAATTTCATGATACTCAAAATACTGTTGTTTTAAAATTTGAGACAATGTGGTTGTTTCAGAAGCCTGGAATTTGGACTTCCAGTGTCTATACAATTTTTAAAATCATGACATTTTGATTGATATGGGACAATAAATAATAAAATGTCATGTGGGGTTCCCATATGGAGATACAGGCCTTTAAAGGAAAATATTGGAATTTGTTTTTTCTTCAGTAACTTTTGACCAACACGGTATAATCCAACAAAATTTTGAAGGCTTAGTAACTAGCTGGAGTCTTACTTAACGGTTTCTATGGAAAACAATTCACTCACTCATAGATTGCAGACATACTAGCCCTAACACAATATTGATGACATTCTTTACATCCTTCATAATGATGACCTAAAAACAATATTTTTAGGTACGTCTGATCATTTAGCTGAAAGAATATTTTCTTGTTGGATTTCAATCAAATGAGCTACCGATCCCTATCGATTTACACTGCAGCTACTCTTAACTATTAATTCAGTGCAAGTTGTAACACTTAATCAATCAAATTACATTTAGCGGTATCCCTCTGGCTTTTGAGATATTCAACAAGTTTATAACTCTGACAGCTATACAGGGTGTCCTGAAAGTTTGGACTTTCCTTTTCAAAAACAACTACATTTGTGTCAACAAAGCTAAAGTGTGGTGTAACCACAGTGAAAAAGCAAATTCGCACATGTAGTTCGTGTGTGCTCACCTCAGTTTTGTACACTATACATGTCATTTCGCCCCAAACAAAAACAGAAATCATGAAGCATCTTGAAAAAACGATCTGCATGCACTCGCGAAGCCTCGGTAGCACTTCGGAGACACTCACCGTGAATCAAAATATTATGAACAACTCCCAATATTGCTGCACGAGTGTGAATTTTTTTTATTTTTTTTTTTAGAACCGATGTGTAAAGGTTCTGTTTACGATGCGCATCGTACGTGTTCGCGTTCGGTCTGATCGAGGTGCAGGACCGGATTAGGTTTTATTTTGCGGAGCCTAACGTCTCGGTAATCTTAAGACTTTGGTTAATATGTAACTCTGAAAACATTTCATTTTTCCAAGATTTATGTACCGTGTAAAGGGATATCCCAACTTTGAGGATATCCTGTTTACTGGTCTTATTGTTAAACAATAATTAATATCCAATAAGAGTTACCTTTATGGGTATAAAATTCCTGGTATGTCCGCTAAAAAAAAGCATGTAAATGATGAGTTTTTTAATACATCAGCAGTGTCACCAAAGGTACATCATTCACCCTTCTGATTCATATGAATGCTACTAGATATAGAATATGCATATCCTGCTTTGCTTTTCATTCGAAATCAGCATGTTTTTTGCAAATGGTATTGGATATACATATTCAAAATTCTCTGCAGAAGGCTGTCTATTGAGGCTGGAGGAGCAGTGGACGAAAAAATATTGTAAGATTTTCTAGGCACACATTAGAATGGCTTCTGGTAAGAACTGTGGATGTTTGATGTTTGTAGAGTTTTTTGAGCTTCAGCTTTTCAAATGTTTGCTCGCTTACTGTTACATTTTACGTCGAAAAAACTCAGGAATAATGGTTTTAATGGCTGTTTGCAACTATGGTTTAGTTAAAACTTATACTAACCTTCCATTGTGAATGTGATTTTCGAAATTGATAGATTTTTCAAACTAATAGGTAGAAGATCATTCAAGCTTAAGAGAATTGTAGCGTAGCTGAATGAATTTTGAATATTACAAAAACATTTTACTTAGGTACATTTCACACAATATCATTATTTTCATGAGATTGATCTAGAATTGCTTTTTGGCGCCATCATTACGGACCAATGAATATTATATATGATAAATGGAGTTGAACAAAATAATTAGTTGATGGGAAAGAAACCATTTATTTTCTGCCATTATTCTGCTGGCTCTAATGCAAGTATAATATTGCAAGCAATATCATGAAGAGTTCTTCAAAGTTATCTCTACGTATACGAGATCGAGTATAAATCTTGCTAATTGTCTTTTAATATAGACCATTTGCTATAAGTGGTCTGTAAATTATGTAGAATCCAGCTGCAATAACCAGGTTCAAATGTGCAGTCATTTTTGTTTAATTTTACAACTGGTGGGCGCAGAATGTGCCTTTTTTATTATTGGATATCAGCAGGGAATATATAGCTCCAATTAATTCGAATTTTGACAGTCCATCGTCGAGTTCTTATTTAACCTACGGTGGATTTCTCGATTGATTTCATAGTAAAGCAAGTCCCCTTAGGACTCCTTATTTTCACTGTGAGAGCATGGGAAGTGCTGAGTCAGCCTACTTGAGGACATTTTTCAAAACCTTGACACCGAGCAGCTAATATTTATGTTTTGCTAGTACTTCAATAGCAGGAGAAAGATTGCCTTTGGTATGAATTAATTATGATTTGTTTCGCGAGGACTTCTGAAAATGTAAATCTTTGTTGTCTTTACCAATTAAACCTATCGTGAAAAGTTCAAGGTCCAAAAAATTCTTTCCGATTTATTGAAAAACCAAAAAAGACAGATCGTGATCCATAACTAAATGACCATCAAAAACGATATCTTTGAAAAGAATAGTCATCTTGTAATTTATCTCGGACTTGGTTTAATTATGCACCAATCATATAATTAAAATCATCTTAATCATTGATCATTTGATTTGTTTTTGTTCGTTGAAATATTGCTATACATACATGATGTTATCAGTTTATAATCCGAATTTTTTTTGCATCACGTGATTTCTGTTACAAAAGTAAACCTAATCTGATAAGCATAATTAGACAAATATAAATGATTTGTGTAACAATTCGTATTCCATTGCATGACTTTCCTTTGACATTTTTATGCCAAATGCTTATCATAAACAGATGCGGTTGAATGTTCTCAGACGTTATCACTAAAATTAGTTCGGCAGATGCTTTCATAAGACAGATACAGATATCAGGTGGATGAGCTAAGCCAATGTTTTTTTATAATTATCAGTTGAAGATTTACTTGGAATGATGATTGAACATTAAAGAAACATGCTAGTAATACCATTTTTGTATAATGTCGTAAATTCCTCTTGCGTTAGTGGCACCATCGGACGATTGGTTGTTGAGTCATACGCGATTCAATGTACAAAAATGATCAACTTCGACCATTGTTAATGATAGTGACTTTATAGTCTGGGGTTATAAACTATGTAGTCATCCGGATATTCAAAATGTTGACCCTCCGTTCCGTTAAAAAAGTCAAGATTGCGGTTTCGCGCTTGCGCACTTGAGCCATTCAAAAACCTATATAAAGTTTGTTAATCTTGCTAGAAAATCAATCAGGAGAACCACTGTACTAGTTTTAAACTCAACAGACAACAGTTATTGGTTGAAAAATTCCAAAGTAAGATTTCGTAATGTTCATATAATGACCTAGTAATTTGAACATTACCTGTACAATACCCGGCGAATTGTTTAAAATTATTATTACAATTATCAAGAATAGCGAAATAACATGCCAGCCTTGAAAAAATGTGCTAATGTGAGGTAATTTAAATTTTAAATACTTTTGGGTATACCCATTTTAGTATATCGCGTAGCGTGTGTGAGATACATATTCCTCAATAATTGATATGGTTTCTACTCCTGAGAAAAAAGTGGCTTAATCAGCCGAAAGACTTTAAAAAGTTGTATACGCTTCTGTAAAAAATATAAAATAGATTTTCAGAGCAGTAGTTTTGGTTATAGGGGAATCATGACCTCTGTAATATAAAGTCAAGTAGATTGACTTTTTGTTTGTGTTTTCAAAAATACGTCAATTTATTCTGCTTAAAAATGTCTACTGAAAAAGTTTCGAAACTATCACATTGGTGGACATGTTTTTCATTGCTCCCAATTTCCTTTTTGAAGTATTTTCCCGTACGCACGGAACTATTTATCAATTTCTCTCTTTCAACTATTTTCACGCTAATGCTTTATAATATTATGTGGATGCACTTTTTATACTTCTGTGTATGGTTTTCATTCACTATAACAAATAAAATTTTGACTGCAAATCTTCTCTTTCCCTTGTGGTTATCTGATCAATTCCATTTCAAGGGGGGGGTTAAATGGCATAAAATGATTTTAATTTTTCGTAAAAACGCCACAGGCTATTTCTTTCATTATGTAGCTCGGTGATCAAAATATAACATTTGTCAAAACATGGTCACAGTAAGGCGTTAAATTCAACAAACACGCGTATATGCATCGTTTGAAAAAATGCCTAGATTGGAAAGAATTACTATAAATATCCATTGTAAGAGTTCACATTTCAACATTAAACCTCTATAAACTAACTAAGTTACCTGGAAGGGAGAGATGAAGTCGAAAACCTATATTCCCTTATTATATATTAGTAGTTTTATTATTACTTCTCATATTTTGCACTTCAATAAAAATAATATTTTTTTATTAATGCATACGCACATATTTAATGTTATCTTTTAAATATCTGAGCATACCGTATGTTAAATACCGATTTATAAAAGATAATAAAAGCCTTTTTCAGAAAATTAAAATCATTTCCCACTGCCTCCCTGTTAGACGTAGAAAGATATTTTTGTAAAAAGATACTACAAATGCATGATGAAAATACCTGGGAAAAAGTTTGTCATTTTCCAAACGTTCTTAAGGGTATAAAATTTGAACTATTTTAGATCAGGATAAATTAATTTTATTCCATTAACACGAACCAACAGTACTTTTTTACCTTACATTATGATAGGCACTCAAGAATACGACCATTCTGGGCTAGCACAGATTTTAGGAAATGATGCTGTTTTTAAATGCAACAGATAGGACTACCAAATTCGATGTTTCTGGTGAATCATTCAACATTACTTTTTTACGTGTTGTGTGTTTGAAAAAAATCGAACTCTAGATATGGATCACAATAAAAGAGGGCAAGAACTATAATTATTGTTTTCATATAGCATGTGGGTTGAACGGATTACTATTTTTCTCTCACTTTTTTTATTATTATTCAGAAAGGTTTTTGGGATTAAGAACGTTTGTAAACCAGAGTTAGTTCTTGGTAACTTTTACAAACTGTTGAAAAATATAACTCTATATACTGCCATACTGTGTAAGTGACCCTAATATGTGTAACCTATTAATTCAATTAAAACTCAACTTCTTCATCCTTGTGAGATGCCGATAGGTGACACAATATATTCCGCTTTTGATTACTTCATAGCAAATTAGTCCAATCTGGCCTTCTTTTGGTGGCATTACGAGAATTCCTCCTATGTTCCGCTCCTGGCTCCTTTGCAGATGCTTATTTGATGAAGGTTGTTGACAGTGAATCAAGTGATCTTAGTAGTCTACGTTGACAAAATATTAAATGACTAAAGCTTATATTGAAACGAAAACACCGTTATTACTGTCAAAAGTCCAATTTATTACTCTAACACTAATTTATAACTATGTGGACTGGACTATGTGGATGCGTCAGTCGCACTTCGTTCACTGTCTCGACTGTGACTGACTCCTTCCGCCATCTGGTTAGGTATTTATTCCCATATCGAGGAGTCGAGATACATTCCAGGGTTTTCGCGAACTGCCTTGGATGGTTATCAGAAAAATAAAAAATGTGAATTAAGTGTAGCTTTATTGCATGCATATGAGAGCGGAGCATATGAATGAACCCCGTTATTTAACATAACACTGCTTAATCTTCACGCTGTTTCAAGTAAACAATGTTTTATGTTACCAATACTTTTTTCAGAGGATGGACAAGGATAATAATAGAAAAACCTTTCGGGAGAGATCTGGACTCTTCCGAAAAGCTCTCTTCTCACCTGGGCTCGCTGTTCAAAGAAAATCAGATCTACCGAATCGATCATTACTTGGGCAAAGAGATGGTGCAGAATCTGATGACCCTGCGTTTCGGAAACAGGATATTCAGTCCCAGCTGGAACAGAGACAATATTGCATGTATTCAGATCTCATTCAAGGAGCCCTTCGGTACTCAGGGTAGAGGAGGGTACTTCGATGAATTCGGGATTATACGAGATATCATGCAAAACCACTTGCTGCAGATCTTCACCCTCGTTGCCATGGAGAAGCCTACATCGGTTCATCCTGATGATATTAGAGATGAAAAGGTACAAAGTTAACATCTAAAAAGATTATTCTGTAGTTGTTCCGCTAATCAGTCTCTGTGTTCCACTGGCCGACAAATGGAACCACAGATGTTGAAATAAAAGACCACTGACGTTTCCGCCACCTCGGAAGACTTCTATAAAGTTCAAAATTCGGCACCTGAAATATTGAAATTCTGTTAGGAAACTACTAGATTGCGAAGTAGATAATCTTATACAAACGTATACCTTATTTTCAATGCTTGATATGATACATTGATTGGGACTTGGCAAAATTATTTGTTTGCCGCCTTGTATTATTTATCTAAATCTGGATTGAAATCTACTATAGAACAAACTTACAAATCGTATGACAAAGCAAAAATATTAGAAAGAATTGTTATAGTTTATTTGTCTGCATTAGTTATTCTTAAGTAAAGTTTGAGATATTTCAAAAACGGTTAGACTTAGGTATAGCATGATATACAGGAATATTTAAAATCTCGCCTAGGATCCAAAAATTGGATAATATGCTAGGTATTCCATTTTAAGTAAGCGAATTTATATCTTCTTCCGGTGCAACCGTTTTAACAATATATCAGCGGAATTGAGTGTCTATAGGTCATACTATAAGCTGAATTTACTGCTTTACTGACGACGACTTTTCGAGTAATCAATCGCTATCTACATGGGCCACCCTGTTTATAGTTTAACTCCATAATTATACTGCATATATCATTGTATTTACATAAACATCGCAAATCGGTGATTATTTTCCTATTACCATAGATTAACTATTCGGAAATATGTTTGAATGCTAACATAATCAACTTTTGTTCCTAAATTTTTGCAACTCAGCAATGTTTTAATTAGCAGGTATGTTAAAACTTTTATATCCTTGGGTGGGAACAATAATGGATTATGATCTTTCCAGATTGCGACAGTCACTGAGGGCACCTTTTACCGCTTGAAACAGTTTCTGAAGTTAGATAATTCGCTACTTCCGTTGTTTTTCATATTTTTCAACGGCAATGGATAAAGTGTCAAGTAGATTGCCTCAGTACTTCACAGATTGAAATTGAAGGCCCTTGGCCTAATGGCACAAATACGTTCCAAAAACATTCTCGGAACATGGTAGAGGGTCCTGGTAGGTCGCCTAAAGCCGCAAGACGTTGTAGGGACGTCCATGGAATCAATTTTGTTGCACAAAAACACAATACATATATTGATACTAATTCAACACAAACCATTAGAGTAACAAAAATGATCTGAACTTGATTCATGTAGACTTTGATTATGGCTGCTTCTCATACATTTATAACGCGAGCCTAGCTTGTCTAATAAAAGCATATGATAAGGTCAAGCTTATGCATTAAAAATCGTTAAGGAAATTTATGGTTACCTTGGATTAGAGTGAATTTGCAAAAATCACAAAATGCGACAAACCAGCAACAAGCCATAAAGTTGGAATATCCGAAGAAAAAACGTCACACCACAGGGCACATCTTACATTTCAAATCCAAATCAAACTAATTGATCATTATCAAAAAGTACCTCTGAGAAATGGCAACAATTTGTTTAAACGTAAGCTCTATTGAACCTATGATCTAAAAATGTGTTTTACAAGAAAAAATCAATGGTAAATGATACTTCTATAATATAAAAAAAAACGTGCTGCGCGGTGTTATAGAATTTATTTAATTTTTATAATATGACCTATTAAGCTTTCCTGACTAATAAACATAACTATCATATACAGGGCGTCCCAGAAATAACACGCCAGAGTGACACGGGAGGTAGATTTATCTCAGATCAATCAGATAGAACCAACATGGCGTTAGTAAAAGTTGTCTAGTTTTCGAGATATTGCCACTTAAAATTTTTCAAAAAAAATCCCTACTTGTTGATCCTTCTTTGCCTTTTATGGCTACAAAGAACTTATATCTTATGATTTTTTCCTAGGCTACAATTATTAATAGTTGGTTGAGACAACCCAGTATTCATTTAATTGAAAACGGTTTGCTAAAACTAAATTATTACAATTGGTTTCAATGCGAAAACCTTTACTAAAGTTTGACTAATTACTGTGAAAAAAATTTAACAGACTGAGTCAGCAAATGACCTTAAAAACCAGCTGTTTAATGCTCTTTCAAAAATTGTACAACATGTGTAGGTTCTTTTTACTAAAAACTGATAATTCCAACTTTTGTCGTAATACTTTCGAAATACTACAAATAAAAAATAATAAGTGCAGCTGTGTCTTGTGTCCAAATTACAAACAGCTATCCATTATCCTTTTTTTATTCATTGTTGTATGCAGGCATCAAAATAATGAACAGAACATTAGGTTGTATTTTTTTAGAACATTCAAATCAAATAAGTTATTAGGAATCAATATTAACATCTTAAATTATCTAAATGAAAATTAAATTAACATCTTGTAATGTAAATATTGCCTGAAATGAATGATTATCATTATTATTTTCGCAACAGATTTTCAAAATGTCGACTACCGACCCTTATACATAACCTGCATCTTCTTAAAAATTGTCCTTCTAAACATTTCAAACTTAAGTCGGATATTTCTCATAGACCTTATGTTTTAAACATCCAGAGGGTTCAGGTCTGAGGAGCGTGGTGGCCACAAAATTGGTCCTAGCCAGCCAATCCATCTTCTATGGAATGTTTCATCAAGATACCCCCTTACTGCACTAGCATACTGTGCAGGGCCTCCATTATTCTGTAACCACATCCTTCTTCCTGTATCAAGAGGCACAACTTCCAAAAGAATGAGTGGACGATGAAATGAATACTACTCGGTTGTCTCGACCATCTATTAATGGTAGCGCAGGAAAAAACATAAGTTAGAAGTTCTTTATAGCCATAACAGGCATGAAAGGAGCAAAAAGTAGGGATTTTTTGCAAAAGCTTGAAAGTGGTAATAACTCGAAAACCAGAAAACTTTTAGTAAGGTGATTTTATCTGATTGATCTGCAGCCAATCCACCTCGCCTGTCACTCTGGCGTGCTATTTCTGGGACACCTTTTATAGAACAATAGAATTTTAATGTATTTATTGTACCGTGGCGGCGATTCGATTGCTACCTCAATGCGCTAACCTCCGAGATTGCCGCTCCCCAAATGTTCGAATAATTTTTTCTAATTAATGATCCTTCGCGTTTCAGGTGAAGGTTTTGAAATGCACGAAAGACCTGCAACTTGAAGACGTGGTTTTGGGACAATACGTTGGTAACCCTGATGGTGAAGGTGAAGCGAAAGAGGCTTACCTTGATGACCCAACAGTACCAAATGACTCTGTCACTGCTACATACGCCATGGCGGTACTAAGAGTCACAAATGAAAGATGGGATGGAGTACCATTTGTGCTAAAGTGTGGAAAAGGTAGAAATCATTTGCAATCGGAATATCTCACCACCAATATCACGTAATTGAAACATTATATTCAAATTCAAATTATTTATTGTCCTTTACCGTCTGTCACGATACGAAATTTTGTGCTAAATTCAGCACGCTAAATTTTCTACAAAATTAAGGTTAGTGTCCGACAGCATTTAGTAGATGTTATCAGTTGTGTCCATCAGTTTCGCAAAACTCCCCTGCTTATGCTGTTCTAAAGGGTGATCCATCTTTTGGTTAATTTTTGAACGAGGGTTTATCTCACAGTCGGCAACACTTACATCAGTTCTGTTATGACAGGAATTTGCGGTGAACGAATATGAATCGATATATAGGTATACGCTGCTTGAATAACATTGGGATGCGCTCAAAATTGGACGCTTGGACGAGGACCTCCATTTTTACCGTAAATTCAATTTTTCGGATGAGGCCAAATTTCATCTTGGTGACTGTTTGGTGTGGTTTGTTGTCTGGTGGCATTATTGGCTCTTTTTTTCGAAGCTGACAATTTGTATTTGCTGTGGTACTACAGACTAGCATTAAAATACCTTCATATTATTTTTTGACCAAAAATGAGACGACAAAAGTATGGAAACATATTTTTTATTACATTAAATACAATAACTCTACAAAGCATGTGTTCACTAAGAATATCTTTGTAAAGTTTGTGATCCATTTTCCCAACAATTTTAGCAATTGTACCTGTTCCAGAACTAGAAAAAGAGCCCCAAACCATGAAGTTGCCTCCAGCGTTGGCAACTGATACTTTTTTCGAATCTTTTTCGTTTCACGTATGCCGTACCGTCAGATTCCAAACAAGTTACATTTGCTTTCATCGCTCCATAAAACTGTATTCCATTATTGTTCTGTTCAAGTTGAGTTTTAGCAAATTCAAGCCGAGCAATACTATTTTTTTAAAATGAGAAGCTTTTGCACTGGACGCCTACCAAAAAGCCAAAAATCCACCAAGCAGCTCTGCACTGTTCTGAAAGATTTTCGGCATACTCTTCTACGATTATTTTGAAAATCTGTGTGGCTGACATTCGAGGATCTCTTCATGGGATAAAATAAAATAATTAAATATAGCGATCCAAAACATACTCGGTTTTTGTTGATCCGTATTTGTTGATATTACGGTCTGCGGCTCATATAAAAATACTTAATTATTTGAAAATGTGTAAATTTTGAACTTGAATGCCAAAATTGCTAACTTTGAGCTTAAACAATCAAGTTTCAAGAAACTGAAAAATATTCCTAGATGACATCAACTTGAAAATCAAGTTATTTTCAGGGATGAAAACTCCGATTCTAGGCCCCACCAAGAACAACATGTATATCTGCTATTGTGGCGTTGGCATGCAATAGAAATTTCAGTTGTCAGAAAAAATAAAACACCTAAAAATCGCGTTAACAAAACCCGTTTCAATTTAAGCCAATTATGTTTATTCAAGCGCCAATATTTTCCAGCTTTAAATGAACGCAAGGCGGAGGTGAGAATACAGTTCAAAGACGTCCCTGGGGATATTTTTGATGGCAAGCCTAAGAGAAACGAACTTGTCATCAGAGTTCAACCAGGAGAAGCTCTCTATATAAAACTTATGGTGAAGACACCGGGAATGGCTTTTGACATGGAAGAAACCGAGCTGGATCTCACCTATGGCAGCCGATATGCGGTAAGAATCACTTCTAAATAAAAAATGGGGTGAAGTCACTGCTCAATGAATCCACTCATCAGACGCGGTAGCGTAGCAGTGACGAAGCGACAGTCATGAGGGAGATTTTGACGCCAGTCAACTCAGAAAGAGACGCATGTCGAAGATTTTTCTCCATTCAAGTTTCAAGGGCAAATGTACGGTTAAATCTATTTCAAACCCTCCAAAAATTTGTTGCAAATGACCTCTATTATAACTTCAAACAATAGGTTGAAGCACCAGTCACCCCATACAGAGTGTCCCATTTCAATCTCCCAACCTAAATATTTCTAAAACCATGGACCCTGACTACAACTTTCAACGTCATTTCAAGGTCAAGTGAACATTTTCAAATAACCCCCTTTTAATTTTACGTTTACGTCCGAATATGAGCATCACCATGACTTTGACTATTTCCTTCAAGGTCTAATCAATCATCTATCATGTAGTAAACAATTTGCTCTAGCAAGTCTCAAACAGCATAGTTATTAAGTTTGTGGGGATCATCCAAAGGTGACATTGACCATGATCTTCAAGGTTAAGTCAAAATTCCCAAAGGAAACCTGTCTCATTGTTACACTGGAAATGGAAACGGCAGGAAATTTTACGTCGAAATGTGTCCTTGACCTCAAAGTCAAGGTTGTGTCACGCTTAAGTGCTATTTGAGGTTAAGGTCTCATTCTGACGTAAAATTTACACCTTTTTCCCGTATGAAAATGAGAGGTTGCATTTGAAAAGTTAGCATTGACTTTGAAGGCCATGGTCAACGCCAACCTCTCTACTGTGCTGTTGCTGGAACAAATTGCTTTTGATGTTTTAATTTGACGTTGAATTGGCCTGGTTCATGGTCAAGGAGATGGCCAAGATTATACTCGAACATAAAATTTCCTTTTCTTTTCAATTCTAATGTGGAAAGGGCGACTTCCATTTGAAAATATTAACTTGACCTTGAAATAACCTTGAAGGTCGATGCCCAGATCAGTTGTTTTCGAAATATTTAGATAGGGACATTAAAATGGAACACCCTGTATATGCACTTGATTTGTCTAGACGTAAAACAGAACTGATTTTGACTTGTCACTTTTCTTGAATGAGTGTTAGCAGTAATTTATAAAACCTATTCAGTCATTATTTTTTCATTTTATTGATATTCTAGAATGTGAATCTGCCGGATGCTTATGAACGCCTGATCCTGGACGTCTTCTGTGGATCACAGATGCATTTCGTACGTTCTGATGAGCTGAGTGAAGCTTGGAGAATATTTACACCATTACTGCATAGGATCGAGTCGGAGAAAATTCGACCTAAACCCTATGTGTAAGTTTTCTTATTCTCAATTTTCCCCCATTTGGCTACTAGAAATTTAGAGTGTTGAATCCCAATATTTAAGAGAGCGAACTTCACATGAAGACTTCTTGAAATCGACCCATTAAATATTGAGAGCTAATTAGGAAACACTGTATATTACAAATGAGAAAGGGTATTTTGAACATTTCAAATTGTATTTATTTCCTTGATGCAGGTATGGAAGCAGAGGTCCCAAAGAGGCTGACGAGTTGTTATTGAAGAACAACTTTACTTACACAGGGTCTTACAAATGGAAGCAACCAGAGTGATTTTGTTACTATTTATTTGTTATTAATTGTTACAATATATATATCTAGAATTATGGCTGATGATATATATTTTTGGTGAATTTACAGAAAACACTGTTTATTATGTTTGAAATGTTTAATAAATTATTTATAAAGTAATAGTTAGCAGATACATTTAAGCACCTCTTCGTTGCTTAACTCTGTAAAAAAAAGTAGAAAAACGGAATGAAAATACGGAATGTATATCAGTACAAAAAGGTTAGAGAGACGTCAACCATGAAAACAAACATGCAGGTCTAAACTAGATTCTGCTTCCACCACAGGTGAAGGAGAGATGTTATAAAAGGTTACAGTGTTCCAAGCTAGTGGTGTTAGGTGTGTTAACAGTCCATAACCAAACACACTCAAGGAAAACACAGTTTTAAATTACCAGGGCCTAACGTCGACTGTTAAAATATAATCTATTATGTTTTGGATCACATCTGTACTCTTTGCAGTTCCACCCAAATCTGAAACAAAATTTAAATCTGTTATGAACTGTACCAGATATCAGACACGTGCCAAATAGTACTAACTAAACTAAACCCGCGGCTCCGCATTGTGTGAAGAAGATTGGCTTTGTAAAAAGAAATGCAATGTTCAAAGTAATGCAGACACTTTGGCAACAAACATTTTTCATCTAACGTTTTAGGCATTTACTTGAAAATTCATCTGATGTTAGAATGACCTTGAAAGTCATTTGCAAGGATATACTTGAAATTTTCCGCAACTGCACTTCAGGGATTGAAAATAGATGTTTCCCGGTAAAAATTCATTTGATCTTCAAATTACCTCAATGTTCATAGTCAAGGTCATGGATATACTCGCACTTGCTCCTTTTATTTCCGGTGTCAAAATCAGGGGGTTCCATCTAAGAAAACTGTCTTGATCTTCAAATGAGCTTGAAGGTCACCACTGAATGAATATTTTCAAACTGTACAACTTTATTACATAAAATGTTTATCAAACGTATTTTCCGAAATATTTTGTCCTCTTCCTACTTTTTGGACACCCTCTAGATCAAAAATAGGGGCTTCCTTTAAGAAAACTGTCTTGACCTTCAAATAACCTTGAACGTCAGTCAAGATCACCAATGGATGAATCTTGTCAAACCTTACAACTTTGTTCTACAACATTTTTCTCTAGAAGCGTATTTTTCGAGATATTTTGATCTATACATACTTTTTGAACAGCCTCTGTAAATTTTCTCGAATAAAACCATGCTTTCATTTAGTAAGTGTAAAAATGTTTACGTCTCTCCGTATTGTGGTTCAGACAAATTATGTAGTCGGAACTTCAAACTCCGTTTAAAAAAAACATTATCTGGGTCCAACAATAATGTACGCGGACCGTACCGGAATTACAGTGTATGTTTCGCTGTGATAGATTGGATGATAACTGAGAAATGGGTTAAAATCGTTTATATAAACCAGAAGTGATGAGCTAGCAGAAAGGAATACAATACAATTATTATACTAATAATTAATAAAGTGTAAAAATGACTATCAGGATAAATTGATTAGAGAGTGTTTTTTTACACCGAAGCAGCGCGCAGGCAGAAGGCTAAAATGCCGGGACACCGCGGCTGCTATGAGGATCCCAAAGAAATTTTGTTAATTCGATGTATGAACTGCCTAAGGTTTGTAGAACTGGGAAAAGCTTCATCTTGTAGATTGTCCCATAATCTAGAAACCCTCGGGACAAAGGAGCGGTCGTATCGGACAGTTCGACACGGTTATGATGGGAGCCAAAGTCAGGCGGGTCTGTCTGGCAGGCATATCGCGCGGGGGTATCATGGAAGAGAGCTCTGAGGAGCAAAGCCCGTTGGTGTAGCGGTAGAAAAGAGCTAGATCGACGGCGGCCCGCCGGTGCGAAAGGGTCCCAAGACTTAGAGAAGTCATCGAACAGCACTCCTCTGGACAGCATCGAGCATAAATAATGTCGGAGCGGCAGCACCCCAAACTTGTGAGCAATACTCGAGGCTAGGCCTTATGTGGGCCTTGTATAAAGTAAGGTCATGTGGAGAAAAGTACTTCTTAGCCCTAAGCAAATAGCCTAGCTTTTCCCAGCAGCTGCCGCTATTGACGAGATGTGTTCGTGCCAGATCAAGTCCTCTGTGATCTGAACTCCGACCAGCTGAAATGAACGGCTCTTTGGCAGAACTGGGCCATCCATCGAAACCGGATGAGCGCTAGGACGCTTTTTGTTCGTCAAGGGACAGTACTGTGTTTTGGAAGCATTAAACTGTTGCGTCCCCAAGCAGTGATAACCTCCAGGTCTCTCGTGAGAGAGGAAGTCGTCGCTAGTCTTCTTTTTTCTAGATCAGCGGCAGAGATCGGCTTGTCACTCTGAATTCCTGCATGTAGAGTGCTGTCATCAGCGAAGCTGTGGATTTGGTTGATCGTGCAGGAAAGAAGGTCATTGATATGTAAGAAGAACACTGTCGGAGCCAAGACCGATCCCTGGGGAACACCCGCGTTGAAGTTGTGGGATGAAGAGGAGAACCTGTCAGTTACGACGGATATCTTGCGGCGAGAGAGAGAGTCAGCCACCCTTCTGCAAAGCATTTCTGGGAGGCCATAGGATGGAAGTTTGCTTACGAGGGCAGCGTGCCACAGCTGATCGAACACTTTCGTGATATCAAGAGCAACTACATAAGCCTCACCATAAGACTGGATGAGTTTACTCCAAGATTGCGTGCCTTGAGCTAGGAGGTCCCCTGTGGTTCGCTGGTGCCGGAAACCATACTGCCTGTCGCTAATCAAGCCGTGACGTTCGAGGTAGTCCAGACGCTCGGGATTTATGCACCTCCCCATCACCTTACTTATAACAGAAAGCAGAGCTATAGGCCTGTAGTTGTAAGGGTCGGTCTTATATCATTTTTTTGGGATGGGTTCGACATGAGCAAATTTCCACTTTTCTGGGAAGGTGCCGGATTCATAAGATATCTGGAACAGACGCGAAAGAACTGGAGCAAGCTCGGCTGCATATCTCTTTAGTACAATGGCAGGAATCAAGTCCGGACCAGAAGCTTTGTTGACGTCGAGCGACAAGAGCACCTGTCTTACGGTCTTATGCCTAAATGCTACTTCTCGCGTAGTGTAGGGAGACGTCCATGATGGAGTTGCCAGCAAATATCTTAGCAAGCACTTCGCCCTTATCCTTTGAGTCGGTTACAATCGTTCCTGACACGTAAGTGGTGGAAGGCTACTGAGCAGTTCTGTTCAATCTGCTTGTCTAGAAAGACCGACTGCCATTGCGCTGCGACATTGCCCTGTGCTGGTTTTTGGCATTGCGAACCGTTTCGTTATATTTGTTTCTCGTCTCGACGTCAGCTTGTCTGTTCTCTACAGTGGGGTTTTGCAAGAAGGTTATGTGTGCCTTGATCTTCTGCTGGCGGGCAGTGTCACACAATTTGTTGAACCAGCCAGTGGACCCTGGTTTAGGAACTTTCACTGTATGAGAGATGTATTCATCCATTCCGACGTGGATAATTTCAGTTATCGAAGAACAGACAGCCGATGTATCCGCGTCAGCGAAACAAACATCTCTCCAAGGAGAGGTAGAGAAGAAGTCTCTGAGACCCTCCTAGTCGGCATGTCCGTAATGCCAAATTTTGCGGCCTGGGCGACTTTCTGCTACTACAGCCGGTTCTGGCCGAAACCTAATCGCCACAACACCGTGATCTGAGTTACCCAGTGGGAAAAGGATGCGTGGTCAGAAAGAGATCTAGCAGGCTACTGGCATGTAACGAGACGCGGGGGAACAAAGTAGAGCACGTCACCAGCTGGGTCAGCCCTTGAGTAAGAGCGAACGCTTCAACTGCACGACCTGCTGCATCGGTTTTGTTTCAGCCCAACCAAAGTTCATCATAGGCAGTGAAATCATCGAGGAGATCTACCTCTGAAGCGGGGTGGTGATTGATGTTCAGAAAGTCTATCTTGACAGCGCGGTATTCAAGTAGGTCATCCCAGTTATGGTACGATTGAGAGCGATAAAGGCAGCAAATAAATTTGAGGGATGTTTTGGAGTTGAGACGATGCCACCAAATGTCCTTCCGGTCTGATTCCAAAGAAACATCTCTGGAGCAGGAAAGACTGCTGCGGACTAAAGCCACAACTCCCCTGTTCTTTCTCAGATTGGAGTGCACCTCGTAATTTGGGAAGCTAAGATGGTTAATTGGTGCAGAGTCTGAGATTTTTGTCTAAGCCAAGATAAGCATGGCGGGACGATTGGATTGCAAGTAGTGATGAACAGTATCAATGTTGATGTTAATCCCGCAGATGTTCGTGATACAAATTTTATCTTCGATATTGTTCCCTCGAGTGCACCCTCCACCCGGACATTTCGAGAGTGGAGTGAGTTTAATTCAAAAAGTCACTGACTTATCAAACGGCCCTCGTATAATACAAATGTTGTGTCCAGGCCGTATTATTACTATTAGAAGTATTATTAGAAACTTTTCAAAAATCCTTGTGAATTCAAGAAAAATATTACACGAATTCCCTAACAGTTTTATGATTCATACTTAAAAAGACTTACCTGGTGTGTGAATCTTATCTTCACAAATAGTTTTCACCATTGCTTTGGTGATCAGATCAGCATGTTGTACGTGTCCCAAATGGTGGAGCATATCGATACCAGCATTCAACATTGCAATGGGATTTGCAACATTTTTACCAGCAATAGCCTTACCAGTGTTTCTTGTAGCTGGCTCAAAAATTGCATACTGAAAAAATATGAGAACTTTTCACATTACATTAAACAGATGATTAATGCAGATGTCCAGTCATATGTTGTATTTGGACTTTCGCTTACAATTTCCATTGTTACAGGTTGAAAGTAACAAAAACATACTGCATTTTCCTTTTAAAGAAAATTGTTTTTTTCTTAAAGATAACATCACATTCCGAGGAAAAGGCACCCTAATTACTATTTATTCCTGAGGTTTCATATACTCGGAATGTCTCAACAATCCTATAACCTGCAGAAACAGTCAGAGATGACAAGATGGTGGTCTATGTCTCTAATTTATTTGGTATAACTACTCTTTGGTATTTGATATAATGTGCTAAAAAATGTCGAAATGACTTACATGGTCGCCATAGTTTCTTCCTGAAAGCAAGCCAGCTCCACCAATAAGACCACAACAAACGTTAGAGACTATGCTACCATAAAGATTTGTCATCAACATTACATCAAATTGGTGTGGATTGGAGACCAGCTGCATGCAACAGTTATCAATGATCATTTCATTATGTTCAATTTCAGGGTATTCCTTTGCTATTCTTTTAGATGTTTCTAAGAATAAACCGTCAGAAAGTTTCCTGGAATAAGGTGATATTAGAAAGAGCATTTTATGAAGGGCAGTTTAATGTTGAGTCGCCACACCATTAGATACAGTAATGCACAAAAGTATATAGACAAATATGAATATTTACCTAAATACCTTTATAAAACGAATTCATACTTCATTGCACCATAAACAAATGCGTTGTTAGTAGAAAAACTAAATTCCTTGTTTTTACATTATCTGCAATTAACACAATACAAGTCTGAATATAAGCACTTTTTATGAGGGACAGAAATATGTAGACAAATTCTTTTCAAGATTAGTTTAGCACAGTTTCGTGTCAGAAGAGGATCCAGAAATTTCTTTCGATGTGAAAACTAAGATCATTGAGTTATACAAAGATGGTCAACGTCAAGTCGGCATTGCCAAAAATTTGAAGCTGAAGCGTAAAGCAGTTTGGGCAATATTGAACAAATATAAACAAAAATGTGTCTTGAAGCCTCTGAGACAAGTGGTCGGCCTAGAAAACTAAATGCTAGATCAGTTAGATTAATAAAAGTAATTTCGTCCAAAGATCCGTTTAAAACCCCAAGACAAATAAAAGCCGAAATCGAGACAAAAGGAGTTGTCAGTGTTTCTACGAAAACTATAAGTAGAAGATTAAATGATTTGAAGTTATTTGCACGTCGCCCAAGTAATAAGCCGCTAATCTCGAGGAAAAACCCTAAGGACCCATTACAATTTGCATGGTTGTATCTTGATTGGAGCATCTGTGACTGGAAGAGGGTATGTTTCAGTGACGAATCCAAGTTCAATCTGTTTGGATCAGATGGTGTTCAGTACGTTAGACGTCCTAGTGGACAAAGATTGAACCCCAAGTACACTTTGCCCACTGTCAACCATGGAGGCGGGTCTGTTATGGTTTGGGGGTGCTTTTCGGGGTTTGGGATGGGACCTTTACGTAGAATAGATGGCATTATGGATAAGTTTTTATACCCAGACATACTAAAGCATGTCATGTTACCCTATATGGAAGACAATATGCCCCTAAGATCAATCTTCCAGCAAGATAATGACCCGAAGCACACTTCAAATCTCGCAAAGAAATTCTTTCTGGATGAAAAAATACCAGTTCTCAAATGGCCTTCACAGTCTTCCGATATAAACCCCATTGAAAATCTATGGGAATACTTAGATAAGCTAATATGAGATAAAAATTATTCAAACAAGGTTGAACTTTTTGGCGCTTTAGAGCAAAAGTGGAGACAGATTAATGAACCTGATATCAAGAAACTTCTACAATCTATGCCGAGACGATGTCAGGCGGTGATTAATAATAATGGTTATGCTACAAACTATTAATACAAACATGGTTGGTTTTCTATGATTCAATGAACTTTCTATAATTGTTTTGCTTTGTCTATATATTGTTGTCCTTCATAGTTCCAGTTTTTTTCAATTAATCTATTATTCAAGGTAGTCTAATGAATTTATTTATTTATAAGTGAGTATTATGCTATTACGAATTATGTATACAGGTTGGTGTATTAATAAAACAAGTTAAAAAAGAAATACAGCACAATATTAATTTGTCTATATACTTTTGTTCATTACTGTATATTTTAATTATACAGCTTACACATACATTAGCAAGTTAACCCCTATTACGGCTGTACAGGCCCGGACTGGCCAGGTCCGCGATCGCAGGGGGCCCCCATAACGTACAAAAAAGTGTTTGTCTTGTTATAAGTTATTTTGTGTTCTCGGTAATGTTGTTTATATCTCGCCGTTTATACGAAAGCTTTATACGAGCTACTGTGTCGTGAGTTGAGTTACGTTGTTGTGGTGTAAACACTTTGTTTTGAGACAAAATGTTTCGATCTGCTTTGACTACTCACAGCTCTGGCTTGGAACATTTTTTTCTGTATACAGCTTTTCTTAACTTTTAATTCAACAGTGACGACACTCTTCCCACCAAGCTTATCATTTGCAATATAAAAAAACAGTTTAATTAATTAATCGAACAAGTCATGTTGACACCACCAATGACAAGCATGTGACAGAAGAACTAAACAATTGAGCGGTCAAATGTCTCGCAACGCTTCGAGGTACTGTTTCGCCCAGTGTGCGGTGTCCTCATATGAATGCATGGTGTATGCTTCGCTAGCAACACGGTGAAACGTTTCGCTTCGATTGGTCTGCGGCCGGCCTAATGCATCGTCAAGCACCTTATTTTTATGTTCCACACCTCCCAGACCCCCGGTGGAGGGCCCGTTTACAGGTTTTAGCTGAGGGCTCCAAACTGTCCCAGTCCGAGCCTGCTGCTGTGACAAAGAATGGTTACCACTACCACAAATGAATCGCGTAATTTAACTATGAATTTTACTGCAGATTCTTATTTTATGATATTGTCTGTTCAAATCTCATTTACTCTGCGTCAAAACAAACATGAGCGCTCGATCTTTTGCTTCGCTTTTATTCACTTGCCGCTGCCTTCACCAGGCATTTAAGGCCCGCTGGGCAATAGCGGCGCGCGAATTTGACCGTTACGCGCTGGCGTTTGTTTTGCAGCGAGTAGATTAGATTTTATTACAATATTTTGATTTTGATTATTTCCGTATAAATCATTTTTCGTTATCTAATACCAGTGCAATATTTCAAAAATACTCATGATTGCAGTGACTACTATGACTACCAAGCTACCATGAAAACACTGAAACAAAAAGATTGTGATATTGTCTTATTCACGATTCTCCATTACGCGAAACAATTTTCACAATTCTGACAGACCTATCAACTCTAGATCTGTAGACAGATTCGTATTTTGTTGTGGTCTTTTGTACGCTATGAATTCATACTTCCTAACAATGCTTTTATTTAGAAGAGTTTCTCCGCATCCAAGAAAAAATGCTACAAGCAAAATGACTATTGATGAGCATGATTATATTCCAAGTCAATTTTTGAATATGTTTGATATAAACACAGTCATGAGTTTTACCCGATACATTATTGCCAACACTACAGACTTGAATACAAAGATCACTTGCTGATTAGCTGTTCAGCTCAGTAGAGGTCAAAACGTAATGGAGTCTTGTGGAAAAGACCATGTGTAGAACAGTAGTGTCGTTAGCACGTACCCATATTCCATTCATATAACAAAATCAAATTACTTATTACACAGAAATAAAACATTTGAAAGTTCATATTTCTCTACTACTAATGTGGGAATGGATCCTTTCCACGACATTTGAACTCAAGAAATATCACGCAACCTCGCGATGTACAACGTGGAACCCTGCTTGAGGAAATCACAAAGCTATGGTCCCCTAAGTTGAAAGAACATTCCTGACTTCAATAAAAAAAACCTAATAACTCGGTTTGCTAGGTTTTTTGCTTTCTTTGCATATCCTATGGCATCACGTTGAGATATATGGATTGATATTTGAAAAGTTAAATCTGATCATTATATCGGGAAATGTTAAGAGCACATTTTTAGCAAACGAAGTGACTGAGAACATACATTCTTTTAAACAGAGATATCTCAACTTCATTGGATATTTGAATGATTGCAATCTAGCATGTTGAGTTACTTGAAACTCTACTTATGAATTTTAAGCAAGCAAAATTAGAATTTCTAGATTTTTTTTTATGCAACCCATATTTAATAATATTTTGAACAGCAAAGCTCTAATTACCTGATTCTCGATTACTCATACGAGTAGGATCTACTTTCTGCTTTATAGTATAGTATTCAATCAATATTAGTCATAACTAAACTTAGGATTCTTTTCATTTGTACATTCTGGCAGTAGTATATATTTAGCAACTGAATACTCGGAGAAAACTCTTTTTACAAAGAACCAATCGATTTTTGTCTGATAGGATGAACAAGAAAACACTTCGCTGAACATCGCACTGTATAGTATTAACCAAGAGCCAACCACTCTCAAGGTGACGTCACGAAGCTCCGCCCACACGCGCAACATGTGTATCGTACACAACAGTGTATGTGTATCGTGGTACGTAATTTACAAGTAGCGGGATCAACAATTTTCCCGGACATTTACTGACAAGTGTACAACTGTTGAATAAAGAAAATGACTTCAGTCACTTTGAAAATAATCTAGAGATGGCGCTGCATGCGTTCAACTTTGTCAGACCCACCAATAATTTACTTTACGAATCTACCTCGTCTAAACCAGCAATACACAATAAATGAAAAAAAAAACAAATTTATTTTGCTACAAATGTCGCTGTTTGAGTTACTAGATTTTTTAATATAGGGCAAATTTGACAAGGTGATTCAATTTTGAGACAACAAGGTGGAATATGAGGTGCAGTGCTTCCTCAAGGACCAGGTAGCTAGCTGCAATGATATGGGCATAAAAAACTCAACAGCATGTAAAAAAATGCATTGGCCTGGAATGGTAATTACATAGAAAAATAGGCCAATGTTTAAGATTGGCAACTATTAGAAATAAATACAATTCCAACTAATAGCAGCGATGCACGTTTCACGATCCTGGTGCGATAGATGGCGCTTTGCGCCATCTTATTCTGATAAACTGTACCTCCGGTATAGAGGATCGTTGTGATGCGTTCGTTCGTTCGTCCAGAGATAAGAGACCAAGCCTATACCATGCTGATGAGTAGCCAAGAAGCACGAAACAGCTGTCCATGGTTGGCCGTCTTTTTTGGTCGCACGAACGAAGGCATCTTGTTCAATTTATTCAATGGCAAGTAGACCACGTCAACTCTCAGCCAGAACTGAGATCCATAAAAGTTCCAACTAATAGCAGCGATGCGCGTTTCACAGTGGTCGATTCTGGTGCGATAGATGGCGCAATACGCTTTTATTCCAAAAAGAGTTCATGTTTTTGGAATAATAAGAGACCTTACTTTTGGATTACCCTCATATTGATGACACCTGAGGCAACCATGCTTCTGTTAAATTTATAGATATTGATATGGGAGTTTGTGTGATTGGTCATAAGTTCATGTAATGTCACACTAATGTGCTTTTATTCTTTAACCATTCCGCCAATAATGGAAGATGAAAAAACATTACCTCTATTATCCCATATTAGTTATTCCAAAAATGTGATCAAACTTGAAACAATGAAACAAGCCACTAAAATAGCACTGTTTCTCATACAGAAAATTACTGAAAAAATCCTGGTCCACAACAGGAATTCAAAATTTGTTGTATCATAGACTTATCCTAGGTCCTATACTCCTTATCTAATCTATACTGTATTTCTATACTCTTATCATATGTATGAATGAATGTTTATCTATATACAAAATAAAGGCATGTCCATAAAATGAAATTTTTTCAACAAATTATGACAGAGGTCATTCAGATAAAAATAAATGATTTCCAAGTTTATCTATGCACCTGCTGATAAAAAATTAGTTAATTGTTTTATCAAGCATTCCAAATCAAAAATACTCACATGATGTTTGCTTTATGAATAGTGGTAATTTTTTTCCTACCATTTCTTTTAGCAAACTCAAAGGCAAACCTTGCAACTCTTTCTGAATTTGAGGCTGTCACCACCTTCATACTCTCGATCACTCCATCAATGCACTGAAAAAAAAAAGTTTCGAAAAATCACAATAACAAACTGGTTAGAATATAAGGTTCTTTCCATTAAATAACTGACATATAGTAAAATGGTATGGAATGAGACATTGTCAATAACTTTATTAAGTATTACATATTTTACAATGGGATAGTAACATACCTCATGTTCAAGCATAGCATACTCTCCTTCAGTATTTTGTCTGATAATCATAAGATCAATGTTCTTCTGTCTTGCAGGTAGTCCTGGATATGACTTGCAATGTAAAACATTAACATACAGATCAAGCTCATTCCTAATAGCTACATTTCTTGACAATGTTTCAGCACTTTTGCTTTTTGTTTCAATATTTCCCTTAATTGCAACACCATTTCTTTTGATAGAAGTAATTGCATAATCCAGATCATCATTAGATTCGCTGTTGGGATCAATATCTACAGTTTCAAAATCTACAGGGGCCCCGGCGTACTTAAAGACATCTCTAACATAGCTCATGAGTTCTGGTCCAATACCACCGCCTGGTAGCATAGAAACTGCTTGACGGCCCCCATACATCGCAACAGGGATGGGATCCTTCAAAAGTACAATTTATAAGTAAATAATTATTTCAGCGCATTATACCTTACAATTCTTTTGGTCAGGGGTGTCTTATGCTGCATTTCAAAGGCAGACATCGTATGCTGGCCCTAAAATTGAATATTTCATACTTTTTGGGTTGTTATATAATATAAAAATCATATTACCCTGATTAGCTGCCTTCCTAAGGCTGTAGGTGCCCTAAGTATAATTCTGGACGTCATTTTTATATTAGTATGATATAATACTTCTCAGTTACCTCAAATAATACACAAATCTCAATAATCTAGGACCGAGATCTCATTTTAAATAAGATTTATGTTCGCAATTTTGATTGACTAATGGCAGGTTGATTATGACAACCATTTTTGCACGTGATATTTTCAGCTTTTGAGCGACATCTGTAGAGTGCTAGCTAAGACAGCGCAAAAATAAAGAAAATAATGTCAGTGATTCAACAAGAATTTGCATACGCCAATTCTCTGGGTGTTCCAACGTTACCGAATATTGGGATAATAAGGCTGGTATTCTAAAAACATTTCAATTATCTAGGAAGAAGTATTTTAACACAAAAAACACGGTCAGGCTGTAACCTACTTTGTCCCTGGTCCTTGCTAACCTTTCTGAGTTTTGTGGGTTTTGACATCAATAAGCTAACGACAAGGTTATCACATGACATCAATTACGCCCATTTTTCCCTCTGACTTAACAATGAATTAAATATCTCTGAGAGAATAACGTTAAAAGTTGGTGTCACGTGAGGGAGGCTCTGGCTTTGTTGATTGGCCAGTTTGATTTGATAAGAATCTCTAAGCTATTGCTCCATGTCAAAATAGAAAGAACAGTAAAAGATGACAACACCTAAAGCCTAAAGTTCCATCGTAGTTTGACACATCATCAGTTTTGATTTCCTACAGTGGTCTATTTATTTTGTGATACATTATTTGGGCAATTTGACTAGAAGTTACAGCTGGACGAACATTATACCGATTTGATAAGTGTGCTTGACTTGTAAGAATAAATCCAATGTCTGCTTGGAAATTATTTTCAGTTTCTAGCTCTAGTATGGTATTCAAAATTTGACATGGTGTATTATTTTTCCCGAAGGTGACTCGTGTGATGTTTTAAATGTTTACCACAGAGAAATTAAAGAAAATGACATGAAAAAGAGAAATATGGAGTGTAAAACATGTTTACTGGGTTTATTTTGTATATTATTAAAGCCATGTAGTAGTATGGATCAAGGTAATGAAACTATAGCACCAATTATTTTCAGGTTGAAAAGCATAATCCTAATTCTCTGTTACAGCATCATTCTATGGAAACAGCTACATTTCAGTACCATTCAAAGAAGCCAAAAGCTCTACAGACATATACTTTAAATTCAAAACACATTTGCTTGATACTTTCATACTACTTGTAGCAGGTAACACAGATTATTGCATTGTCTCAATAGAAAAAGGACGAATTAAAATAAATATCAACCTGGGAGCAGGAGAATCAGAGTTACTGTCACCTCCAAACTTGAAATTCAATGATCTTAAATGGCATGAGGTGAATATACAAAGAAGAGAAGCAGATCTGTCCATGGTAATAGATAAAACACATAAAGTACAGTAAGTACATCTTTCACAATATTATTTGTCTTATTTTTGATATGTGTTGCATATATACAAGGTTATCATCATTTATGATCTTAATGACAGTGGTTAATGCAAACAGTACCTCTTTGTTTAACATTATGATCTTGTTTGACTCTGCAATAAATGATATAGCACCCAAGAAGTACAGTATTATAATTAGGGCAGTTATGCATAATCGCCTAATTAATAATGCAGGTACCTTTGCCCCATATTCTAGATATGAATTTAAAAAAATTTGCAGGTTTCTATGTTTTTACCTTCTCTGTTATGACAAAATTCTACTACCAGAAAAAATCAAAGTTCTACCTCAAATTTGAAATTTGGTGTGATCAATCTTTTGTTGATTGATGTGGAAAGTAAAAGGGTATATGATATATACAGGGTGGCCCATCCATGTGTGGATGGAATATTACTCATAAACAAATACATTTTGGGAAAATCTGTTTATGGTATGTTATACACGACATTTGAAGGCATATTTCTAAAATATTGGCAATTATACAGGGTGCTTCAATTTTGACCTACATATCAAAGTTGTGATCTTTTAAATAGATTGCCTCAAATTTTATTGCATATTTGGATAAACCGATTCAAAAGAAGAAGATTGATATAACATACTAGGAGGTTTTGGTAATTAGCTACTGAGATGTAAGGTGTTTTGTCCAGAAATTTGGAGTGCATTTGAAATTTTTGAGAAAAACTACAATTTGCGTTTTTGACCACCACCACCAATGGCAGACTGAGAGGTTGCCGAAGTGGGGGTTTTTCTAGACAAAACACGTTATATCTCAGTAGCTAATTACCAAAACCCCATAGTATGTTATATCAGTTTTCTTTGTTTGAATTGGTTTATCCAAATAAATGCAATAAAATTTGAGGCATTCCATTTGAAAAATCACAACTTTGATATGTAGGTCGAAACTGGGACATCCTGTGTAATGGCCAATATTTAAGAAATGTGGCCTCATATGTCATGTATAACATCCCATAAATAGATTTTTCCAAAATGTATTTATTTATGAGTAATATTCCGTCTACACATGGATCGGCCACCCTGTATACAGGCTGTTAATAACATATGTAGACAAACTTTAACCATCGAATCCTTGGTCAATTTGAAGACTAAATATGTTCATATGAACATGGATCCGTTACCGTTCCTAACTATTGTCCTTCTAAATTAATGTTTTTCCCAAAAATACAGGATAATACTAGTTTCACCCACGTTCATATTGAGCCTCAGCAGCTTGTAAAACATGCAAAATTTATCATAGGCAAAGCCAACTGTTCAATAAATACGTTTCATTATTCAGAGAAATATTTGGAACATTACTCATATTTTTTAGTGATAGTGCTCTAGTTCAAAAAGAAAGCTGTTACGGACCCATGTTCATATGAACATATTTAGTCTTCAAATTGACCAATGATTCGATGGTTAAAGTTTGTCTACATACGTTATTAACAGCCTGTATATATATATATATATATATATATACGAGCAGTAGTCATTGCCATTGCCAATGACCAGTTGGGTAAAAAATACAATTAAATTGTTTATTGGGAATTGGCCAAACTTAAAGCGTAGTGAACTCTTTTGACGGTAATCTCAAGCTTTCTACAAACTATGTTGTCATCTTCAGGAGCTAAAACACAATTATTGGGACCTCGGTTGGCCGCGTGGGTCAGAGTGTCGTGCTACTGATCAGCCGGCCGGGCCGCGAGTTCGAATCTCGCCTTCGCCATGGATGTTGTGTGTTTGTTTTAGGCAGCAGCGGTGGCCGCAGTAGTAGACTCTTCGGTCTCCTGATCAGCCGCCGTGCGCTGTGCGGGTTCGAGTCCCGTCCCAGGAGAAATGTTTCTCTTGGCCATGGATGTTGTGATTGTCCGTAGGTGGTAGATGGTCTCTGACTGTCGAACGCGGAGGTACCACCCGGCGGTTCTCGTAGGCGGAGCCAGAATGTGTGCATGTTGCATGCACACGTGTTCCCTCGCCAGAGTCCGTGTGGCGTCCCCCCTTTCCCATGTATCCCCCATAGCCCCACGGTACCCAATGGGTGCTTAGGCCTTAGGCCTTCGTGGTAGTTGGAGTATAAAAAAAAAAAAAATTATGAAAATAACCAATTTAGAACTGATTTAAATTTTCAAATTACTTACTCGTCGATCAGGTTGCCGCTAAATGGTGTTTTAGAGCGAAAGTGAGAACACAATTATAAAACCAAAAGACCGGACACATTGTGTTTGTTGTTAACAATGGAACACATAGCTACATGCTACACCTATTTATCAATAAACCCGAACAAATTAAATATAAATATTTTTTTTTTCAGAAAACATCTTCCAGGCAAATTTTTTGAGTTGAACATACACTATGGTCTCTTTCTTGGTGATAATAAAAACAAAAATAACACAGATACATTCTTTGGTCATGTTGAAAAGTTTAGGGGTTGTATTGCAGATGTAAGTGTATCATCATAATCTTAATACTTATTATTTTTAGCACTTTTGGATGTTTCTACATACTATCTATTTTCTCACAATAAATTTTAATGTCTATTTCAGTTAAAGTATAATGATGTGCCAGTTCTGGACCAAGCAAGACATAGGCAGTCACAGTCCATGGTCCAAGGTATTACATGGAATTGTGCCGCAGAATTTGATGCTACTGTAGAGCATGCTGTCAGTTTCATAGAAGATGATGCCTATATGGTTATCACTCACAAAACACACTACAAAGATTTCAGGTTAGGCATATTTGAACATTACTACTCAGTCAGTTGTGAAAATTTGAACATTTTTGGTAATACAAAAATTCTACACAGTTTGCTTGACATCACTGTTCCCCAACCTTCCAAATTGTGCATTCTTTCAGTCGGCAGTGGTGTCTATGCAGGCTGGGTGAATGCCCTGTATTCCTGGTATAAATTCTCTAAATTGATTTTTTTCTATAATCATGTTTGTCAGGGGAGGCTATATAGATACAGGGTGTCCCAGAAGTTGACGTCAAGCTGGAAATGGGAGAAAGGCCAAGTCATAAAACTTATTATAGGCTTTAAACAAAATCTTCACCCTGTAATAATATTTTAATTCCCATTAATACAAATTCCAATTATTTTCTTAGACGGAGTGTCAGTAATGCCACTGTTACTAATTCGTGAACGAATCGTGAATGTATTTATTAAATCCACAATAAATGTTCAAACTGCCTTCCTTCAGCAGCAGCATGTAGAAATTCCAAATTTGATGAGTCAACATAGATTACAGTATCGTTTTAGAGTAAACTTGTGGACTGGGATTCTAAATTGGAGAATTTTTGAGCTGCCAGAGTTCTTGAGCGAAATTTATTTATACTATTTACAAAATCGCTTACCAAATTTATTGGAAGCCGTGTGACTAAGAATTTAAACAGGCATGCATTACCAGCAAGATGGCTGTCAAGCATACTATGCCCGTCCAGTTAGAGAATATCTTTATGCTGAATACCCGAGCAGATGGATAGGGCCGGTCGGGTACAATTTTGTGGCCAGCCCGTTCACCTGACTTGAATCCGCTAGATTTTTTTTTAATGGAAAGCAGTGAAAGAAAAAGTTTACTCAAAGCCAATCGAAAATTTATCTGAGCTATGGTACAGAATAATGGAAGCAGCTGAATTTGTCAATAACGTTCGCCTCCCTGATAACCGATCATTTTTAAACTTGCATTGTTGCTGCAGGAAGGCAATGTGAATTCACTAAATACATTCACGGATTAAGAAAAGTGGCATTACTATTTGTCTCGCTGTCACTACATAGAATGACACAGTCCGTCACTCCATCTAAGAAAAAATTGAAATTTGTAGTAATAGGAATTGAAAGATCATCACAGGGTATAGTTTTTTCCGATTTTTTTTAAAGCCTGTTATTTGAAAGGTCGTGTACTTTGCGAGGTGTTGTAATATTTCCGAAATCATTAATGCCATGAACTAGCTGATACAATTATAAGCATTTTTTAGGTCAATAAAGAATTAATAATTAATTTCAGGTTAGAATTTGAAGTTAGGACTATCAGCAAAGACGGCGTACTGTTCTACAATTCTGGCCACAAATTAAAATCAAATTTCTTTTTGATTGAGCTGAACAACTACTCAGTCAGAGCAGTCATGAAAGTAGGCGAGAAGATATTGAAGATATCCAGTCCAAAGATAAAAATTTCAGATGGTCACTGGCACAAAGTGTCATTTAAACTGACGTCGACTGTCATTGAGTTAACTATTGATGATAAAAAAATGAGTGAAAAGAATAACCATGGTCACTTATTTCCTTTATATGAAAGTTCCTACTTAGGAGGTCTGGAAGTGAGCAAAAGATTCCGTGCCACACAAAAAGGTTGCAGCAAGTCCTGCGACCTAAGTTTCAGAGGGTGTATAAGGAACCTCTTCCTATTTGACATGAAAAAAGGGTTTCCCGATGCCCATATCACTGCCGGACTGTTACCAGGCTGTGTCTGGCAGTACCCTTGCTTGCAAAACCCTTGTAATGAAAATAGCTATTGTGTACAACAAGGACTGGACTCATTTCAATGTTTATGTCAAGAAGAACTTTGTGTCAACGTCAACTATACCGAAGGTTACAAGGTGTTTTCAAAAAACAGCTTGGCGACAGAACTGGAACTACTTGCTATAGAACCACTACAAGTTTTTGAGGGACAGAGTGAAATCATAACAACGAAAAACTTGCATATGATTTTGGACTATAAAAAATATGGTATTGAAGATTCTGGAATAAACTTTTTCATCATCGAAGGACCTGAACATGGAAGCATACAAATCGATATTTGGCCTCACGACAAGAATTCATTTTCTTTGTCAGATTTAGCGAGAGATAAAGTACACTATGTTAACGATGGCTCTGAAAATACCCACGATACGATAATTTTTGAAGTTGAGTTTACAACTGCTCACACTTTCACCCTTCCAGTGTATCTGCAGGGTAAATTTCGATTCACTCTCTCTGTAAATATTATTCCAACAAACGACCCACCCGTTTTGGACATCACTGAAACAACAGTTTTCCGTACTGTACAGGTAAAATTTTGAAGTATTTTGAGGATTTACGGAAAGTATGCGTTTTTTGAACTGTTTCATGATAATTTTAGTAGATTACATAGCTTGGTAAAGAAATATCTGGTAAGTCCAACGTCTGTTGGCATTTTGGAAGAACAAAGCCAGATCACCGCTTGCCAATGCAAAATCCAAACTCAGAATATATATACATATATATAGACTCTTTCCGCAAATCCTCTAAATGTGGAATGCTTAATCTTTTTAATATCGTAACATTTGAATGTTTTACATTTATTGTGTCTAATTCATTTGTGTTTGTTTAGATGATCTATGCATGTGCCTCCCACATACAGAAAACGCTGTACAGTGTGTTACCGCAAGCATTGCAAAGTGAAACGTCAAAATAGTATACGGAGTGATCCAAAAGTCCTTAAATGGCAAAATATTTGAGAACACTTGAGGAGTATGTTGAAATTAAAATAGTAAGGTTTGGAATTTTTATCTGGATATTCATTGATGACCTTGCGTATGACCTTGAAGGTCAAATTAATTTCAACGCAAAATAAAACTATACGTTTAACCCCGGAAACAACGGAAAATTGTATGTTCATATATGACGAGTGAAAATTACTTAGCCTTGAACGTCCATGGTCGTCATGTCTGAAAAGTTCGCATTTAAAAAATCGTCTTGGCTTTGATTCAAATTCATGGTCGCCAGGAAAAAATCCTAAACATAACCATTGGTAGGTGGAGATCGTCAGATTTTTCGTGTATCTCCGCACAAAAATCCTACACTCCTACTATTTTACTATGCCTATTGAATATTCTTATCTTCCTATTCAGGAACTTTTGGATCACCCCTTATAATGCAATACAGGCACTTAGCCAGTGTCGCCAGTTTTATTTCCCATGTTGCTCCAGCCATATAATACTCGTGGTAACATCCTGTATATAAATTATATGGAACTTTAACATCTCATGCTGAATCCCTAGCAACAAATACTACTATGATATACATTTAAAAACAGTTTAGTATTTGCCGCATTATTTAATTTTATTTTATTAATTTTTTTAGTTTAAGATGAATGTGCTCTAGCTCTTGTAATGGCATGAAATAGCAATTAACTTTGCCAGGTAAGTGTACTTCATGTTTTGTATAAATATTGGAATGCTATACCAATGAAAATGCTGGGAAAATTCAGAAGATTTTCGAATATGATTAAAGATTTTTGGATTTCTACATGTACATTACGAAAATTCATTTCACAAATTTCTGTCGGTTAGTCTGAGTCAGTCTACGTGACTCAATGCTTCAAGAATATACAGGGAGAATTTTTAGTATGTGCTTGGACGATAACTCTGTTTCTAAAAAAGTTAGATACAAAAGTTGTAGCCAAAAGTATGCTCTTAAATCAGTCCATTTGCATCCATGACCACCCTGTATAAACCGTCAAAAAAAAACTGAAAAAAGCGAGCAAGTAGGATCAAAATACGGGATCATAATTTTTTTTCTGACAATATCCTTTAGTCTAGCTATAACAGATGCGGAGTTGCGAGTTGTCAAAGATGAGTGTTTTTTTTCGATAGTTTGTCCAATATTTCAACAATTTGAAAATAAGTAGTGTAGAGTATGTTGTATCTAATTGCTTTGTTTGAAAGGGCCTATCCAAATCTGCAATACAATTATAAAAATATTTTATAAATAAGGAGCGTATATGCTTGAAATCAACTGTTGTAGATAGTATTCATAATAATGGAGTTATCAATAGAGCATATTCTAACAACCGACCCTGTACGTACAAGTAGAAATAATACATAATTATAAAAATATAACGGACTTTCCCTGCATTTATCATCAAACTTTTTGATTAAGCTTTATACTACATTTGATAGCAGCTTCATTTGAGTTGATGCTCTACACGTAGATCCAATATTTGTTTCAACTTTAGGGAACGAAAAAATTCATTTCAAACGAGGTGTTCAGAGCAGTGGACCCAGATAACTCTCCAAATGAGTTGATTTACACTATATTGAAATCCGATGGAGGGTTTTTTGAAAATGCCGACAAGCCAGGTGTGAAAATAACAGCCTTTTGTCAGGAAGACGTTGATGAAGGACGTATTCTGTTTTTCGATCAAAACAAATCGAATATTTCTTATATATCTATGCAAGTTTCTGATGGGATTGAAGCCAGCCCTGTCTACCAGTTGAGGGTAAGAAAAAGCTTGGACACAAGCAACCCATTTTCCACGTGGAACCGAGTTTCATTTGATCATAACAGCAGGAGACAGAAATGGAAATGTCACTCTACAAAGTTAAATGCATGCGTTTCCAATGGACCTCAAATTAGACAGTCACCTGTCTAATTAAAAAAAAATACTCAAATTTTCTCGAATCTATGAAAGAACTTAAAAAGTGAACTTGGAAAATATTTCCTTTCGGCGATCTACAATTTTCATGGAGATCATAAAGTAGAAAATTATTTACATTTGTCAATAGGTGTAACTGGAAATATCTAGGGTACCATAGGCATCAAACAAAACTATTTAGATTCTCATTTGTATCATCTCCTTTAAAATCCTGGTAGATTATAGTGATTGGATGTAACATGCTGTATATTCTATTCAAAGTTTGTATTTTTTTACAGGTATCCGTCTCGCCTCAATACTGGAGACTAGAAAGAAATACGGGCTTAATAGTTTTGCACCAAACTTGGTCGATAATCACTCCATACAATTTGAGTTTCACATCAAACGTTGCTATTCCTGATTACACTGCTGTTTTTACAATTGTGAAAAAGCCAAGATATGGAGTTGTTGAGGTTGAGAAAACTGTCAATTCTTGGGAAGCTGTTGATACCTTCACTGGGAGTGATCTCAAACAACACCGTGTCAGATATAGACATACTACCGCCAAACCAGATTTTGACGAATTTCAGGTAAGACACGAATGTTTATCACTAATATGGATTGCAACAACCACTCGGGTGTTGAATCTTTTTCCTAGGTAGCGTAGACTCGAGAACGTTGTTTTCAGTGACAAGGCCCATGTGGACAAGCAACAATGCAGATATTGAGCACCAGCGAACTCAAAAGAGAAACATCCAAAGGTGACTGTTTGGTGTGCAATATCCTCTAGCGGTATAATTGCGCCGTATTTCTTCGAAGATGTCATGCATGTCTTGCATTGACAGTCAATTCCGTGTGATACAAGGACATGATTGACACTTTTTTGCTCCTATTTTAAGAACAGAACGTTGATTTAACAGAAACACTTGGTTCCAACAGAATGGGGCCACTGCCCATACTTCCCGAGAATCGGTGGACACGGTGAAAGCACCTTTTCCTCAAAAAGTTATAGCGAAGTTTGGAGACATTCACTGGCCTCCTAGGTCACCCGACCTGACGCCATGCGATTATTTTTTGTGGGGTTATCTAAACTCAAAAGTGTATTCCAATAATCCACTAACACTGGAGGAGCTTAAAGACAACATTCGACGAGAAATAAACAACATCACTCCGGAACTCTGCAAGAGAGTGTTTCAGAATTTGCGCGCGTGATTGGAAGAGTGTGTCCAAAGGGATGGCAAACATTTGGACGAAATATTTAAGAAATAAAACCCGCCGAATCTACGAATATGTGGATAGTAATAAATATTTTGTTTTCATTAAGTATGTATTTTTTTCCTTAAATCAAAAAGTGAACTTTCCCCTGTATATGCATATCGTATTAACTTAATTTTTGTTGTTACAGTTTCGAACTCTGGACAAGACGCAGACCTACACGTTCCGTCTAACATTCGCTAAATGTACGTTATTCAAGCATAACGTGAATAACTTACGTCTCAACGACCAGTGGGAAGTACCAGTAACTACAAAAGACCTTTCATTTGAAACAAAACCCCCAAAAGTACTGACTTATATACACTACGTTATATCCAAACCTCCTCAATATGGGTTCCTGTTTTCATCAGTCTCAAAATACAGATTGAAAACTTGTGATATGTTCACTCAAGAAGACATTGCTTTGCAAAATATCAAGTACAGATTTTACCAGAAACCTTACTCTAATGTTGAAGATACAATAACTTTGGCTGTACTGTCACCTGGGTGTAACAACATTACTACTAACCTTACGATAGGATATACACCTAAGAGAGATGAAGAAACTCAAATCAGTGTTAGTTTCAAGCATTTAGATGTTGATGAAGGGTCAACGGCTATTATAGATTCCACTCATCTTAGTCTGAAGGCAAGCTTCATCAGCGAAGTACTGTATAACATTACTGAGAAACCTATACATGGATTTCTACAACTTGTACACAAAGAAGTTATTAAAAACGACACGGATTATTTCAGCTCAGAAGATTTGAAAACGAATTCACTACATTACGTTCACGATGGCTCAGAGACTCAGGCAGATTCTTTTACATTCTTAGCTCTATCAAATAACGACGAAAACTTTGAATACGTCGGAAAGTTCAATATAAAAATTACTCTGAAAAATGACAATAGCCCTGTGAGAGTTGTAGATAAGGTTTATCACATAGTAGTTGGTGGGGAAAGACTTATCACTGGAAAAGATTTGAAATATATCGACGAAGATCTAGATACTCCCACATCTGCAATAGTGTATACGTGCAGAGAATCTTCCAACGGGAATTTCTATAACATAAATGACATGAACGCTAAAGTAACGGAATTTACTCAGGAAGATTTGGATAATAATAGGATAATGTTCAAGCACAAAGGGCCTGAATATGGCAAAGTGAGGCTTTGGGTAACTGACGGACAGTTTCATGTGAATGGCGTTCTTGAAATTCAGGCGTCAGCACCATTTATTCATATCGAGATCAACAAGAAATTTATTGTACAACATGGCAGCTCAGCTGTCATCACAAGCGATCATCTGTCATACTCTACGAATTTGTTCGCATTAGATAGAGACGTTTTTTATGAGATTGTTACCAAGCCGTCTTTTGGAAAAGTTGTCGCAACCCAAACGCAAAAGGTAGGTATTACTAATATCATAGACAATCTAAAGGTACATTTCCAATACAGGGTGACCGCAAAGTTGGGGTTTTCCTTTACACGACGTGTAGATCTTTAGAAAATAAGCGGATTTTCTCAGTAGCATTAACACAAATGTCTTCAGAGAACCGAAATATTGAGCTGCGCAAACTCGATCAAACCTGAACCAAACCGAAGCCGGTCCTATCACTCGATTACGTCCACAGGGCCAGCGTACAGTTATCCGACGTACGACTACGATGTAAATTCGCTAGTATGCAACCTAACCTAGACGCCGGTAGTGTAGGTCAACAAACCATTACATTGGTAACCGATTGCTGTTCAAAAAATAAAAAAGGCAGACTCATACACCAATAGCGAACTAGTCAACATGCTGTTGATTTGCGGTGTGTCTTCGAAATGCGACCGAGGCTTCGCGAATGTATCCAGGTCGTTTTTCCAGACGTGCTCATCCAAGACCTCGTAGTTTTGTTTACCTTTTGCAGAGACTCAGGGATACGGGTCGTTTAGATAAATGTCGAGGTTGGCGCAGAGGGAGAACTAGAAATGGTGCAAACTGAGGAAGAAGTACTGAATCTCGTAGACAAGCACTAGGGACGTGGTTCGACAAGCGCAAGTGTCGAAGACTAAAGTGCGGCAAACGCTGCACGATAAGGGATTGTACCCGCTTGACGTGCAACGTGTACAAGCCGTCCAAGCTGAGGATGTTCCTGCAAGAGTGCGGTTTTGTGAGTGGTTGTTGCACCAACATGACAATAATCCGGACTTCTTGAAGAGCATATTAGTCAGAGACGAATCCACGTTCACGCATACAAAACTGAAGTGTACCCGGTTGACGAATTACGTCTGATAATAGAGCAAGCTGCTGAATTTATTCGGGGACGGGACTCCACTCTAAATACCTGCACCGATGCTTGCCTACGTCGAGCACGCACATGTGTTTTTGAATCCAACGGCGACAACTTCGAACAGTACTTATAAAATACGTTCATCAAGAAAAAGTGACACCGACGTCATATTTTCGATCTCTTTTTTGTTACATGTTCTCCTCGAATTTTACGACAGAGCCGTACGTGCAATTTCAATTCAACTGAACAGTGAGTAATTTTTCATTTATTTTTTTTTTACTTGTTCGCTCACGTTTCACCACACATTAGCTTTGTCAAACGTAGTTGAAAAGGAAAACCCCAACTTTGCGGACACCCTGTATAAGTAAGAGGCGCATTTACTCCGATATCCGCAACATTTTTTCCTTGTTGATGATCAAACCACTTTTACAGCCAATGAAAAATTTTACCCAAGAAGATGTGAATAAGGGTCTGGTGAGTTACGTGAACGAAAATACGGTTGGAAGCGCGGATGAGATAGTGATTCGAGTCAGATGCAGAGATGCAGTGAATATCGCGCACTTAAGCGTTCTGATGCTTCCAGCCAATTATTGGGAACCTCTTGAACCCAAGCATTTGAAGAAATTGTCTGTTGAAGAGGCTACCAGCGTACATATCACTAAGAAGACGCTAGAGGTAAGCATAGGTATAATAATTGATTAGTGAGTGTAACAAAATGAAAAAGGATTTGTTTGATGGTGCTTAGTAGAAATTTGAACGTCTACGCCTAAAATGTATTTCGACAAGAGGCTAACGTGTTTTTCTATTAACGTAATATCTTAATATATTTTTTCTGTACTTCAGGCAGCAGCGGTGGCCGCAGTAGTAGACTCTTCAGTCTCCTGATCAGTCGCCGTGCGCTGTGCGGGTTCGAATCCCAAGAGAAATTTTTCTCTTGACTATGGATGTTGTGATTGTCCGTAGGTGGTAGACGGTCTCTGACTGTCGAACGCAGAGGTACCACCCGGCGGATCTCGTAGGCGGGGCCAGAATGTATGCATGTTGCATGCACAAGTATTCCCTCGCCAGAGTCCGTGTGGCGATCCCCATTTCCCCTGTATCCCCCTATAGCCCCACGGTACCATGGGTGTTTAGGCCTTCGTGGTAGTTGAATATAAAAAAAGTGTCCCAAATTTAGATGTATTTATCAAGATTTTTTCTATTGCGACAACGGGAAACAAAAATGCAAAAGACGCCTAAGAAACATTATGGGTAATGGCTATACACTGAAAACCAAATTAGTCTGATGGCTTGAGTGCAATATGTACGAGAGAGAAGTGTGCATAGACATAGACAGTTCCTTGAATTAAGATGCATGTTGTAAATATGGGTTAGTTTATTCTCTATGCCCAAATAATGATTTTATTTTGAGCGTACACACTTTTGAATTGTGAATTGTGTCGATCCGTTCAGGATCGCTTGGCAACACCGCATCTTGTAGATTCCAAGGCAAGGTTTCCATCTCCATGATAATAGATGAGCGATTTTGGACAGTACCCATCTAGCGCTCATTGGGGAGTGTCGTCCTGCTTCGAAATGGTTTTCATCTGCGTACACGCAGGCAGTGATAATTTGCATAGCGTAATGGTATTTGTTACATTTTCCGAGCGCTCGCTGTAGCAAAATGTAATGATAACTCAGTATGTGATGAATTTATCACCATCGGTGGAAATCAAAGATAATTATAAAATAAATAAAAACGCTAAGTCGCATCAAATTTGAAATAAATAATTCTAATCAAAATGAAAATAAAATATTAAATTAAATGTTCGACCTCCTTCTTGGGTTTGATAGTAACCTAACCTATTGTAGATGTCTGTGCTAACATTTTCTGGTGTAACATATTGGCAACGCGGCAGATTGTACAACATTCTGTGTCACCGTTGCTAGGAAATGTGCTGATGGCCTTCGCTCTTCAGCTAGCTTCGATTTCTTTGTAACATGTGGTGATGCACACTTCTCGTGCTTCCCTCTCGAACACATTAAACTCAAGCCGTCAGACAAACTTGGTTTTTAGTATAATCATATTGGACGAAAATACCCCTGGTTTGCGAAATACATAATTGTAAAGTCTGGTTTTATTGCTGCAAGTTGTTCAAGGGGTATGCAAAACAAAACATGGACGCATAAAATAGGTACACCAATTTTTGTGGAAAAACTTTTTACTCGACAATAACGAATGAGGAAACGTGTTTTTTGGGATTCAATCGAAAGTGTTGGTAGGAACAAAAAAAACCCTTCATATAAGATTTTTAGGTATTTATGACACCTACAAAATGAGACCACACGTAAAAAGATCCTACGTCCGTTCAAGATACAATTACGGTTTTAAAAAACGAAATCTATGTTGTGACAATATCGATAAAATCAAGATGAGGCTCATTGAATGTAACTGGAAGTATGGATCTCGAGATGTTGATTCCTCATATAATTGTTTTATCGACAATGTGAATAAAAGTATTAACGATGTTGCACCTTTAGAACAAGAAAGTACTAATTACAAGTCATGGATTGATGGAGAGGTCAAAAGAGCACAAAGGGAAAGAGATGTACAATACCATATTTTCAAATTTACCAATCTGAGGGATGACTTCGAAAAATATAAAGAAAAACGTAACGAAGTTGTTGCTCTTATAAGATCAAAACAAAAGCAGTATCATGAAGAAAAGATTGACAGATGCAAAAGAGACAGCAAACAGATGTGGAGAACCTTGAAAGATCTCGTTAATAACAAACATGTACACATTGATTATATGTCTTTAGAAATTAATAGCTGTGACACTGTAGAGAATAAATTGAACAATTATTTTATCAAGAGTGTAACTGATATAGTAAGCACCATACCTTCAAGTAAAGAGGAAGCTCTAACGGCAGCAGTGCCTTTAGAAGAGGAATTTTAGAGGTTTCAAGAAATTTCATTGAATAAGCTACGCAAAACAGTTTTTCAATTGAAGAAAAAATCTACGGGTGATGAAGCACTTACATGCAGATTAGTGAAGCAATTGTTTGATTTTGAATACTGTAAATACATCGCTCAGAACAGGAAAGACGCCTTCGTTGTTGAAGAGGAGTATTATAGTCCCAGTACCCAAAGCAAACAATCCACGTAAGCCAGAAGACTTGCGACCCAACAATCTTATGCCATTCGTCGGGAAAGTTATAGAAATAACAGTGCATGAACAGCTGAGTGAGCATCTACGTGTGAACGATGTTCTTTTTGAGAGGCAATCCGGGTTCAGCAGAAATCATTCTTGTGAAAGTGCATGCCAATTTGTATGTACAAAGTGGAAAAAAGATGTAGATGATGGTAAAGTGATTGTGCGTGTGAATTGACCTAAAAAGAGCGTTTGAAAATATTGACAGGAAATTCTTGTTGAGAAAATGTGAAAGGTATGGAATTAAGGGTACAGCGCTCTTGTGGCTGGGTGACTATTTATCTGAGCGGTTACAAGTGGTAAAAATTTAAAGTAAAATATCAAGTAATGTTTCTGTTGATCATGGAGTACCTCCAGGCAGCGTACTAGGCCTATTGCTGTTTATTCTATATGACAATGATATGTCGAATGTCCTTAGCAATTCTATTATAAATTTGTTTGCAGATGATACATTAATTTCAGTTAGTGGTTCAGTACGTAACGAAATTGTAGATGTAATGAATAGTGAAATGAGCAAACTTAGTTTATGGTTAAAAACAATTAGAAATTCTCAAAAAACTACTTGACCAATATACTCCAACTTTGTTGTTTTATTTAGAAGTATGAATCCTACTAATATGAAGAATTTTAAGTAGTTGCGTGAAATTATCGTAGCATTCCCAACATGTTTGCTATTAGTCGGATTTTTTTACGTGTGGTCTCATTCTGTAGGTCTCATAAATACCTAAAAATCTTATATGATGAAAAGTTTTTTCGTTCATGTCAACACTTTCGATTGGATCCCAAAAACACGTTTTCTCATTCTTTGTTGTCAAATAAAAAGTTTTCCCACAAAAATTGGTGTACCCATTTTATGCGTCCACGTTTTAAATACCCTCTTGAACAACTTTCACCAATAAAACCAGACTTTACAATTATTTCGGGAAAATTTGCTAATATGATTAGACTATCTCCCTGTATAATAAAAGTAAGTGTGTTGTAGATCTCAACACGTTTAACAAAAATGTTCATGGGACCAAAGCTTATGTCATATCTATCATATCTATTTGATATTAATTTACGTTTTTATCATCATCCATACTAGTCGGCTCATCAATATTCCAAGTCTATCAGATGTAAAGGGTGGCCCAAACATTTTCAAACACTGATCAGGATTATACTGCACGGTCCCTTTGGGAATACGTTTCAAGGACGTTCCCGATTCTATAAAGAATTCCACTACTCTTGCGTATTTTGAAGAACTCTTTACTACTAATTAACTCGAAACTAGATAACAACTGAGGAATGTGAGATACATTCTGTCCTCTTACCTTCGATTTCACCGCCTCGGTGAACTTTGAACCAACTGAAAAAGTGTTTCGTCGCGAACAAGAAAAAGTATCTCAAAAAGGCCACTGTTGTGCCTGAAACGTTAGTAAAAAGTAATTTCAACATATGCGGTTTAATTTATCAAAAAACATGCATTTCTACTAGCATGAAAACCACAGGATGAGTTAGGGATGTTACAGTATTCTGTTGTTATTGCTACCACCTTTTTCTTAACCGCTTTTGTGATAAACCCAGTTCGTTTTACAGGTATATCAACCAAATGTCCCGCCATCAGCCATAGTATACTATATAGCCGACATGCCAGAATATGGCTACATTTCTATAATATCAGATACGAAAAATGGCAATGAACCTGTGAATGTCATGTCGTTCTCCCAAGATCTTATAAACGACAACAAAATCATTTACATACAGTCTGTTGCAAATCAAACTAAAGACACAGTGATTTTCAACGTTACCAATGGCATAGTTTGGAAGAACAATCTCCATCTTTCTGTAGAAATAATACCAGAAAAATTTTACCTAGGGACAAACAACCTAATAGTCAATGAAGGAGGTGTCGTGGCTATAACTACAAACCATATATACGTTCTAACAGATTATTACAAATCAAAAGTAACAATGTACAATATCAAAGACAGTGTAAAACATGGCTGTGTACAGTTACACAAAAGATGCATGAAATCAAAATCTTTCTCTTTGAAAGAACTCCAAGCTGGTGTGGTACAATACGCACACGATGGTAGCGAAAATATGGAAGATCAAATGGTAATCATAGGCGAAACAGGTACGAAAAAGAGCGTACCTGTCACTTTCAAAATTACAGTGCTTCCTGTAAATGATCAAAAACCGAAATTGGTCAATAATACTGGATTAGTCATCTGGGAAGGAGGAATGGCAGTTATCACAAACGAAATGCTCGGTAAGTCTAAAAAATATTTTTCATTTGCGGCAGACGTCCCATTTCTTTTGCTGTCAGAACTTGCCACTCAGGAACTTTTCTAATAGCGATCCGTTTTTTTATTATTTTTGTGTGTTATGTACAATTTACCTATATATACTAAGTGACATATAAATCCGAACACCCAGTTTAACTGGTTTTATTTTAATAAAAGTTGGTGAAATTATTTATCTTACTGTAAATAACAAGTGAAAAAATTTTCAGCCTTATCAGTTGGACATTCCTGTTTTTATACTGCTTTTTTTAATTCACTAACGCTCTAAAAATGAATATTTCAGCCGCAGTAAAGAATCAACGTTGGCGGATTTTGGTTCTTGACATCCTTTACTATCGGTTACGATGCCTAGAGTACGGAGACCTGTACGATTTCGTCAACTTAGTGAGTTTGATAGGGGCCGTATAGTGGGACTTCGGGAAGCTGGACTTTCTTTTCGGGCAATTGCAGTTAGAGTGCAAAGAAGTGTAGACACTGTGGTTAGGTGTTGTCAGGCATGGCTTCGAGAAGGCCGTACGCAAAGAGCAAGGGGCACTGGACGCCGCCGTAGAACAACAGACCTTGAAGATCGCCGCCTAAGATTATTGGCCTTAAGGGACCGTTTCTCCACTACCAGGTCCATTGCAAATGAATGGTTTGCAGAACACGGAAGACCTATTGGCATGCGAAGTGTTTACCGACGAATGAGAAGTGGGTCCTCCCTTTAACTCGAAACACCGACGTAATCGCCTTGAGTGGTGCAGACAACGGTCACTCTGGGATCAGGAATGGAACAGTATTGTCTTTAGTGACGAGACTCGATTTTGTTTAGGCATGCACGATGGTCGTGCCAGGGTTAGAAGGCGACGTGGTGAAAGGAGGAATCCACAGTTTTTTGTTGAAAGACCTGTTCATCACACTGTTGAAGTTATGGTTTGGGGTGCTATAGCTTATGGTTCCAGGTCACCTTTAATCTTCATCAGAGGTAACATGAACGCGCAGCGTTATATCCACGAGGTTCTAGAACCCCATCTTTTACCCTATCTTGACACCCTGGCAGATCTAACTTTCCAACAAGATAATGCCCGACCACATGTTGCAAGAGTCACAATAGACTTCTTTCAACATAATGATGTCACATTGTTACCATGGCCACCAAGATCTCCCGTCTTATCCCCAATTGAGCACGTGTGGGATATGATGGGTAGGAGATTGCTCAATTTGCAACGTCCTTCTCAGACTCTAGAAGCACTTCGAGAGGAGTTGGTGGTTGCCTGGAATGAGATACCACATGAGGACATTGACCACCTGATCAGAAGCATAAGATAAATACATTCACCAACTTTTATTAAAATAAAACCATTTAAACTGGGTGTTCGGATTTATATGTCACTTAGTATATTATTCTGCCGTGAGCTTAAGGAAGTTTTCTTATGTATCGATGGATTAGCGGGATAATATTGAGATTGAGATCGCAATAATTTTTGGATTTGAGATACCATGCATGTCGATCACTTCCGTTTATTTTTTAAGGCATGTCCGTTAACCCTTGGCTCTTCTAACTCGGAAAGTACTGAGATTTCGATGAAATTTTGATCTGTCCATAACGAAAGGCTTTGCATTTGATAATGAGCCCAGTGGTGGTGAAATTATGAACGACGTTCATCGGTTGGGTTATTGTATAGATAAACTTTTTAATTTACAGCTGCTACTGACGATGATAGACCACCAGAGACGTTAAAATATCATGTACAAAGTTGTTGGTGGGGAAACGTAGCTTTGCTCTCAGATTCATCAACACCTCTCAACTATTTTACTCAAGAATTAATAGATAAAAGAATGGTTGTATTTCATCATCAAAGTAAGTTAACTCTCCTTTCAGTTTTGTTTCGACAACGATCAACGCATTCCATTGAAGTATCTATTCAATTGAAAGTATGTTTTGTATATAATATTTGAACATTGTTTTTTATATCACCTTCCAGATGGTACTGAAGCAAGATTCAAATTCAACATTAGCGACGGTCTACACACGACGAAAGACTACATGTTTTTCATAAAAACGAAACCCGTCCAGCTGAAGCTAACCAGCAAGCCTTTGCATATTTTCCCATTGCAAAGAAAGTACCTTACTTCAAATCACCTTCTGACGGTCATATCAGATCCTGATAGAGAAGTTCATTATGACGTTATCATACCACCTACTCTAGGCAGGCTAATGATGGAATCAGAAAACGCGGGAATTTTTAAAGTGGTCAACACATTCACCCAGAGCGATCTGAATAATAGCAAAGTGTTCTATGAACATACTCATCAATTTTCAGATCTCTACGCCAACGATTCTTTTACATTTAATGTTAAAGCGCATACTGCCCCAAAATTGATAAACCAGGTAAGAATCGCGATGAAACGTACTTTTTCAGTGGGTTATAGGAAATACACTGCTTTCCAAAAAGGTCTTCCCGGTTATTTTTTGAACGAGTCATATTAGCAAGTTTTTAGGCAACGAATTTCATGCATGAATTCTATACTTAAAGTCACAGTTGTAAATATTAAGATGTTGTCAAAGTTGTTCATCTTTTATATTGAATCGCTTATAGCTCAGCAATGTTATATTGATCTTGTCAGATTTTGACATTTTTAAAATAGAATGTTCTATATTGTATTACTTATTTAAATAATCCTTCAAAGAGAAAAATATTGGTATAACATACTAACGCAATTGGTAGCAATTGGTTGTTGGGTTATAAGCGATTGAATGGACAAGAGGTGTCCGGCTATACATTTATTTTAGCTTTTTATATGACCTAGAAGTTGTATACAAATGCCATAAGATCTAATATACAGTTTTCAGTTCATATTTTTTCTATACCGGGTGTCTCATAGAAGTGCTATCGACTGAAGTATTTTTTAAATGGGACACCCTGTATATCTTCAGTGAACATGATAGTTCCTTTTTTATACCAAATATATTTGGTTTGTTAAACTTAATTTCATCACTTTAGTTAAAAACTTGAAGTTTGTGTGCCATTTAATTATATGTATTCCGGTCTTATACCAGATTATCATTTCCCTTGAAGATATGCAGGGTGTTCCATTTAAAAAAGTACAACTTTATTCGATAGGACTTTTCTGGGACACAAAAAAATATTGCATAAAAAACGTCATGTCAGACTATAACTTTTATACAAAACTTTTTCGTCTGTAGGATCATATAAAAAGTTAGTATTTGTGGTCAATTTATGTCCGGACACCCCATACTAAAACGAGAAATATCACATGCCAGTCGGCCACATTGAAAAGTAGTGATTTCATATTTTAGACTTATAAATTACTATTAAGAAGCTCCAAAATTAAGTATCACATTTCCCGTCATTCTGTTTAAAAAATGTTCCACCATGGCGCCCTCAAGTCATTTTGAAATTCACAACAGACTCTTACGCTAAAATATAGAATTCATGCATTAATGGTGTATCAATAACAGCTTGTATTTGAACAACTCGCCGCAATGCCGCATTTTAACCTTTACCCGGAAAGTCAAATTTTTAACTCACCCATACAAAATAAATGATTCTGAATTGGAAAGATTTCAGCATATATTTCGATTGTCTGTGCACCTTTAACTACCACATTAATGAAATAATAAGTAATGCGTATCGCACATATGGCTTTAAGTTATTGTCAGTGCTTGTTATAAGTAAATTAGAATACGGTGCGATTATTTGGAGCCCTATGTATGAACTCTACAAAGGTAATATTGAAAAATTACAAAAGAAATTTCTGACATATGTATCTATAGGAGTGATCCTCCATAAGGATATGACTACTTATTGTTATAGAATAGATTTGGTGTCGCTTCTTTAGAGAACCGCAGAGAGCAGGCGTCGATCATATTTTTATACAAATTACTACATCGACTGATTGCTATCACAAATTGATTTCCTAGATTGACATCCAAATAGAAAGTCCTTTTTCTACAAGAGGGCACAGACAAATCTTCTGTCGAAACCACCAATAGCCTTTATGTGCAATCATGCGAATAGAATTGGGAGTATTTGTGATATCTTCTGTTGTGGATTTCAAGAATTAAGAATGCTTTACGCTCACATTTTTTTTACCCATTTCTCTAGACGTTTTCGTTAGTTATACAGGGTGTTCGCAATGTTGGGGTTTTCCTTTTCAGATACAACTACGCTTGATATAACAAAGCTAATGTGTGGTGAAACGTGAGCAAACAAGTAAAAAAAAGTAAATGAAAAATACTCGCACTGTTCAGTTGAATTTAAATTCCAAGTACGGCTCTGTCATAAAATCCGAGGAAGACATGTAACAAAAATATGACGTCGGTGTCACTTTTTCTTGGTAAACGTATAAGTACTGTTCGAAGTTGTCGCCGTTGGATTCAAAAATACATGTTCGTGGTTGACGTAGCCAAGCATCGGTGCAGGCTTTTACAGTGGAGTCCCTTCCCCGAATGAATGCAGCAGCTTGCTTAATTATCAGACGTAATTCGTCAACCGTATGCACCCCTGTTCTGTACACCAAGCGTTTCATTTCGCCCCAAAGAAAAAAAATCACACGGTGTTAAGTCTGGCGATCGCTGAGGCCACGCTACGGGTCCATTACGTCCGATCCACCTATTTATTCGGAAATGATTCATTTAAGAACTCGCGCACTTTGCGGTGCACCGTCATGGAGAAACCACATTGATTGTCTTACACTCCAAGGCACATCTTCTAGCAGTGTTGGTAAAATGTTCTGTAAAAAGTCTAGGTATTGTATCCCGTCCAACCGATTCGGGAGAATAAATGGCTCAATGAGCATGCCAGAAAATGTTTGTTGAACGTGTGTCCGACAGACAGCGTGAGGATTTTCTACTGACCACAGATGAGTATTGCGGAAGTTATTCACCCCGTTACGCGTGAACGTGGGTTCGTCTGTGGCTAATATGCACTTCAAAAGCCTGGATGATTGTCATGTTGGTGCAACAACCACTCTCAAAATCGCACTCGTACAGGAAAATCCTAAGCTAGGAGGGCTTGTACACGTTGAACGTGAAACGGGTACAATCCCTCATCATGCAGCGTTTAGACTTTGATGCAGTACTTCTTCCTCAATTTGCACCATTCGGGTTTTTCTAGGTTTCCCACTGTGGCCACCTCGACATTCCTCCAAATCACCCGTATCCCTGAGTCTGCAAAAGGTAAACAAATCTACGGGCCCTTGGATGATGACGGGAAAACGATCTGCATACACTCGCGAAGTCTCGGTCGTATTTTGAAGACACTCACCGTAAATTAACAGCATGTCGACTAGTTCGCTATTGGTGTATGAGTGTGCCATTTTTTTGTGAACAGCAATCGGTTGCCAATGTAATTTTTTGTTGACCTACACTACCGGCGTTATAGGTTAGATTGCGTATTTACATCGTAGTCGTACGTCGTATAACTGTGCGCTGGCGCTGTGGATGTGATCGAGGGGTAGGACAGGCTACGGTTTGGTTCAGGTTTAATTGAGTTTGCGGAGCCCAATATCTCGGTTCTCTTAAGACAATGTTGTATATGCTACTAAGAAAATCCGCTTATTTTCTCAAGATCTACACGTCATGTAAAGGAAAGCCGCAACTTTGCGGACACCCTGTATATTTATGTGTGAACATGACATGATATAGCTATATATTCTTTTTCGCTATTAAGTACCTATCAGCAACTTGCTCTTTTTTTGTTTTTTTTTTCACTTTATGGTACACAGACTGTGTAAATTAAATCATTGTATGGTATCTGTATGTTGGGCATTAAATGCTTTATTATTATTATTAATTTGGTCACCATGAATTTCAACTTGTTAACCCGTTAATGAATAATTGGTGGATGGACCTTTTTAAAAAGCACTATTTGATTTCAGATTTTGAAAATAGACATATCAGTATCATCTGGAGGCTTAGACGCTTACGTGAGTATTCCTAAAATATTTGTCGACGAGGGAGGATTGACAAACATACCCCTGAACTTATCGGGAGTGGTATCTTTTCTGGAAAACCACGCTGGGCTAAGATCCCCTATAATCCACGCATCGGCCTTGCCGCCTCAGCATGGTCAAATTTTCCTACAACACGCTAGGAACCTCACCACATTCACTCAGCAACAACTTGAGTCTGGGCAGGTGTTTTACGAACACGATCATTCCGATTCCTTAGGCGACAATATCCACTTTTCATTATATTTGATACCGGGATATGTTACTTTATGTAACGTGACAGTCCCTGTTATTGTAAATCCAATAAATGATCAGCCATTCAATCTTGTAACCCCGGCTCCCAGTTTGCTGGTAGTCCAGGGAGAAAATCATACGATTACGAGACACGAATTGGCTACTGAAGATAGTGACACTCCTCCTTCGATGTTGAAGTATGACGTCATATCCGGACCTTCGCACGGAAAATTAGTGCTGATGCCTGAGAATGTTGCAGTTATCCACTTCACGCAAGGCGATATAGATGATGGGCGATTGATGTATGTCCACGACGGTTCCGCGTTAACCGACTCGTTCCACTTCAGAATATGGGATGAAAAATTCAGACCTGAGTTTCATTTATTTAATATAATGGTAACTCCTATCAATATCACTGTTTTGCCTGGTATCCCAGTGTACCTGCTACAAGGCTCCGATGTTGAGTTGTTGACAGTTAAACAGTTTTACATACAGACAAATGCTGATAGAAATAAAATACAGTTTAGCATGAAACGTAAAACGAAGCATGGAATGTTGTATAAGGAACCATTCTACAAAGATAAACCGATAACTTCATTCATGTATTCAGATTTAGTACAAGGCAAAGTGATGTACCTCCAAACTGACATGACAACAGCTAACGATAGCTTCCAAGTGTTCGCTGAGATGAAAACTGGCAATAATTCGTTCGGGAATGACGTAGAGGTATTTATAAAAGTGAAACCTTTTATGCATATACATAATTTGACCACAAAGGCGGCAGAAATCAACAAGATAACTCTCCAGACTTTAGATGCCACTCCCTTGGCTAAGATAACGAATAGCAATCCTCGATATACCATCCTCAAGCAGCCCAAGTATGGCCAAATCAAGAAAATAATAAGAAGTTCAGGGGAAAAAAGGAACGTTTTGGACACGGCCGTTATGGCCTTTACGCATGAAGAAGTACAAAGTGGCCTTATCTACCTGGCAGTGAAAGACATAGAAGTCCCTTGGGAAGGAGTTCATGATAAACTGGTGTTTATGGTAGCAGCCACTATCTTTCAACCTGCTATTGGAGAGCTCAAGATTAACATCAAGTCACCTTTGAATAATGATGTTCTGTCGACTTTGCCAGGTCCTAGCGATCCTGCAAGTCATGAAGGGGGACTTCATCTGTCAAGCCCCAATATGACTAAGGATTACTTACTGATAGGTAAGAGACATTAAATAACATTTTAATGGATTCGAGTGGATGCTATACCATTATACTTTCCACGCCAATTGGCGATGAAGTATTGAAATCGCGAAAAGTTTCGGAAATGCTTGTGTTGCTTTTAGCAGTGTTTCTTAATCTGTTTTTATACCACATTCGAAATATCAAGTATGTTATGACTTTTCGTGTTTTTTTTTCAAACTGAAACAATTTTCCACAAATGCGACCGAACATGAAACAGTCTCAACCTAATCTTTCATTGTGCTGAATAGCTGAAACAGCAAAAAGCTGCTGGAGTCCTCTAACGCCTGAAAAGTACATCATGTAAAACTCACATTTCCGCTTGTTTTTCTGTCTGTCCTAATGATTTTTGATCCGTCATGGACAAGCACCACTCATTGATGAAAAATTGACATGACGTCATCTTGATAGAACGAAAACGTGTTTTCAGTTTTTTACAATCGGTCTAGAGATCTCGGAATCCCTTCAAAAGTTTAGATTAATTAAAGGCATATAAACTTGTTTTATATGCCTTTTATATTCTTTACTAACGCATAGCTTTGCATTGTGGGCATGCATGTTTCATCAGCACAACTGGGCAAGCCGGTGGTGAATTTGATTATCTTCAAAGGTTAGAACTATTGATTTCCAATTGGCAGTGCCACTAATGGTCTATTCCGGCGCCCAAGAAATTATCCGAGATAAAACGATATACTATAGCTTCACCTATGAGAATTTTTCACATGTTTTTCTATTTACTATATATATACCTTGAAAGGGGCCAACTTTTTAACGAAAAGTACTACACCTCGGCCCCCATAGTCATTCCCTTAAAAATTTTAAATGATAAGGGGTGTCGAGTAATAGCTTGTTTGAAAGGTCTTTCGAGGTCATTTATTTTAACGTATGATTTTTTAAAATCAGTCGATTCGTTTTCGAGAAAATTAGAAAAATCTTTATTTATCTTAATTTGTTCAGATAGAAAACCAAAACACACGAAAATGTCACTTTTCATTTCAATAAGTGTTCAAAATGTTAATGGCCAAACAATGATATAGGCGATGTTCAAATTCCCGACGGACATTTTCAAGAACCTGTGGGATATCATGGCAGCTTTCGATGATGCGTTGACTAAGTTCATCCAAACTTTCAGGTTGGGGAGTAAACACATTAGATGGCCCCGTAGAAAAAAGTCTAATGGCGTCAAATCAGGAGATCTAGCAGGCCATTCTATAGGCCCTCTTCACCCTATCCAATTATCGGGAAACTCGTCGTCTAGCCATTGCCGAACCAAAAGAACATAGCTAAGCAAACTGTTACTCGATACCCCTTGTCTTTTAAAATTTTTAAGGGGATGACCCTGGGGGGCAGAGGGTGAAGTAGTTTTTGGTTTAAAAAGTTGTCCCCCTTGACAAATCTTTTGACGTGTCTCTGCGTTTTTTCTCTTAATCAGTGGTTTACGATAAATCCGTGGTGGAAAGTTTTCAAATGAAAACCCTGTATATTGCAATACCCGTTTTACATCAACAATTTCTTTACGAATTAATTCAGGATCTGTACTTCAGAGCCAGACTAGGTTAAGTCCAAATAAGTAGTTTTGTGATAATTGTATCTGAAATATTTTTCTTGCCTTTATTGTATGCGACTTGACGTGAATTCAAAAGTCGTAACTTTCTTAATATTACAGATAGATGGACGCTGCATATAGCAAATGAAAATTCACAGTATTATCATAAGCTTATCATATCAAACTCATTTTTGACAAAAATGGTCTAGCTCTGGGGTACAGAGATGGATTTATTCAAGGTCATCCTGATTATGTTTTGCTAGAAACATTTTGAGGTTTTGATATACATTGTGGTTTTGATTTCGAATTTTATATGTTAAACATAAACCATATTATTGAATACTGTAGTTCCATCAAAGTTTGATACTTGAATTAGAAGGTTGTTCCATATAATGGAAAGGAATACAAGGTTGAGCAGCATGGAATTTGACGTCCAACTTAGTGAAAATTAGAACAATTTCTAATTGCGTGAAGAAATCATCGATGTACTTAATCTTTTGGGCGAGAGAATATAGCATTAGGTTAGCTTTTTTCTAGTAGAATCAATGTGGAAAATTCCAATCTTTTAACGTGTTTTGATCCATCAGCACTCTGGAGATGCGTGGAAAGTATTTAGTCTCCAAACCTTCAAGTATTGTGTGCGTGGATGTACGAGGTCTGTAAATTAAGTGATGAGACTGTTTTTTTTTTGTTTTCTTATTCAAATATAATTACAATTTTATATTGCCTCCCTCAAAATAACTTCCTTCTGAAGCCACATAGACGGTTCTTCCACTCCTTATAGCAGTGCTGGAACTCCGATACTGGAATAACCTTTAGCTGGTGGGTTACAGCCGTTTGAACGTTTTCGACTGACCCTAAATGAGTTCCTTTGAGGTGATGTTTCAACTCCGGGAAGGGAAAAAGGAGGCTGAGAAGTCAGTTGTTGTGTGGGAGTCAAATTTAACTCTTCCCCGATCATGCTGATTATCAACCGACGATCTGAGTGCACAAGATCCCGGATTCTGTCTATATTTTTATGGGTTCCTTCAGATGAAAAATCCTTTCGCTTCGAGATTCATCTTCAATCGACTCTCACCCTTCTGAAAATGCCTGAAACCACCGAAAAACCTGAGCTCTTGACAAAACACTATTTCTATAGGTCTGCAGAAGTTTAGCAAGAGGTATCGTTGCACTGTGCCGAAGTCTGAGGCAAAACTTGATAGCACATCGTTGTTCGAATTTGATGCCACTGATTTGTCGAACACAATAGAAAAAATCGGTACGGACAACCAAAATACTCGAGCGAGTTCAAACTTGTACTGAAGGCTGATCACATGCTCCCTCATCTCCCCTCCAAGCTCGGTGCCTCCAGTGTTGCCAGATCGACCGCTACGTTGTCAGTCACATCACTTTATTTACAGTCTTCGTATATGAATGCGTGAGAAGTACCAAGTTAATTTACTTGACGCCATTTTTTCAGTGAGTATGGCGGTAGGCGTGGTAGTTCTGGGAATCGGCGTAGTGGTAGTGATCAAATGCCGATCCATAGAAGGTCGAGTAAACAAAGAAGAAAATATCCAACCTATCCCGTTGCCCCGTCCACCTGATAGGCTGATGTCTTCATCCCCCACCCTGAAGACAGCCGAAGACAGCTTCACCCCTATTCCAGGGGTTCTACCCCAGTGCAAAGTGACGCCCCTAAATAGGGGCGAGCTTGATTCTCCATCACCGCATCCATGCTATCCGTATGGGGTAGATGATAACCCCGATGATTGGAGTAGTATCGACGCTTCTTCCGATCCACCATGCCCTACCAAGAATATTATGCTCCGTAGAAACCAGTACTGGGTCTAAGTATAGGTAGACCGAGAAGTGGCAACGTTGCAAGACGCGTTATTTTCGTATGGAAGTCAACAGACCAATTCAAAACGATTACATAATATCACAAGTATTATTTTTTTCTACAGACGTCAGAATTACTTTCACATGCTCCTTAAACATTTTTTTCTTGATTTTTGGAGCACAAATGGTAAATAATAAACATCCATACGAACATCATGCGATATTTAGTGGTGTCATTTCTTAGACTAAGACTTTTATATTTAAAAATAATGTTTATACATTGTCGCTGGGAATGTGGACATTTTTATTTAGGGCTAGTTTACAGGCTTTTCTAGAACCCGCCGAATGGTGTGACTCGTTTCAAAATGGATGTATAGGGTTCTTTATAAAACGCTCAATCGATTGTGTATGGAAAACTTTTTTGAAAACCTGTCAGCCTTCACAGTCTGCTTCACACATCTCTAATCTACCAAATATCTCAGCTCTAAGGCTACAGTTATTATTGATGCGAATTCTGAAGAAATTTTGTTCTGACTAACTCGTTCAAATAAACACACTAACAATGATCATCAGGTCAGAGTATGAACGGCGTCGTCAGAAGCATTTGAGCGTTCAGATTTGATTTTTCTCGTTCGACCTGCATCTTTTTGAATACTTACTTGATTTTTTCACCATGGACAATGATAAATTGATAACCATTGTGTTCCAGAACAGTTTACTATGAGATACGAGAGAAAAGCATTATCTCTAACAACCTTTCAGTGTTGTCACTACTACTAGAAACTAAAGGATTGCCATGCTCTTTTTTTCCACCATTTAACAGTAACTTCAGTAAAGGACTTTCAAGAAAATAAGATTCGCCAACTCCGTCCATATTTGCTGGGTGGCAGAAACATACTGACTGCCAAAATGTCGGTCAAGCTCACATGAGTGAAATTTTACTTTGGAATAATGTGCTACTCCTATTTTTAGGGCGATTAAATTATAAGAGTGTCGTCTATTGACACTTGATGGCAGCAGACTTATTTCTAACCACGTTTTATGCGACTATTATTTTTATTGTAAGAAACGATATATTTCAATTTTGAGCAGTTTTTGATAACCAACTAAGGTAAACAAACGCTGAATCATGAGAATGACGAGTGACAACACTTATTACCAAGGTTTTGAGCACGGGAAGAAAAGTGCACTTCTTACGTTCCGGAAGGATTACTTTGTTCTATTTTCGATCGCATGGAACAGGTACGTCAAACAACGCTAACATTTTTAAAGAGTAGTAAAAACTGCACTCCGCAATAATTTACGAACGCAGCCCAGTGTAACCGGCTTGTTCTGACGAAGATCTCGGGCGTACTCGTCTGGATTCCCGTTAATAGTAACCGTAGCCTTGATCTTAATGCGGTATACAATTTGCCTAGCTTCTGTGCCCATTCGGATAGGCGTTATAAGTATTATTCCTACGTCTACTAAATTCTGGGCAGGTGATCCGCTTTCTTGTTGGCTGGTACACCACTGTACCAGGGCACCGACGATAAGAACTAGACTACGAAGGACTATGTGGCACTCTTAGACCTGTACGAGACCTCATCTTGTCTTAGAACTTTTATGCAATTTTTTAAAAGTCCAATGGCAGTAGTTTTCCATAGACTTATCGCTTTAGCTCGACTAAAGACCTTTACATCTAAAGGAAATACAGATAGTGTAAGATAGTTAGATATCAGTTGACGTATCGTATTAGTACTTTGACTATATCTATATGCAAACTATTTGAAGATGTGTAATAAACGAAATAATTGTAATGTTCGTTGTTCAAACGTATATAGAATTGTTGGATAAAATAAAGCTCACACTCACACTTTAAAGTCCGTAGGACTAAAAAACGCAGAAACTGGGATATTTTCCAGCACAATCTATCAACTGGCTGAAGGTGTTGAGTATCAGCTAAGATTTTTAAACTCATAGCTCATAGTATCCTCTGTTCAAGAGAAACAATGAAGACAGGATAAAATATTTATAAAAGTATATCCTGTTTGCAAGTTTTTTATTCATTTTTTAAGAACTGTTCTGAACTTGGGTGTTTCTGTTTTTATACTATTATCTAAAAGCTTCATAGATACAATTCACAAAATATTATTGATTGCTAGAAGACACACTGGAAGATAAGTAGAGTGTGCTTTCTGCAGATCATAATTTCGCTTGCAATCAATCGATTTTTTTACAGATCTCATCTAATGCTTCGTTCTTCCAATAAAATCTTATTCATACATAATATATTGCATCAATCATGAAACAATTTCAGGCAATATTAAAATGGTATTTGAGAGATACGCTGACACTTTAAAACCCTGTTAGGTAATTTTTCAATCCCAAGATTCAGAGTCGCTATTGGTAAAATGTCTTACTCCCGAATTATTGGCCCTGGGAAGTAGAATCGTAGCCGTAATCTTTGGAACAATCAACAGAGTTTCGTGTTTTGGAAAAATATTTATAAGCCACTCGCGCAGGTAGATAAAAGTATGAAATATTTAATAATTATATTGTGGCAAGCATAATTGCTAAAATGCAAATTTCCAATGTTGCGTGCAAAAGCGGCATCTTCTATGTATTTTTGCCCAACTGAAATAATTGCGAGTCACACCAAATTGTTTAGCGCGTCTGGTGACACAAATCAAGAATTTAAAGTCGGCCAGGGATTCTAAAAGAAATATTTTGTATAGATTTTGCCGGACCTGCGAAACTATTCTGCTGATTACTAGAATTTTATCGCCTAGATAGTAGCCCGCTTTTTCATTGACGTTTGTTAACGATGGTTGGAGTAGTGTAAGATGCAGAGCTAGGTTGCTTTTTACAATTTTCGAACTAGACAAGATATATTCCGTATGAAGGGTAGAATCGACCTAGTTCGGGATCTTCTGTCAGAAGTGACATGTTTTGTATGCTTCTCAAGTGTAATTTTTATAACCTTAAGATATCTGTGCACGAAAAGATCCTGCCGATATCTTTGGAGTCGTTAAATTAGGTGTTTTTCCCAGCTGACAATAATTTTTCAATATTTATATCCCGAATTTTTCTTGGTCGTCAGTCTTTTTACACAAGAGCTTCACTTACCAGTCGCGTATGGAGTGATACCTCTTTTAAATGGTTACTTTATAAAGCGGCGCAACTGCTATGTTTGCAATGCACTGAATGTAATTGTAAAAATTTACTTTCTTTGCAAATACGGTAAAAACTGAGACCCGGTTTTTCAATCCCAGGTTCGCTATGATTTTACAGCAAACCATCAGTGAACTCTCATAACGCGTTCGTTAAAGTCAGATATGTCCTAAAACTCTAACCACAAAACCATCTCCGGGTTAACTAGAAAGTTGTAGTTAAATTGCAATGCCTAAACTTTTTTGCTTAACAGTAAGATGAGTTGTCGGGGATGACATTGTACACAAACGCACAGAACACTATAGTTTAGACATAGACGCAACATTTCCGGGTTAGTTAACCAGTACCTGAAAAACGAATTTACAGAAAGCTTAGAGTTACCAAACTTGGAAGTTAGTAGTAGTAGTCGTGGGGAGGCGAAGCCCGGCAACTAGGCCACGTTTGACCTTTTTGACCCCGTAGTAACTAGGATGTTAACCAGCGATTGAAAAACCGCGCCTTAGATTTACCGAAAAGGCAGTATTACATAACAGAAATGACTTTTGACTTTGTATGACTCCCATATGCTAATACTGGTAACATATATACTTAGATGTACTAGTTTTCGATTGCTCTTGGTGTAACTTTGGATGTTGTAAGTATGACCAAAAAAATTTGGCTGTTTAAATCCCATAGATATATTTTATTTAGAAAATTTTCCGGAACAAATGTACCTATGTATGTGTGTGACCATCATATATTCTTTATTTTTACTCCTTATAGATAATTTTTTATACCAATAAGTTCATTATTTATAAAGGTCAAAATTACATTACTTGTTACTACCGCGATTTAGAATTTAGCGACTCAGCATATCTAATTCTTGAGAGTAGGAAATGTACGTTATCTCATTGAAAAATATTCTATGCCAAACAGTATAAAAACTATAGAACAATACTGGCTAAAAATCAAATTTCTTAGCGATTTTATTCACAAGTGTGGCTAGTCCTGTAGTTAGTTATTCTTGTTCTGATAAGACAACTGAGATTGATCAAAAAACCGTTACATAAACATGACTTAGACAAAATATGCTCAACTTTAACATCTCAATATATTTACTTAAAGTATGGGTACCCCTAAGGGGGCCATGACCCCTCCCCAAAAAATATGATTATACAGGATTTGCCCACCCTGGAGAGAAAATTTGCTACCCCCCCACTCTCTTCAAAAGTTTTAGGGATAGGTACTCTCACAAAAAGTTGTCTTTAGGGGATTAGTGCCCCTCTCCCGTATACGTTTGTTTGAAAATACTTTTAGCAGAAAGGTTTACCTGCGTGAACTTTGAACCATCTGATATAAATATGGAAAAAAATGTTGAGCTTGGCAAAATTATGCAATCAAAGTTGTATCAAATTATTCTGTTAGTTAATTTTTCCTAGGTGCCTCTGTTAAATACTCTTAGTTGCATATCACTATGGTCAAAAATTAAAAGTTCGTCTTTTAGCAGTATTATAAAATAAATTTGTATACACTTCTTTCTATATCTATATTGCTCAATTTGTACCAGTAAATGCAACGAAATAATAAAAGGTGCCTAGCCGTTAATCTGGGAAAACAGACGAATCAGTCAAGTAGTGTAATTTTGCTCCAGTGTTGATTTTTGATATTATATCCTACATAGGAGAATTAATATGGTGTTATATGTTTGTTTTGAAAATAAAATCTTTCAAAGATATCGCTTAGTTTCATTCAGTCCCCGATTATCCGATAAAACGATGAACAAACCTTAAAAATGTACCAATAACATAGACTGTTTTCTTCCAGCGAATTTCAAGCTGCTGCTGCCCTATAGAATTTTTTTTAATTTGCGTATGTGTTTATTATGTGTTTATTATAAAAAAAAGTCTCCAATAGCAGTAATGAATATAATTAATAATTGCCTTTTACCCACCTAAGGCGTATACTTTCATTAGAAACACAGTTAATAAATCTTTACCTGATTTAAGTACAATCAGTAAGTGGTATAAATTAGTTAATGGTTCTCCTGGGTTCACACAGGAAGCTTTGGAAACTCTAAAAATTCTAAAGCGACAAGCAGATGCAAAGGGTTCACATGTTCTGTGCAATTTGGTTTTAGATGAAATGTCAATTAGACAACAAATTGAGTGGACAGGAACCAAATTCACTGGGTATGTTGATATTGGGGCAAATATTGATTCAGATATGCTACCTGAAGCAAAGGATGTACTTGTATTTATGGTTGGTATGTCTTAATGGATCCTGGAAAATTCCTGTTGTCTACTTTTTTTTGGCTGGATTAGCTGCTGCGGAAAAGGCAGAGTTACTAAAACATTGACCTTTTTATACGAGTCAGCTTAAACATTTTGATATTTTGTTAGGTTCATTTTTTGTTGACACATTTCCTATTAAGAATGTCAAGAAAATTTTATTTTGCATTCATTGATCTCCATATAAAATATTTTGTAAACCATCAAATAAACATTTTTTTAAGTCGGTATTTACTGTGTTTTATTTCTTAAATATTGGGGTCTTGTACCTACCACATAAGGCACACATTTTGCTATTTTTGTTTACAATCATAAAATGAAAGCACAATGTGTAAACACATTTCATGTTTTGCATTCATGGCCGATGATTAGATGTATGAAGAGCGGGGGGAGGGAAGGGGGGTTGCATGCTTTTCGTTGGAGACACTACGACCGAAAAGAGGGATTTTTGTGTCGCCAGGTTTTTGTCAGGAACAGTAGAACAGAGTCCGAAAGTGGGACCTATGGTCACCTTAATAATAATATACCTACAAGAAAGACGTTATTTGCACCTCCAATATACTGAGAAATTTATTGGCTTTTATAGCCCTTCATGGCCTACATTGTGATACGCCTATGGTGGGAATTCCGTAGTTGACCTTGAGCCTTGTGCTGTTCCAAGCCTGGAGCCAATTTGATAAAATTACGAATGAAAGTTGGTATTTCCCGCCACTGAGGTTCGCGAACATAACAAACGGCGGACTTATGAATGACTTGCAGGGTCTATATGGGTAAGACGTCAATGCAAAGCAAAAATTACATTAATTTCTCAACGTCGCTTCCTTCAAGGTGATCGATAATGTAGGTCACTGAGCTTTCTAGCTACCTAGCAGGTGGTGCTACCTATTGAAAAATTGTTGTAATACTACGCCCCTTACGTGTGAAAGCTATGAGCTGTCATTTGCCAGCTAATGTTTTGTCATTTGTTTGTGTATGGTAACGATATATTTGACACATATTTCCCGTTTTCCTGGAAAGTTTGAATGCCGCACCTTTTTGTTTGTAACGTAACATTATCTAGTTTTAGGTAAAAACATGTAGTGCTTTGAAATCAACCTAAGGAAGAAATACGTTATATTTAGAAAATAGGTTTGAGGGGTAGCTTAATCAAAGGTGGTTTAAACTTGATCAGAAACGATGGCTGCAAACGATAGGGTTTCTCTAAATGATGCTCTATCCAATGTTGAGGTACTAGATGAGCTTCCTCTACCAGATGAACAACCCTGCATTGAAGCACAACCCTGCTCAGTGGTATATCAAGCCAATTTTGATACAAATTTTGAGGATCGAAATGGGTTCGTTACTGGTATTGCAAAATATATTGAGGAAGCTACAGTACATGCCAGTTTGGTAAATAATTTTCCTGACGCTTTTAGCTCTTTATCTGATTAACTGTTCACTATTAGTTAGATTACTTTTCAAAGTAGATGTGGTACTCAAATATGCTGAGAGCTAATAACACTTTCTTTGCAAAAAATTATATATAGATTTTGGAACATACACCAATTAGATTCAATATTTTAATTGTAAATCAATAGATCAAAATAATAACTGATGTTTTACCAAAAACATGATGAGGACAGCATACACTCCAAATGAAAAATATGCATCTTGTTTATTTCGCAAATATTTTTATATTTTGTCAGGCCTTTGCCTAATAAAATATTTATTTGTATGTGTGATCATTTTCAGAATGAGCTTTTAGATGAAGGTCAAGAACATGCAGTAATGTTGTATACTTGGAGATGTTGCTCTAGGGCTATACCTCAACCAAAGTCAAATGAGCAGCCAAATAGAGTAGAAATTTATGAGAAGACTGTAGAAGTGCTAGCACCTGAAGTTAACAAGCTACTGAATTTTATGTATTTTCAGGTTAGATTGATTAACTTTACCTCACCAAGATTTCTCTCTTTGAGCTTGAATTTCATATAATCTTGATTGTCAAGGTTAAATACAAAATTGTGAGATAGCTAGAGCTGCTTTCCAATGTCTCATTTGGGTTACTCAGAGCAACTTTGTAGTTCTCAGCACCTGCTAATACTACTCCACTCTAGAGTCATATTTATGCAGTATTGAAATCCTTCGCCCCTCACACTAGCTTTTTATTCATGTTATGTGAGTAGTTTGGTAGCCTCACCCTGTGAGAGTATACAGTTCTCACTGCAAAAGCTGTAGAAAGCGGCCCTAGTTTTCTGGCTTTATCATAGAGACTATGAAACTTTCTTTACAAGCAATAGCTTTGAAGAAGTCGTATCCATACCCAAACTTTTGTAAATGTATATATCACAATTTGTTTTCTAGAGAAAGGCCATTGAGAGATTTTCTCAGGAAGTAAAGAGGTTGTGTCATACTGAAAAAAGAAAAGACTTTGTTTCAGAGGCATACCTTCTAACATTAGGAAAGTTTATCAACATGTTTGCAGTTTTGGATGAATTGAAAAACATGAAATCCAGTGTGAAAAATGACTACTCAACTTACAGGAGGTAAGTAAAATAAGGGATAAGAGCAAACATCTATTCTCATAATTTGATTCTTATTTTAGAGCTGCTCAGTTTCTGAAAGTTATGTCTGACTCACAAACACTTCAGGAATCACAAAATCTGTCTATGTTCCTTGCTACTCAAAACAAGATAAGAGATACAGTAAAAGAAAATTTAGAAAAGATCACCGGTTATGAGGAATTACTGGCAGATGTAGTAAATATTTGTGTCCATATGTTTGAAACTAAAATGTACTTGACTCCTAGTGAGAAACATATGCTGGTTAAAGTGATGGGTTTTGGACTTTTTCTTATGGACAGTGAACTGTGCAATATCAACAAATTGGATACAAAGAAAAAACTAAAGTTAGATAAAGTGGACAGAATATTTAAGGTAGGTATGTCAGTTATACAGGGTGACTTCGAAGTTGAGTCATTTATTTTAACAGTGAGTAGATCTGATCAAAAGAAATGTTTTTTTCCTTTAACATTTTTGTGGTAAAATTAAAGTAACAAAGTTATAGCCCTTTAGAAGTTTGAGTACCGCCCTGTCTCAATAATAATATTATGTGCTCGTGTTTGGCAACAACGGATATAATCCGCGTTATCGGTTCATCGCATCGGAAACAAAAAAGCGAAAGAATTTGAAACGTTTATCACGATGTTTTCAGTCGGTTACGCGTGAGTGAATAGTGGTGTTTGTTCCGTGGCTCAAACGAAATAAAAATGGCACATGTTTACGAAAATGCTGAACTTGTGGACATGATTCTTATTGAGTCTTTACAAAATGCTGCCGCGGCATCACGGATTTGTGCGAATCGGTTTCCCAATCGAGTGCAACCAAGATTTTTGCATGGTCGTGTTTCAGCTCCAAAAAAATACTAATGATATGATTTGCCTTTATGCTGTGGTAAGCCTGAAACATGTTTATAATGGTGCATATTCAGCAAATAAATATCAAGATCTAAAACCTTTTATATAAAATTATGGTGATGTACATCCTTAGTGGGGATGCATATTCACCAGAATTTGAAATAAGAGGTTTCTTGTTTGCTATATAATCGATAAATACCCAATTGCTTTTCAGGCATATTCTGGCTATGTGGGGAGACCCCAAGTTCATAGAGGCCCCCTGATTATACTGGACAACAAATTTTAGTTTTTTAATTGTATCTTGTGGGAAAAGTGCACTTCTTTGTTAATTTTGGGGCGCTGAATCCAAAAATGACAATGAAATAAAAAACTTAGTTGCGGTTTAGAAAAAAAACTTTTTATTTTTAAGGATATATTAAAAAAAGTAACAAGATTCATATACTTATAAGAATCACTATATGCGCTGTCTTTTTGCTGTACGTTTATAGATCGTTTCTGGAGCATCTCTACCAAAAGTCCAACAGTAGTCTGCAAGCATGGAAGGATTCCACTTTCCCTGGTACCTTTTTTCCATTGTTGAAATATCCTGATGAAAACGTTCGCCGTGCTCATCACTTACGGCTCCGCAATTGTCAGGAAAAAAGTCCAGGTGTGGGTGTAGGAAATGTATCTTAAGAGACATATTACAGCCCCTCTTTTGATACGATGACAGCATATTTTTGACAAGGGTTTTATAGTTGTCAGCTTTTCTCTTTCCCAAGAAATTAGTGACCACCAGACGGAAATCATTCCAAGCAGTTTTTCGAATATTTCGAATCTGTGGCCCAACAAAAATACCTTCTTTAACCTTTGCCTCACTTAGTCTTGGAAATTTCTGACGCAGGTATTGAAAAGCTGACCCATCTCTATCTAATGCCTTGACAAAGTTTTTCATTAGGCCCAACTTGATATGCAGTGGTAGCAATAAATTTTTTTTCGAATCTACTAATGGCATAGTATGCTGTACATTTTTTAGACCTGGCTCTAGGAATTGACGAACAGGCCAGTTTTGTCTGGTGTAATGAAGTGCCTTTGCCCGACTGTCCCATTCTCACAAAAAACAGCAAAACTTTGTGTAGCCTAGCAGCAGCCCAAGTAAAAGTGCAACAACTTTCAAATCGCCACAAATATGCCATTGGTGCTCATCGTATTTTATGCATGTCAATAGGTACCCTACAGGAAGAGATGGTAAAATATTTCCAATATGCAATAACACTGCCTTTAAACTCAATGTTGAACTGTCTATAAACAATCTCCATTCTTCTGGGTTATAGTTTATATTTAAAGCCGCCAATAAGCCGTTAATGTTACTGCAGAAAACCAAGTTATTCTCCATATTGAAAAATGGTTCTAAGTCTTTGTGGCGTTTACGAAAAACACATACCGAAACATCGTCTTCTAACAAGTTCCACTGCTGCAGTCTTGATCCAAGTAACTCTGCCTTACATTTTGGAAGTTCTAAATCTCTTACAAGATCATTTAATTCTGACTGTTTTATTTTGTGCGGTTGGTGGCATGACGTGCTCGGTATAAAATCAGGATCTCTTGACGTTGATGGCATATCTTCTTCCTGACGAATCACTCGATCGCCATGATCTGATTCGTTTTCTGATTCGCAAGTGTAGGATTCTGGGGGTTTTGGAATAGGATTTTCGTCACTGTGAGGCATAGGTCTCATCGCAGATGGTATGTTTGGGTAGTTAATAACCGATTTTTTTTTCTTGGACATACCTGTGGCTTGTCCAACACAAGGTACCATGCAAAAGTAACAATCATTAATATGATTTCTAGGCTCTCTCCAAACAATTGGAACAGCAAAGCGCATAGACCGTTTTTTGCCATTTAACCAGCTCCTCAGACTTGAAGCACATGTATTACAGCAGATGTGGGGTGCCCACTGTTTGTCTTGATCACCTAGTTTACAACCGAAATAAAGCTGATATGCCTTTGTTATTAGTGGAGTGATAGACCGTCTCTGAGACGCAAAAGTCACATCACCACACACGTAACAAAACTGATCTGGATTGTTTACACACTTTCGAGACATCTTGCATGAACGCTGTCAGCCAACTGAGGAAAAAGTGGCTAATATAAAACAATATAGTGTACACGTATGTATAACGTAACACAATCATGCCGATTACATCATCTTTCCTTGCCGAATATAAAAATGTAGCACGTGCATTCTTGTGAATTACAGTAAGTATATTAACACTGTCACAGCAGGAACACATATAATTATCTCTAAAACTTGAACTAATATTGAAAAAATAAGTTTCATTCCGGTTTTAGCACATTAAAAATAGTAATAATTTGTTGATTCTATTTAGGATATTTTTTGGCTGTTGATGAGTGTTATGTTACGGTCATATCCGAATTCAGCTCACCAAATCGCGCCTTGGTTTTCTAAGTATCAAAATAAGACAGCACAAAGCGTCATCAATTACCAGAATTGACCACTGCAGGAGTGTATAGCAACTATTGGTTGGACCTGTAAAGATCTCGCTTAGCATTTGATAAACCAATCACCATTATGACCACTAGAGACTCACGATTCTGGCGATATATTAAATGCGGTCTACTCTCTATTAAACAACTAAACATGCTGCTTTCGCCTCTCCGGCAACAGACAGTCAATTATGGACAGCTGTTTCATGTGTAGATCTCACCTTGCATAAAGGATAGTTTGCTGTGGTTTAGTGTGTTACCCCAGATACCTAGACCATGCTGATGAGTTTCCAAAAAACACGAAACAGTCGTCCACAGCAGCATGTTTCATTTGCATGTACCAAAGGGTAGCAGGAATTTTGCCTTGCAAAGTTTCATATTTTGAAGGCTCGGCTGTTTCATTTGAGTCTTTTTTCAGAACTTGGAAGTTGTCCCATTGTTTGGAGACATGCAGATAGCTCCATTCAACTATATAAAGCGTAGCAAGCATTTTGATGCTAGCAAATGGCCTCTGTCAAGTAGTACAACTCCCTCACCACAAGCAGATTTAATGGTTCATCTACCTCAAATCCGAGAAGATCACGTAAAATACATTAGCGAACTGTCACGATATAGCAATGAAGTCACAACAACATATAAAGAATGCGGAAGTGACGCTGAAAACAAGGAAACGGCTGAGTTGGCGCTCAGAGGCCTACAATTACTTTCTGAGTGGACCAGTGTTGTTACAGAACTGTATTCTTGGAAGCTGTTACATCCAACAGATCACCATCAGAACAAAGAATGTCCTAAAGAAGCTGAAGAGTATGAAAGAGTAAGATATATTTTATTAGCACTATGTATTTGCCCGCAGGGTGTCCCAACCATGCGAGGACGGAGTATTGTTCCTATACAAAAATGTTTTAAATGAAACTATAGGTTAGTATACATGATATCTGGGGGCACATTAATATTATTATTATATTAATTCTTTTTTTAAATGGAAGTCACCATATGCAGGGTGATTCACAAGTCGTGACCCAAGATGAAACATCATACATAGGACCGCATTTTAAGGGGGGGGGGGTCTTCTATGTAAGATTTTTTCCTCGAAGGCTTCATTAAGAAGATACAGGGTGTTGAAGTTTAAAAATAAAAAATAATTTTTTTAATATCTTCAAAACCATCAACTGGAATGAACTAAAATTTGGTATGTGGATTCACCTAAGTATTGTCCACATTCAAAAGTCTTCACTTAAAATTAACGTGCACCAGTGTCGGAGATACAGGGGTATAAAGCCTTTGAGGAAAAAATGTTACATAGAAGACCCCCCTTAAAATGCGGTTCTGCGTGTGATGTTTCATTTTTGGTCACGACTGTTGAATCACCCTGTATAATTGTGACTATATAATAACCCACAAATATTTTCGTTTGAAAAGTTTCCGTTTCGGTTCAATAGTCTATTCTCGCACTTTTGGGACTCTCTGCTTTGAAGATTCCTCCAGACATTACATAGTCAATTGTGCGATTTTAGGCTACAAGGTATAACTATAGTGAAGAAGAGAAATTTGCTTTGATAGAAGTGATAGCTATGATAAAAGGACTTCAAGTTCTAATGGCTAGAATGGAAACGGTTTTTACTGATGCAATTCGCAGGAATATATATGCAGAATTACAAGATTTTGTACAAATATCATTGAGAGAACCCCTCAGAAAAGCAATAAAGAATAAGAAGGATCTGATCAGGAGGTAATTTTGAGGTTATACTGTATTCCAAATCCGAAATAACTGAGATCTCATTGTTTACAGTATAATAATGTCAGTAAGAGAGACTTGTGCAGATTGGCCGAGACAATTTGATCCTGTCCAAGATCCTGTTTTGAAAGGCAAAAAGGATCCTGATACTGGGTTCAATATAAAAGTACCTAGACGAAATGTGGGTCCATCTTCAACACAATTGTACATGGTTCGCACCATGTTGGAATCATTGATAGCTGATAAATCTGGTGGTAAACGAACATTGCGAAAAGACATTGATGGACAGTACTTGATGCAAATTGATCAATTCCACAAAACATCTTTTTATTGGAATTATCTACTCAGCTTTAGTGGTGAGTATTTTTTGGATTCTGTCGAGGCTTGTGAATATAACATGTCTTCTTTTTAGAATATCTACAAAAATGTTGTGATTTATCTCAACTGTGGTACAGAGAGTTTTACTTGGAAATGACTATGGGCAGAAGAATTAATGTAAGGTACTGTTATTCATTTCCGAGCATTTTCCTAATTTAACACTATTTCCAGAAATGTACTGTTAGGCATCACCATAATGAGGAGTGCAATGATTTGATCACTATGGAAAAGAGGATACAATTCCCAATCGACATGTCAATGCCATGGATTTTGACAGATCACATTCTAAAAACGAAAGAACCATCAATGATGGAGTAAGCATTCTCTATTTTATATTGTACAGGGTGTCAGGTTGAGACTTTCCTTTTCAGAGTGAACAGGTCAGGCAATAATAAGCAAATTTTCTGAAACTGTAATATAACCGAGATATCCAGTTCCGAAAAACTCTATCTAAATGGGCTAGTCCTACCCTGCCTCCCTCCCCTCCTCTTTCTCCGAGAAAACGTTTTGTGGTACTGAGTCAGTATTCAAATCCGGCGGCGCGCGGTGTGTAGTGTAACCTACTTTATAAACAAGTGCCATTTGAAAAACCGAAATTGACACATTCCTAGCACAATAACGTAGTTGTGGATTTGATATTGGCTTTCTGTGAGCGTCTTCAAGATCTCATTGATGCTCCGCGAGTGTATTTAGAACGTCGTCCGCGATGTTTCCGTCAGAGCTGCGTAGGTGTATTTATGTCATGCAAATTCCGTCTGGGTGGACACAGTAGAAGATCTAGGTAGCCCCAAATGTAGCAAATTTAGGAAGAAGTGATAGGGCAGAAATTCTTTACCGAAAAAATAGTAGGTATTTTTCTTTAATTACTTTTTTATGTTTTCGGTGCTATTTTACCTCAATCAGCTGTGATACGTGGGACGCAGTTATTTCTAAGAAGGAAAGTCCCAACGTTCAGGTTTTATTGTTTCTCTGAAACATTTTTTTTTTCAGGTATGTTTTGTATCCGTTGGACTTGTACAACGACAGTGCGCTATACGCCTTGACAATATTTCGAAAACAGTTTTTATACGACGAAGTTGAGGCCGAAGTAAATTTGTGTTTTGACCAATTCGTCTATAAACTGAGTGAACAAATCTTCGCGTATTATAAGCAACTGGCAGCAAGTATCTTCTTAGACAAAAGATTTCGCGTAGAATGTGCCGCCATCGGAGCATATTTGCTGCCTTATCCACGGGCAAATCGGTACGAAACTCTCCTCAAACAGAGACATGTGCAATTACTCGGAAGATCAATTGATCTGAATAAGTTGATCACTCAGAGAATTAATACGGATATGCAGAAATCTTTGGACTTTGCCATCAGCAAATTTGAAGCTGGCGACATCACTGGGGTTATTGAACTTGACGGACTTCTACAGGTATAAACTTGTTTAATTTTTATATTTTCTAGCGCCGTTCAGTGGCGCTCCCAGGATTTCAGTCTGGGAGGGGTAAAATGGAACATAACAAAATTGGAAAGGAACCAATCGATGGTATTCTGTTTCCTTTTACTCATCCTGACAACAGCAGCCGTCAAGCAGCACTAAAAGTTACACAAATATTGTCAAATAAACGCATTCACGTATCTCTATCAAAGAACCTTTTCTGTTTGGAAAACAAGATTTCTTAAGTTCACGCAATTTTCAAAAACTAAATATATAATTTTTTGCCATCTCGGTCGAACAAAATGCACTGAAGTGCTTATATACAGGAACTTCCGAGACAAAATAGAAATAGATGATAATGATATCTGGAGTAAGGACCAAACACTTGGTAATTGAAATTATATTAAATTTACATTTTTCCGTCTGTCATTTTTTTAGACACGATTCTTTTATAGCATAAACAATTAAAAACAAACAAAAATTAATTTTCTGGCTTATGCGTGGAAAATAAAAAATCAATAGAACATAGAAAATCGCGTTAATACCAACCAGATCAACAAAACTCCGCTTGTTCACTTCTGAGCCAAATATTGTTGCGGACTCTGGACTGGTACAGAATTTAGACACTATACTCTAGGCGCTGAAGAAAGAAACTAAACCCAAACAAATACACGCATATTGCTCGTGAGTGAGTGTTTAGGCGCAGGAGACATTACAGGACCGCATCAAGATATTATGGGTAGTCATCAAAAATTTCATACAAGATAATTATTATCTTTTACAGTAAATTTCAGTTAGAGATTCACAAATGAGTTAACTACACTTTTTAGTTATTAGTAAGTAAGCTGCGCGCACTCGTTCAGAAGAGGAAGTTGAATCTTCTGAATCGTTTAAATGAATTATTAGAGGTTCAATTTGGGTATCGATGACATTGTCCAAATCCCACATTTTGACCTCAACCTTCTCCCAAACGTGGCGGATACAGTTTTTCCATTCCTCTGCCGTAACTCTATTGACTGCGATGTGAAAGAGATTTTTAACATCAGAAAATTTATAAGTATTATTATTCGACGCCACGTATTGCTTTATGTTGGCCCAAATCAGCTCAATAGGGTTCAGCTCACAATGGTAGGGTGGCAGTCTCAAGACAGTTTTATTTTGTTTTTTGGCCATTTCGTCGATCATTTTAAAATCGTATTTGTATTTATGTCTATTGACTATACTTATCAATTCACCCTTGACCATTGTTTCATCAAAATCGATCTGTTTTGAGGCCAGCCATTGTTGTATGTTTGCTTTTTTAGTTGCCATTGTGGGTATTTTTTCTATTTTTCTAGAATGGTACGGGGCATTATCCAGTACAATAACAGCGTTATTCTCCAGCTTTAGTAACATTTTGGAGAACCAATTTTCAAAGGAATTGCCGTCCATCTTCTCATGATAGTCCCCTGTCTTTTTTGATTCAAATGCCCACAGTGCTTCGGGAACAAAGCCGTCTTCACTACCTACGTGACAAATGATCAGCCGTTTGCCTTTTCCTGGAAATAAATTATTCCTTACACTATGGATTGATTAAATTTGAAGGAATGAGGCAATTGAGTTCATTTAGCTGAATTTAAGAGTCACGGAATGCTGATCAAAAACTGAAAAACGTAGAAAATTGAAGTTTGCAACTTCTCAAAACCCATTCAAAGCAAATTGACTGCACCCAAAAATGATAATAAATTTAAAAATAACGCTTAAAAGAGGGTCGAAGTTTTTTTCCTAATGACTACACTGCGAATGCACCATTTTTGGAGAATATCACACATTATCTGCTATCACAGCATATTATTTGCCCGAATTTATCAAAATTAAATTGCCGGATAGATGAAGGAGCTTACCTGCAGGATTTTTCAATCCAGCCGAAAGACCGTCTAAAAAAGCCTGCCTTGATGATGTTACTGATTTGTCGACCCAAACTTTCGCTTGAGTATGTCCAGCATTCACCCACGTTTCGTCCAAATAGTAAATTTTTCTTTTTTCATCGCGAAACTTCCGAATCTTCCTGAAGTATTCCCTTCTCCACACAGCAATTTCTTCTTTCTCTATTAACATACTGTTTCTTCCCCGTTTCAAGAATCGAAAATTAAGTTCCTTCAAAAGTTTTCGGAATGTGGTTCTTTTAAGTGATGGAAGATCCTCATCAGCATTAACTAATCTTAATATCTTATCTACTGTAGGTATCTCATTTCGGAAGAAAAAATTATGCACTTTCCTCCTGATGGCAGTTCTGTCAAAGTCATCTACTCCGTCCGTTATCCTTTTTCTTGCAGGATACGGTTTTGGCTCAGAAAGTGAGTGAGTGCTCCTATATTCCTTAATGATCCTATAAACACTGGACCGACATACTCCAGAAATATGTGCTACCTTACATATAACTTCGTCCACGACCAAATCGGGTTTTTCTTGAATTTGGTTTTTGTATATATTTAATATTATTTGTTTTTTATTTGCACTTAAATGTAGCTTCTTAGCCCTTTTTTTGGGTGGGGTTGCGCTGATGTCAACCACTTCGTCGGCTGTATCTGTGTCAGACATCGTATCTTAGGCAATATATAAACAAAACGTTCCACTCGCGAAAAACGAGTATACGCTACTGAATGCGTAATGCGTATGCAATGCAATCCTGTGCGTGAATTAACTGTTAGATGCCTGTCGTGTCACCTACAATCACGTTTACAAGTCCAAACCTGTGCAGATTCGTAGAGCGCCGACGACTGCTAGTGACCTTGAATTTGTCTGTAGATCGATGTTACTCCAGTCAATTTAGGTTCAAAGTGGATGTTTTCTAAACCAATTTGTTGTTCCTACATCAAAAATATATCGATGATGTTTTGTACTGGGAGCTCATGAAAGATCAAGGTAACTTATTTTAACAGTCATCCTTTTTCTAGTCTCAAGATGACACGAAAAAGGGTCTGTGGATTCACTAGAAATACACTGCCGAGGATGTTTAGACCTAAAGTGACTGGAGTATATCCGTGGATGCTTTCGAGGGATCTGTTCACGTGCTGATCACTGTTTACGTTTAATGTCTTTCTTCAGCGCCCAGAGTTTAGACTAGACCATAAAAGACTAGACTATACCTGTTCCAACAGGAAGAAGCGCACACCGTTGCGCACTGAGCGAGTTGGCAGTGTTGCCGCTATACTTTGTTGAAGTTACAGATTTTCTTATAAGACGTTTACTTTATACCACCTTTTCAAAGACTGCTCGAGTCGTCTGGGGGGAGGGTAATTACCCCTTTTACATCCCCCCCCCCGTGGGAGCGCCAGTGGCGGCGTTAATCTAAAGGTAAGATTTCTGTGCTACGACTGAGGCGACTACTGTCACGCGGAATTCAACTGAGCGGCTAGGATCACACGCCGGGGGTCGCGCGATTACAGTTGTCTCACTCGTAGCATAGGAATCACACCTTAGGGGTTTTCTAAATGATTGTAGGTGAACCGCTTATGCCACAAATTGTTAAGTAGATGGTTAGCCTTAGACGACTTCGACTCAATGTTCAGAGAGGCAAACCATAACGTTTTAGCTCCATATGGAAGGATAACATTGCACGTATTTTGGGAGTTGAACTACGACTTTTTGCCAAACTATGTATACAACGCAGCTACAAATAGATTCACGAAGTATAGAGGTATCGCATTCAGCGCCCCTGTAACTAGAGATAGGCCTCCTCAGATGTCACATTGTTATCTTTGGGGTACCAAGCAACTAAATTTAGCGTACACTACACAATATGGACAATACTCAGGTAAAAATTATATTGAGTCAGTCTACTTGACTACGTTTTTATACATTTTTTTTTTTTTAGGTTTTGTGGGCCCACAGCATTTCCACACAATGTGTAAGTTGCTGGGGTATCAGGGGATAGCAGTTGTAATGGAGGAGCTTCTAAAAATTGTGAAAAGCTTGATACAGGGCAGTCTGTTGCAATTTACTAAAACGCTGATGGAGGCGATGCCAAAAATTTGTAAATTGCCTAGATACGATTACGGATCGCCTGGTGTTTTAGGATATTATCATGCACAGTTGAATGATATTGTACAATATCCTGATGCCAGAACAGAGCTCTTCCATAATTTTAGAGAATTTGGTAACATCATTTTGTTTTGCCTACTTATGGAACAGGCTCTATCCCAAGAAGAAGTATGCGATCTTCTACAGGCCGCACCATTCCAAAATATTCTTCCAAGACCGTATTGCAAAGGTAAACAAGATATTAATTTCTCAAGTCATCACCTTATCAAAACTGTCCCAGGAATATTTATCTTTTTCAAACAACTCTAATACCCTAATTACAATTATATGTTGGCGGCAATCCATGTGTGCAAGCTGCAGAAATGCTTAGTATTGATATAAATTAAAAGAATACCATTGTTTACGTTCTAATCAAAATTAGTTCAGCTGTTCTTTTTGGACTCTGAAGTAAGTAAGATATTCACTGATTTTACCCCTATTGAGTGGGGCCGTGGCAATTGCTTGTTCCGGATGTTGTATCCAATATACAACTTCTTCCCGTTGTCTAGGTCTATTTATTTTTATTAACACGCAAAAAGAAGGTGGTAGACAAGGATCAGTCGACCGAGGCGGTACCACCAGCTAGCTTTTCTCAGGGTTATGTCCGCATGTGTCCACACCTAAGCTATGCAGTCGGTTATCTTCCAACCAAAGAAATTGAATGAATGGATGAAAACAAGACCGATGCAGCAGGTCGTGCAGTTGAAGCGTTAGCTCTTACCAATGGCTGACCCAGCTGGTGATGAGCCCTACTTTTTTCCCTCGCGTCTCGTCACATATCAGTAGCCTGGTGGATCTCTTTCTGACGCATCCTATCCCTTACAGTCTGTCGAACTTTGTACGTCCCGAGGGTGTCGATATTGTGGAACAATCTACAAGAGGAAGATTTTCCCAGTTTTACTAGTCTTAGGCAGTACAAAAATCGGATTACCATAATTTCTTTGGGATCATAGCAGCCGCGGTGTCCCGGCATTTAGGCTTATGCCTAATTATAAATTGACAACCTCATCTCTGTTCCACTCCACTAACAAAACGAAGTTTATGTTTTCTTATGAGAGATCTTATAGTTTATAACACCAAAGAAAAAATTATCTGAAGAATAGTTTTTGTTTGCATATTACATCCTTTCCTATCAAAAATAAAAACAGAACGCTAAAGTGGTACGTACTCCTGAAATGTATGCCCTGTGCCCGCGTGGCCTCCATGACGATGCAGCATTTCACTGCTCACACAACGCCAACGATTGCAAGTTATTTCGAATTATGAGCACGTTATACTATACATCGGACTTTTATCATCCAATTATCTCGTTGTTACCGGAATAAGAAGTTCCTTAATGATGGAAAGTCTTTGTCTGATACTAAAGGCGTAACATTTACAACCTTCTGGCCCCCTACAACCCCCAATCTCCAATTTTCAAGCCCTACAATTTTTTTTTCGAAAATCTGAAACGTCAAAAAATGTTTGAGCGATTTTATTTTTTTCGATTCCTACTCTTGCGCCACTGAACCGATTTTAAAAAACTACAAATCTTTTTCGCCCTTGGCATAGTAATAACCCTGTGTGAAAATTTCATCAAAATCCGAACAAAAAATATATCTCATTTTCGAAATGTTTCGCGATTACAATACTTCCTCGCCCAGTGGCGTAGGAACTAAAAATAAACTGGTATTTCATCCAACCACATAATATTATATTCACATTCTCTTTTTCTGATATTTATATTTGCAAAGATATTTGCATGAATTTCGCGAATACGAATATCAAGAAGCATGCGAATATTCGCGAATCCGAATACGAGTATTCGTTACATCAGTACTCTATGATATGTGAATTTTTGGAATGACACCATATTTTTGATTTCAGAGGGCGAAAAATTGGAGGCAAAGCAAAAAAGACTTGAGGCCAAATACGCAGCGCTTCAAATCGTTCCAAATATCGAGAAGTTAGGGACAGCAAAACAGGCGATGATATCCAGGGAAGGAGACCTGTTAACAAGGGAAAGATTATGTTGTGGTTTATCAATATTCGAAGTGGTATTGAATCGGCTGAGAAGTTTCCTGGATGATCCTGTATGGGTTGGGCCACCTCCCACTAATGGTGTTATCAATGTCGATGAATGCACCGAGTTCCATCGACTTTGGTCGGCCTTACAATTTGTTTATTGCATTCCTGTTAGTGAAAATGAATATACTGTTGAGTAAGTATGAGTTTCGTTATTACGGCCCGGTTTTTAATCAGTGATTAACTTTCAACTTAGCCAACTGTAACTGGTAAGTTAACTATTAGATAACCGTTAATTCTCCTTCTCAAGTTCTAGTTAACTAACCCGTAACTGTTTATCTGACAACGCTGCTTTTTACTATCGTGTACTGTGTGTTTTGTGACACTCGATGTTTTTGTCTCATGTTGTTCACATCAACTCATGTCACTGTCAAGGAAAAAGGTTCAACATTGAAAAACGCGTTCCGAGATTTAACTTCTGGTTAGCAGTTTGTTATCCTGAATAAACTGTGTGCTCAGTTGGTAGCTATGAGTCCCCCTCAGGGTGAGGTTCTTTGTACTTGGACTTTGGACGCAATGGTTATTTGGACGCCACCTAGTTTCCAAAAACTAGGAACTGAAATAACAACAAGTATCACTGTTGGGATTCTGGCATTAAAAGAGATACCAACTCACAAGGTACACAAACATTTATTGAACAAAAAATAAATAAAAATAATAAAAAAAAACTAAGGAGAAGTCCTGGAGGACAGGTTAACAAGAATTAATTTATGTATTCCCCCCCCCCCCAAGCTAAGTGGTTATCGATAAAAACTAAAATTAAAAAAACTTAGCTATCTTCGAACGGCTACCGTTGGTAGGTAGTCCTAGATGTTACCCTAAAACCGGAGGGTAAAACGGAAGGGTAGAACCCTAAGTAGAAAAAAATACTTGTTAAAAAAAACTTGAAATCACGAATTGACTACTAATCCCCCCTTTTAACCTGTTTCCAAGGATTAAAGATTTAACTTTGACATGGAACCATTTAGTCTTGGTTTACATCCATTCAAAAATTTAAAATTAAAACAAAGTGGTTGCACTAGCAACACCAAAATTTTAAATTAACTTGTACTAAATTAAAATAATCAGATACTAAACAACATAAGGATCCGGAAGTAAAATATTTCATATCCTCTCTCAGCTTCTGTAAAACGATTAAAATGCCATTTGAGAAACACACCTCGTGAGCATGGCTCACTCAAACTTCAGTAAATATACGACCAATATCATAAGCTGCCGCCATATAAAAATAACACTATATTATTCTCAGTGTATGTATGTACTATGATAGAAAATAAAATATAAATGTTACTAATGAGAAATTGAAAACATTGAAAAATTTTAGTACTAAATAGGTTGATGAATTAATATTTTCTGACGAATTTCATATTGATCTAAACAATGGATAATTAACTGGCTAGAGTATAACGCTAATGTTACATAAGAACGCCTAAACTGGCACAAATAAAATTACAGATAGAGTATTGCCTAATTTTTGAACGAAGTGGTTTTGTTTTGAGTTTGTATGAGATTAAGACAGGCCTAGCAAAGTAAAGAGTAAAAAAATCATAATCACCTCTAACAATGAGGGTTCTCCAAAAATGGGGGAACTGTTCCTCCCAGGCGTGAGTCCCACTCAAACTCGCCTTGGACTATCCCTGTGGGCGGTCCCCCTCTATAGAATTAGAAATCAAAATGGTCACTTACCCGCTCGATGGTTGAGTGTAATTATCTATCTGCACGGTTAAATCCCCAAAAAGGTAAGAAAAAGGCTCCGACACTAAGAACCACCAAGGGGCCGATTTCTAACAAAACTACCTCACCACCCTTTGAAACCGCAACTCAGCGTGTGAACTATTCACAGGATCGGGCAGTGGGCCGCAGACAAATTTCTCCACCAGCGCACCGGAAATAGCACCAAGTCACCTTCAGCTCTCGTATTTACGGTCGACAGAAATTATAAAAAATGACCTCCAACGAGATGGAGAGTAGAGTACGATTTTCTACCACAAAATTACCAGACTAAGAGAAGTGTTTTGTTATAAAAATGAAATTCGATGTTTTTAAGAACAGCTATAAAATTATTATCCTAAATAAGGAAAACGTTCTTATATTTTACTTTATCAAGATGTACTTAATTTTTAGTAGACCATAAAAAGAAACTGTAACAAGTTAACCTGCGAAAACCGGGCTTTACTAGTAAATAATTGGTTTTGTGATTTTTTTGGGACCAAATGTATTGATGTATTGCTTTTATCTTTTCTTTTCAGAGAAATGTTTGGTGAAGGCTTGCACTGGGCAGGTTGCACAATGATAGTTCTGCTAGGGCAACAGAAACGATTTGAGGCATTGGACTTTTGCTACCACATTCTCAGAGTACAAAGAGTAGACATGAAAGACGAAGTTGTAAAAGGAATTGTAAGTATATTTCAGTTGAGATTCATGTCAGCAAGTATATTATTGACTATATTTACGCTGATATCAACACTTGATACTTTTCCAGAATCTGAAGAGGATGGTGGACAGAATAAGAAGATTCCAAGTATTGAATTCTCAAATATTCGCAATTTTGAATAAGTTTTTGAAGTCGAGTGAAAATGACGAATTATCCGTTGAGCATGTCAGATGTTTTCCCCCGCCTATTCATCCTTCGTTGAATCCTCAACAGCACTATCATGCTCCAGAGCATTTACGTCAATGTTAATCTTCCTATATTAAATAAAGTGCTGGATTCATTTTCATACACAATTAATTTCCATTTGGACCTACATATTTTGTAATCATTCATACATGTACATCAACAATTATGAACGTCTTTGTAAATAATTTTTTATTTTAAATAAAATTTATATAGTAGAATCAAGTGTTTTATGTTTACTTTTTAAGTCGACTGGGGGATATTGAGACCCGTCGTGGGTCGCAGCCTCAAATTGACGTCTGATTATGAATCTACGCGGGATTTCTCTAAAATCTGGTGAAACACCACAAAATAGATCAAAACTACTATTTTCATCAAGCATTTTTAGAAGTGAATAAGGCTTTATCTTCTTTGGTAATTGAGAGCGCTGAATTGAAACATGATATAAAATCGTCAAGTAACTTGTTTGGGCATTTCTCCAGACGCTTTAGGACAGCACTGTATGTCTTGCTCGTTGAGTCCCATCAGTCACGATGCTTATCATCTCGCAGTAATTAAAGATTATTAACATATTTAATCCTCGAAACTTGAATCGTTTCTCATTCCTTTGTGGGCCTTCCAATTTAAGTTAGAATCAAAATGAACTCAAAGAATTCCACTTCTCTAAAATCGAGTTGATCGTCACCCAATCTAACTTGACACACTTCTACAGTTTTTTGAGCATGATGAAAACGAATAAGCGTTGTTTTGGAAGGATTCAGGTAAAGTGAGTACTGGTTAAACCATGTATTGTTATTCCTAATTAAGTTTTGGTCAGAAGTAAGAGAGTGTCACCCTGCTTCAAAAAGGCTTTCACCTGCATACACGCAGGTAGTGATAATTTGTTTTTTTTATACCGAAGCAGCCGCGCAGGCAGGGGCCTAAATGCCGGGCTGCTATGATGATCTCAAGGAAATTTTGTTAATCCGATTTTTGAACTCCGAAACTGTCTGTTAGAGAAGAGTCATCGATCAGTCGGACAGCCCCCCTCTGGACAGCATCGAGCATAAATAATGTACGGCGGCAGCACCCCGAACGTGTGAGCAATACTCGAGGTTAGGCCTTGTATAGAGTCAGAAGGTCATGCGGAGAAAAGTACTTCTTAGCCCTAAACAAATAGCCTACCTTTTTCCCAGCAGCTGCCACTATTGAACGAGATGTGTTCGTGCCAGATCAGGTCCTTGATGATCTGAACTCCGACCAGCCGAAATGAATGGCTCTTTGGCAGAACTCGGCCATCCATTGAAACCGGATGCGCTAGGACGCTTTTTGTTCGTCAAGGTTCTTTTTTCCAGCTCAGCGGCAGAGATCGGTTTGTCGCTCTGAATTCCTGCATGTAGTGATGTCATCAGCGAAGCTGTGAATTGAATTGATCGTACAGGAAAGGAGGCCGTTGATATGCAAGAGGTACAGTGTCGGAGTAAAGACCGATCCCTGGGGAACACTCGCGTTGACGTTGTGGGATGAAGAGGAGAACCCGTCAATTACGACGGATATCTTGCAGCTAGAGATAAAGTCAGCCACCCATCTGGAACGATTTTCTGGGAGGACGTAGGATGGAAGTCTGCTTAAGAGAGCAGCGTGCCACAGTTGATCGAACGCTTTTCGTGATATCAAGAGCAACGACATGAGCCTTACCATAAGACTTGATGAGTTTGCTCCACAAATGCATGAAGGTCCCCTGTGGATAACCGGTGCCGGAAACCATCCTACCTGTCGCTAATCAAGCTGTGACGTTCGAGGTAGTGCAGAAGCGATTTATGCACCTCTCAATCACCTTACTTATAACAGAAAGCAGAGCTATAGGCCTGTAGCTGTAAGGGTCGGCCTTAGATCCTTTTTTTGGGATGGGTTGGACATGAGCAAATTTCCAATTTTCTGGGAAGGTGCCAGATTCATAAGAGATCTGGAAGTGACGCGAAAGAATTGAAGCAAGCTCCGCTGCACACCTCTTCAGTACAATGGCAGGAATCAAGTCCGGATCAGAAGCTTTGTTGATGTCGAGCGACAAGGGCACTCGTCTTACGGTCTTATGCCTGAATTTTACCTCCCGCATAGTGTAGGGAATCCTTGGGCGTTGGGGGGGACGGCCATGGTGGAGTTGGCAGCAAAGATCTTGGCTAGCACTTCCGCCTTGGACTTTGAGTCGAATACAATAGTTCCATCCTGACACGTAAGTGGTGGGAGGCTAGTGTGTGAGAAGTTATTTTCAGTGTCTGAGCTCCTACCAGTCGGCCTGGGCGAGTGTCCGCTACCACAGCAGGTTCTGACCGAAACCTAACCTCCACAACACCGTGACCTGAGTTACCCAGTTGGGACAGGATGCGTGGTCAGAAAGAGATCCAGCAGGCTACTTGCATGTGACGAGACGTTGAGGAAAAAAGTAGAGCTCGTCACCAGCTGAGTCAGCCTTTGAGTAAGAGCGAACGCTTCAACTGCACGACCTGCTGCATCTGTCTTGTTTGAGCCCAACCAAAGTTCATTACGGGCATTGAAATCACCGAGGAGAACTACCTCTGAACCGGGGTGATTGATCTTCAGGAAATCTATCTTGACAGCGAGGTATTCAAGAAGGTCATACCGGTTATGGTCCGAAGGAGACCGATAAAGGCAGCAAATAAATTTGGGGGATGTTTTGGAGTTGAGGCGAAGCCACAGAATGTCCTTCCGGTCTGCTTCCAAAGAAACATCTCTGGAGCAAGAAAGCTGCGGACAAAAGCCACAACTCCCCCGTTCTTTCTCAGATTGGAGTGCACCTCGTAATTTGGGAAGCTGAGACGATTAATCGGTGCAGAGTCTGAGATTTTCGTCTCCGCCAAGATAAGCATGGCGGGACGATTGGATTGCAAGTAGTGTTGAACAGCATCAATGTTGCTGTTAATCCCGCAGATGTTCGTGAAACAAATTTTATCTTCAATGTAGTTCCCTCGAGTCCACCCTCCACCCGGACATTCGAACTGGGGTATATAGGTAGGGAGAAAGAAAAGACATTAATTTAGTGTGATTATGTTTATTGATTTCAAATTCAAATGAGGGGTTAGCATAAACAATGCTTAAAATGTATACACATATGCTTCACTATTCATTATAATAGTATAAAGTAAAATAATAATGTATCATGAATAGTTGAACTAATACTTAAAATAAAACAATTTTCCAAAGCCCCTATAGAATACTGAAATCAATTTATAAAGAACATGTGAATTGATCAGCAGATCAGAATTGCATTGCATCTACTGGTAATCTAACGTTATATCTATCCTCTGACAAATGCACTATGTGCAACTACTTTGTCAGAAAACATTTCAACAATCACTAGTTTTATAAATAGTGTAAACCAAATAATGCTATAGGTATTAGGGTCCGAAATAGATATTACCGGAATAATGTAATACATTCATAGTTTAAACTTTTTACCGACTTCAACCATCACAAGAATATACTTATAAAATACAACTTCATATACATATAGATAATACAAGCGGCGTATTTTAGAAGTATATCACTCATCTTTAATAAATTCGAACCCTAAGTTAAAAAACCAATTCTGACCTACTGTGTCCCAAATTCGTTTCCTACCCAGGAAAACGAAAATGGGGAACACCTCAAAACATACATGACAACTCAAACTCCACCATCCTTAACTCGAAACCGACGTTTCACCAGCTTAAACCTAACAAACTAACTCTACATAAACAAAAATATTCTGACTCTGTAATATGGGTGTCCCAGAAGTCGACGTCAAGCCGAAACCGGGTGATAGGCAAAGTCATAACAGCTATCAGAAAAATATTTAAAAAAATTTTATGTATGTGTTTTGAAAATTATAGGTCTTTGAAAAAAATATAGAAATTTCACACCCTACGGCAGTCTGTCAACTCCTGTTACTACAAATATTAACTTTTTTGGATTTTATTTTTACAATGTAATCATGAATAATGCATCTTCAAACTGGTGTCTCAACCTTACTGCCAACTTTTCTCGTTCAGGAAAAATTGCCACTTATTTCCCAACCAAGTATTCCAAAGTAAAACTTTGCTCAACTTTAACTGGCTGTACTGGGAAAAAATGTACTACGAGAGTTTGGCAAGTAACCCTAAAAGTTGGCGCATTTAATAAGGATTCCAAAATGGTATAACACTTAGAAGATTACTCGTTAACTTATGCACAATTTTTATTTGAAGAAAAACTGATGAAAATTTTTCAAAATTTCCTAATTAAACAGCGATTATGAAAACGCACAAGGACCCTTAAGGATAACTGTTTGCACAACAGTGGGCGTCAAAATGCTGCTGATGATGATTTACCTTTACAGCAAATGCTCAAACTGTTTTCCTTCAGCCGCAATACACGCTCGACATCTTCTTAAAAAAGATCGGGTTATTAAACGAGCGAATCCACGGTTATTAATAAACTCAGCTGCTTCCAATAGTCTTTGCCGTAGCTCAGCTACATTTTGAATCGGCTTGAAATACACTTTTTCTTTTACAGTTCCCCAGTAAAAAAAATCTAACGGATTCAAATCTGGTGACCGGGCTGGCCACGGTCTTGTACCATTGTACAAAATTTATTGGTTGACGTGCCACTGAGTATTTACAGGGACATGTGGTTTCAGCATGATAGCTGCCCAGCGCACTATGCACTCTCAGTGAGAGAGTATCTCGATCAAAACTTTCCAGGCAGATGGATAAGGCGGTCTGGTACAATACCGTGGCCAGCCCGATCACCTGATTTGAATCCTTTAGATTTTTTTACTGGGGAACTGTAAAAGAAAAAGTGTATTTCAAGCCGATTCAAAATGTAGCTGAGCTACGGCAAAGACTATTGGAAGCAGCTGAGTTTGTTAATAACCGTGGGTTCGCTCGTTTAATAACCCGATCTTTTTTAAGATGTCGAGCGTGTATTGCGGCTGAAGGAAAACAGTTTGAGCATTTGCTGTAAAGGAAAATCATCATCAGCAGCATTTTGACGCTCACTGTTGTGCAAACAGTTATCCTTAAGGGTCCTTGTGCGTTTTCATAATCGCTGTTTAATTAGGAAATTTTGAAAAATTTTCATCAGTTTTTCTACAAATAAAAATTGTGCATAAGTTAACGAGTAATCTTCTAAGTGTTATACCATTTTGGAATCCTTATTAAATGCGCCAACTTTTAAGGTTACTTGCCAAACTCTCGTAGTTATT